TTAACTCTCTATCTCTCTCCCTTCCTCTCTGTACAAAAATCAATAAAATATATTTTAAAAAAAGAAAAGAAAAGAAAAACAGGTGAATATTTCTCATCAGCAACCAGAAATCCAGAAATAGACGTGTTTGTTAGTAACATATTAAAAAATGGGAAAAGAGGAGGGAACACTAAACTTTGAAGCTATGATCTGAGTACAATTCCCTATCCCTTTGCCCCTTTGCCTGAAAGACAAGAGGGGGAAAGCAGCTTTGGAAGGAAAGCACCTGTATAGCCCCACCCCTCCCTCTCCCTGCCTTTTCCCTACTCCTGGGATATTTTCTCCATAAACAGTATGTGTTGCCAAGTTTCATCCATTTTTTTCTTCTCAGTGTCCATCATTTTAGCACACCAGGATTATCATAATGATGTCCTAACTGGTATTTTATATTTTCACCCTTCCCCTAAATCGGTTTGGTCCTTTGCTGTATGATTCACTTAAATATTTTTAAAACACAGACTTTTTCATGGTAAGGGTCCTGCTTTTAAAATAGAAATGTGCTATTGTCCATCAATTCAAATTCACTTGGGAGGATACCAGTCTTGATTGTTGCTTTTAAACTCTTCATTTCAACTTGCTGCTCCTGGATCCCCCTCTGGCCACCTCTGGCCCTTTAAAATATCAGACATATCAGCAGTTCTTGTTAAAGGTGTTTGTCTGTATATACTATACATTTTATACAGTGGAAATTAACTTGCCTCCTCATCATGAAATATATCTTTTTTTAATATATATATTTTATTGATTTTTTTACAGAGAGGAAGGGAGAGAGATAGAGAGCCAGAAACGTCGATGAGAGAGAAACACCGACCAGCTGCCTCTTGCACACCCCCTACCAGGGATGTGCCCGCAACCAATGTACATGCCCTCGACCGGAATCGAACCTGGGACCTTTCAGTCCCCAGACCGACGCTCTACCACTGAGCCAAACTGGTTTCGGCATGAAATATATCTTGCTGTGTTCTTATTTGAAACTAAATCCTTTACAAGTGAAAATTAAATATAGGAATTCTCAGCATAAAAACTTAGTATGTTATATTCTTTCTTCCTAGGGAGAACTTATATCTATAAGGAATCATCTGCCTAAATACATAAATTACTCTAAAGGAAAATACTCTTGCCATGTAGCCAGACACTCTCATAAATACCTTGCCCCAAAGGAATTAATTTTTCTGCTCATAGGCACTGAGCCCATTACCATAGTAACCATAACTAGTTGGTCTATGACCAGGTGTGAATTTTATAGTACACGTTATTTGAAATGGTAAGTCAGTAAATCAGGATAAAGTGCAATTTCTGTAACATTTTGGAGGGATGCCTTTATCTTAAAAAAAAAAAAAAAAATCCGGCAGAGGAAAAGTGTCATTATGCTGCCTACTCATTTATTCATTTAAACAGTTTATTCTCTCTTGCCATGGGCATAGTTTGTGCTAAGCATGCTACGTCCCTTAACCTAAAGGAACTTCTCTAATATACTCAGCTTTGTCAATGGTAAACAGAATTAAAGGAACTTTTCTAATATACTCAGCTTTGTCAATGGTAAACAGAATTAATTAATTAACAGAAGAACAGTTTTGTGTTTTTCTTTTTCATAAGGGCTTTCTAATCTTGAGTCATCTGATCACAATAGAGTAGTGGATAGGGCCAGCAAGGAAGGAGGCAAGAGGTTTGCAGCTGGTCACACTGCCCACAAATACTCAAGTACTGATTGCAGCTCTTACAGGCAGGCCCCTTTTGCCTTACACAGGGTGTCTCCAGCTACTCTCTGGGAAGATGAGGTTGGGGAACTACATCTGTTTCTGTCACTGGAGATGAGCCATTTCTTGCAGCTAATCATCCTCAAGAAGCTGAAAATACCCACTGATGAGCATGGAAGAAAAGTATGACCCTCCAACGATTTCAGATAGGTTTCCCAAACCAAAGATATAGTGGATTCAGGTCAAGGATTAAGTATTTCAGTTTTGGTGATACAGGTAATAACTTCAAAGATGTCTGTGGTGCCCCAACTGGTTTGGCTCAATGGATAGAGCGTCAGCCTTTGAACTCAAGGGTCCCAGGTTCGATTCCGGTCAAGAGCATGTACATTGGTTGCGGGCACATCCCCAGTAGGGGGTGTGCAAGAGGCAGCTGGTCAATGTTTCTCTCTCATCGATGTTTCTGACCCTTTGCCCCTTTCCCTTCCTCTCTGTAAAAAATCAATAAAATATATATATTTTTTAAAAAAGATGTCTGTGGTATTTTAAACTCCTTTCTTGCCTTGGCAATGTCTCTGCCCACCTTGCCCCTCTAGGAAGGATTCCCTGTTTTCTTTTTCCTTTCCAATTTAGCCACCTTGGGCACATGATGGCACTAGGAGACATCTCAGTTGGCATTAGGATCCTTGCCAAATAATAGTGAAACTGTGAAAAAACAAGGGCTGGGATTGTCCAGGACCTTTTCTGCTGAGCCCCCAACCCTGTCCCTGCAAAGGCTGGCCTTTGTCTTCCAGATGCAAGGAAGCATCTTGCTCCATGCCAAAGGAAAACAGGAAAAGATGAATAAAGGGGAAAATGATGAATAATATCCACCTTTTAAAGAGAATTCCTAGAACATGCCTTAAGGTCATCTCTGTATTTTTTGTAACTCGCTGTACAGAAGTTAGCCACTCCTCATCGCAAGGGAAGCTGGGAAATAGCCTTTGTTCGAGGTGGCCCTGCCCCCAGCCAAGGATTCTAATAATTAACACTCTCGTGGTGTTTATTACACACCAGGTACTGCTCTGGTGCAATAACGAGTCTAATGGTTTATTGGGCCAATGATGGACAGATATGGGCAAGATTATGGTCATAAAAATAACAGGAGTGGCTACCATTGACTGAGAGCTTGCCATCTGTTAGGTACTGTGTTAGATACATTCTTTGCTCAACAAGCTGTGACTTCCTAAATTGCAGCTTCAGCCATCTTCTCTCCGATGACTCAGTTATGACACTGACACCAATCCCAAACCTCAGGGAACCTCCTATTAAGCTTTCCTTGGGGCCTGATTTAAGTCCTTTTCTCTTGACTTGGCTTCTGGAGCCAGAATCTTCACTCCATCCTCGTACAATCATCACAAAGAACGGCTCCTCAGAAATCTTCCTCTGCTCTTTTAGGCCACGTTCTTAAAAAGCTTTACATCTTCGTCTGGTGCCTCCCTTGATCATTTGCTGTAGCCGAAACTTCTGTTTTGAAGTCTGGTCAAAACTGCATCCCTGGGACATTACAGAATAAACCCAAGCCCCTCTGACAACACTGCCACCCTCCCCTCCCTGCTTTTCTCTTGCTTTTCCTCATGTCATTGCTAGTGCTCAGTGGCATCAGACCACTTGTTGATTTGCCCACATTCCATGCTTCATCCTTTAGATAGCAAAATAGCATCTACAGGTGCCAGACGTTGTGTTAGTTAGCAGGAAGAAATGCTGAGGAAAGAGAGCTCCTGCCTGAAAGGTACTCACTATCATGTGGTGTTTCAGCCCTGTTCTTGCCACCACACCTTCCTGCATCCCCTCTTTCTTGGCTAATCACATGCTTTATTCATATATCATCTTCTGGAAGCTGTCCCTCATCCATCTCTATCCTCAATGGATGTCCCCTCGCCCCAGCCAAGTGCTCTCTAGCACCCTCAGTTCTCTCTCACACACATCATATTGTATTAATATTACCTTTTTTCAACTACTATTTCCTGAACTACCCTGTGAACTCTGAGAAGGCAAAGATGGCATCTTATTCCTTGTAGTCTTCTCACTAGAGTGCCTGGTGTCTAGTTGATGCTAAATAGATGTTTGACTGAATGAATGCCACATTTATCCAAAGATACTTAGATTTACCACCTGGTAAGTGAGTTTTCTGTTAACAAGATTAGCTATGAGCTGGGGCAAATATTCTAGGAAATGAATACGGAAGCAAAAAGTCTGGGCTTCCTTGGATTCTCTCAGCTGTTCCTAATGCTTGCTGAGTGTCTCTTGTTGGAAGGTAACTTTTGTGAGTACCGATTCTGCTTGCTCTGGATATGGCTTCAGTGCTTTTATTGGGAGTTCTTCCTCCAAAATAAGCATCCCATTTAAAATTTTCTGAATAAAAAGTATAATTTTTCTGGTATGAGAGCTTTTGGTTGACTCAGCTACTTTAATTTGTAGCTGAGTCAACCAAAAGCTCTCATACCTTTTGGCATTATCTCATTTTATCCTCTTGAAATAAATGTCTTTTCTGGTGTAGTCTGGGATTGAGGGAGGTCACACTCTTAGGAGTGGCATTTTGACTGGAAAGGAGGAGTAATCAGAGAAGGAGTTTGGACTTATTCCAAAAGCTTGTTCCATCGATAGCGAGAAAACTCTTAAGTACTGGCCAGCAGTTGGCAGGCACCAAAATTCAGGACAATTTAGAATTACTGGATCTGAAAAACCTGGGATTGCTATGGATCTGAAAAACAGCAACTTAGTCTGTAAAAGATCTAAAACAGTCTCATTTCCCCCAAGTTCTTAGAAATTAGAATGGCTTAGATAATTGGAATAAGAGCCTCGTGAATGGACAGAGCAAGTCAGACCCTCAGTATGTATAAAAATTCAAAGTACTTCTAATCAGATCTAAAGAAGTTAACTCAAAATTAGACAAGCTCCTTCAACTATTTAAAGGATTTATGATTTGTAGGGATAGCATCTGGCAGCAAGGTGGCATATCTGCTTCTAAATAAAAGATTTCTGAAAATTAAAAAAAATTAAATCAGTACATACACATATAAGGAATTGAAAAAAATTTATATTTTGAAGAAATTGGATTTTTCTAATTAAAGTTAATACATTTTATATATTATAAAAATATCTTAGCATATTTTTTGAAAACACTATAGACTTTCTTGTTGGGCAACAAAATAGCTCAGGGGGGGGAAAAAAAAAAAAAAGCAGTTCTTATATTTTTGTTTTCAGCCTGTTCTTCAGAATAGCACTTCAGTTGTTTCCTGAAAAGTAAAAATATGCAAATATATATATTTTAAAAGTAGTAGTAACATAGAGTATGATTTAAAATGTTTTTAAAATTTTAACTTGTCTAACTAGTATACCGTATTTTCCAGCATATAAGACGACCCTTAATTTTACAGTTAAAACATAGGTTTAGGCTTATATTCGCTGTATAAGACTACCCCCCACTTCCGAGGCAACACCAGTTCTTTTTTTTAATAGACCGCCTCTCTAACTCAGCCAATTCAAGCAGGCTTTTTATGCATGCAAATTATACATGTTCTGTACCCAAAGCTACACTGTGTTCTAGTAAAAAGCCTGCTCAGATTGGCCCGAGTCAGAGAGGCGGTCTATTAAAAAAAGAACTGGTGTTGCCTCAGAAGTGGGGGGTAGTCTTATACAGCGAATATAAGCCTAAACCTATGTTTTAACTGTAAAATTAAGGGTCGTCTTATATGCTGGAAAATACGGTAGTTAACAGGGCAAAAGTGGTAGGTGAAAATTAGTTTTTCAAAGTTTATCAATTTAACATTAGAATCAATAATGCATTCTTTTTGTGGAACAGTGGAAAGAGAGTAGTGGTGCTTATACATAGTATTTTTCACATTCCATTTTTGCCCTTTTATTTAACGAAACTTCATGACTCCCTTAAAAGTAAAATAATATTAATTCAGAATGCAAAGTTGTATTTAAAAACCAGCATTTCGTTTCATTCATGGCTGCAGTTAGTCTGAATGTACTCCCCTCAAATTCATCTGTGAAAGCCTGATGGGATGGTATTTGGAGGAGGGGTCCTTGGGAGGTGCTTAGGTCATGAGGGTGGAGCCGTCCTATGAATGAGTTTAGTGCCCTAATGAAAGGGACGCCACGGAACTCCATCACCCCTTCTGCCATGTAAGGATACAGCCAGAGCAGACCTCCAGCCTTCAAAATTGTGAGAGAGAAATTTCCGCTATGCATAAGCCACCCAGTCTGTGGTATTTTGTTATAGCATCTTGAATGGACCAAGACCAAGGGGTTTTAAATCATCTTATGTCTTCATTGAAGAATGATGGATTATTTAGTAGCAAAGAAGAAGCTGTTGAATAACATTTTTATCTGAAAAAAAAATCCTAAAAAAAAAAAAAAAAGCCAGGAACAATATCATTTACTAATTGAGGTAGGATAGTAAGAAGCTCGGGAAAGGGTTTTATTCTTTCTGCATTAGCTGCTGGGCCAGTGGAACGTAAACATGAAGATGCTAGTGGTACTTTCCCGTGAGGGATGATGGTGCTGGTGGAGAGTCTGCCTGGGAGTGACTCTACCACCAACGTGAATGAAGCCGAGAGACGGGAGAGACACAGCTTCTGGAAGAATCATTTGAGTCCTTGGGTCTAATGGAGGCAGACATTAGACTACTTCTGGGCTTCTCAGTTAAATGAGTTCACGTTACTGCCCAGGCCATTTCAAACTAAGCTTCTGCCCCTCGTAACTGAAAAAAAGAGTCCTGACATTAGCTGCACTTCTCATTCCTCACATTCTTCTATGCCACCGTGTAAAGTGAGTAACATTTCCTGGAGGTTATGACTTTCGCAATGGCTGAGACCATGTCTTCCAGTCTACAGGGATACCATGCCCAAGTGTGGTGCGCTGTCTTTCTTAGGCAACCATGTGCTGGTAGCTCAGTATGTGGAGACATTCATGACATGAAAACCAAACCGTGCTTACCTAGATTTAGGTTCAAAGTCAAAACTGCAGCCATAAATATCTCCAAGAGCAGCAGTCTCCCCATCAGACAGCTCAGCACTGCAGTCGCAGTCTGGGCAGCGGTACCCACAGTGGATGCTCTGCTGCTGCCGCCGCTGCTGCTGCCGCTGCTGCTGCTGCTGCTGCTGCCGCCGCTGCCGCTGCCGCTGCTGATGCCGCCGCTTCCCCCGCCACTGCTGCTGCCGCTGGAGACGGACTGCGCTGGGAGGCTGAGAGGCCTGGATTCCCCGCGAGCAGCATCATCCAGAATAAATTCAATCTTAACATTTTTCCCTAGGGGGGAAAAAAAGCATCGTGGTGTTTGACTTCCTTTTACTGTCTGTCATACACTTCCAGTTGGGGTTTTCACTGACTTACAATAATGCATGATTCCTAACAAATTATTTTTTTAAACTGAATCAAATGAAATAGTGTGAGTACAAACAAGTGTAGAGAGGGTCTCTGAGTTTGCAGAGTTCAATCTGCCCACCCACTATGGGCAGGAGCGCTCTGATGAGATTTTTCTTTCTGGAGCATCAGTGCCCAGGAGAGAGGCTGTTGGAAATGAGGGACAATAGGGACTGGAGGTGAAAGTGCTGAACTTCTGCTTCGTCCCCATGTACTTGACCTAGGGCGGAGAACCTTCAGCCTCACTGGAGGGAGGTGGAGATGAATGCTGAACTTTTAAGAGTTGAAAAAAATAGTACAACAAACACCCATAGGTCCTCCACGTATTTCAACGTTTTTTAACTGTTTCCCACATTTGCTTTCAGTCAGATGATACTTTTTGTTGCAAGACTGTGCGCCGGAACCTGCCGGCAACGAACAGTACCTGAATGAGGGGGTGAGGCTAAGAAAAAGACAGACAAAAACAGATGGGGTCGGGAGGGCTCAAGACCCGAGGTCTGCCGCTCCGAATTTTATTTTTCCAACCTTTTACTACAATTCTGAAGGAGGAAATATTTATTTCAGGCAATCGTGCAGGTGGCCGCTTCTGCTAACATGATGAGTTCCTGTACAGATAAGTTCCTTCAGCACCTGACCCTTTTACAACCACCTGACCTTTTACAGCTCCTTCTGTGTCAGCAGGCTCCTATCAATTGTTTTACCCTAAAGCAAAGACATCTGCAGTTAGCAGCATTCCTAGGGGTAGTGGTAATTTTCCACTTAGGTTAATGGAAAGGGGGGCACATGGAGAGCTGTGTCCTACACCCATGCCTGCATTCAGGCATAGAGGACCCCTGCATTCAGGGCAGCTCCCCACAACTGTGACCCTTCCCTCTTACCCCAGGGACACAAGCTTGAAGAAACACTTGTTAAATTTTTTTAGAGTGAAACATTAATAAAAAAAAAAATTCATCCAATTTTTTAAAAAATCCACGTTAAATATTCCCACAGTTTTGAATATGAGATCAATATATTTTTCCTTGACTTAATTTATTCTGGGACTACTGTTATCATTATTATGGTAAGTGGTTAGCACACAGAACAGACTGCAATACTTATAGACCTTGAAGTTTTATTTCCTTTTTTTCTATTTGTTTTCTAAAAAAAAAAAAATTAAAAAAAAAATCATTTCTGTTTTCATTCTTCCTTTCTTTTTTAGGGAGAGAATGTAATTAGCTCTTGACCATATTGTGTTTTCATAAACGACAATGTATACTATAACCTTCAAGATGGTTGGCCATTGTTCGGTAGACTTCTATCACTGTTAAAAATTCATGACAATAGCGCATTTGTCTCCATTTTTTTTTTCACTATAAAAAACTGAATTTTTGTGGCAGGTGTATTTTTTTCTTAATGATTTTTATGTTTTTATTTTTTCTCCCAGAGAACTATGAGGAAGCCCATGCCAGCCTTGTGGAGAAGCTACTCCTTGGAGAATGAAAGAATCCAGGCCAAAACCAGAATCAAGACCTTCAGGCTGTCACTCCAATGAAGCCAACCCCGCAGAAGCATCAGACATCATGGAGCAGAGATGACTCATCTTCGCCCACATTCCTGACCCACCCTATTGTGAGCCAATGAAAAGGCTCTTGTTTTAAGCCATCAAATTTTGGGCTAACTTGTTAGGCAGTAATAGGAAATGAAATAAGCACTAAATGTTATATAAGCTGCTAGGTCAACAGGTTTCAAATATTATATCCATCAGTAAGACTATCTTTATCCAGGTTACTCAAACATGCAGTGTCAGCTGTTTACTCTCTTCTTCTCTCCTGTTCTCACCTACTGCTTACATCCCTATTTCCTGTTAGAAACCACAGACTAGACCCAGGGGGCCCTGCTTTGCCTCTTAGAACGCTGTAGGAAGAAGAGTGCATGCTGCCTGCTTGCAGTGTGATCTGCGAGGGGATTTCCCACAGTGCAGTCACTGTGGGGCACCTGCTGGGAAGAGTTACAGGCCAGATGCTTTATTGATGTTCTCAGATGTGCTTTAAAATTGTTAATCTAGCTGAAACTGGTTTGGTTCAGTGGATAGAGTGTCAGCCTGCGAACTGAAGGGTCCCAGGTTCGATTCCGGTCAAGGGCATGTACCTTGGTTGTGGGCACATCCCCAGTGGGGTGTGTGCAAGAGGCAGCTAATCGATGATTCTCTCTCGTCGATGTTTCTAACTCTCTATCCCTCTCTGTAAAAAAATCAATAAAAAAAAAAAAGAAAAAACTAAAAAAAAAAAAAATTGTTAATCTAAAAACTGCCTACCTGACCTAAAGATAACAAAGAGATGACTCTACGCGACCTTCCTTACTGTCCACACCCAGGGAACTGAGGCCCTACACTTGATGAAAAGAAAGAAAGAAAAAATCAAATAAGAAAGGAATTAGGAGCAGCGGCTCTTTCTCTATAGCAGATCAGATAGACACTCCAAAGGAGGCTTTGAACTCTGGAAGACAATTGACTGTATAAAAGGGGAGTGCTATTTTGTTATTATGACAAAATACCCAGACCTAGATCATCGCTTCAGCACTCCCAGGGACCTGGTTACTTTGGAGCATTGCTATTTGGAAGTGGCACTTTGAAGAGCTTGGTCCCTAGGTCAGGTCTTTGCCACTGGCCACTTCCTGGGTCCACCTTCCTGGGGTGGTGGACAACCTGCTCTGCAGGCAGGGCTCTCGTCAGGTGCCTCATTTCCCATAAAAGGGCTCCAGTCCTATCACCATTTAGGCTGGCTGTTTAAGAATTTGGCTCTGCCCTTAACCAGCAAGCATATGGGATACTCAGGGTCCTTGTCCAAGAGCACAGTGTTTAGCACTTTGCCATTTGGTCCTCATCCAACACAAAGTTGAGATATTGCTGCCTAGCAGGCAGACCAAATTTCTAGTGTAGGTCATTATTAAAGCACAAGGAAACAAAAAATAAGGAAAAGATTCTTCTGGAGGGATTTTAGTTGTTGATATTTAGTGATTGTGTGTGTGTGTGTGTGTGTGTGTGTGTGTGTGTGTGTGTTTGAAATAACAGTGGTAAGAAAGGGAAATGCTACTACACAGTTTTATAGAAGTTAGGCTATCAAGGTCCTAAAAGGGTCGCAGATTGAGGTAAATAGATTAATGGAAGCCAGTCTCAAGTATAAGCAGTTTATCCGTTTTATTGTTTTAGGTACTTTATAATCTATCACCAATAGGATCTGTTTTTGGACATATTATTTTGGCCTCAGAAGAAAGGCTTTTACTAACTGAAGTTATACCATCAACTCAAATAGAGATAATATAAGAAACATCACTGTGGATGTTTCTGTATTTACTGTAACAATGTTTACATGACTGTATTTACTGTAACAATGTTTAAGATATCACTTAGTAAAGATTCATTGGTATGCTTTATGAGAACTCATAGGGGTCCTTTATTCTGATCTCAGAGCAACTCCTCCATAGGGTATTAAAATTATGTGATCCTATCTTATCATTTATTTAATTTGAAAATCTGTTGCTTATATTATATATACATACATATTTAGTGAGAATTAGACAGATACAAAAATGGATAAAAATATGAATCATGAGATGATTTTGATGCATATCATCAAATTGCCCATTTAAATTTCTCCCATTGCTTATTTTAATTTCTAGTTTGTTTTGCATATTAAATATATTTTTATAAGCTAGACGAAATGTTTTCTGAAAAGCGAGAGTATGGGGTTCTGATTTCTATAGTTTATTGAACAGCGTATTCTGGAATGCTTTGTTCAATTATAATATATGTGAGGACCCAAAGTAGAACGCTCACCTGTTCTAAGCAGAGTAAGGTCCGTGTAGTTGGCCCAACAGCTGCTAAATGGAATTGTTGTATTTCCACCAAGACCACTGATTTGGTTATTGTTGGAGTCTTTTAGTATGGCCTTCAAAGTCAATGAAGTAATCCCAACTGATACACAATTACCCTAAAGAAAAATAATAACGACAAAACGTAGAGAATTCTAATTTCCCTGTCCCATGCGTTTTTTAAAAAAAGATAGTATGTGAACTTTATCTATAAAAATGCCTTGTTACAAATTTAAAATCAGTAGAAGCATTTTTTTTTCGAGACAAAAAAATTCATAAATATGGACACCGGAGCAAGTTCATGAAAAAGAAATATTTTTAAAACAGTACTAGACAATATCCATACATATCAGTCTGACAGTGCAATCCTAGGTAGGCAGAGCACCCAGGATGAGTGAAGTTGGCTCACCCTCCCGAATGTATAGCTTAATTCTCCCACTTGAATGAAGCTTTGAGTTATAACTTACATCGGGATCTACTGCCTTTACTGAAGGCTGCTGAGAAAGTGGCTGTCCCAGCTGCGCTGCCACCGGCTGACGGATCACCAAGAGCGAGGACACAAAGGCCAGGTGATGAACAGGAAACGCAAACCTTTCAACGGGCCGGGCAGTCACCTGTGAGTGGTCATGAGCAATGGAGTGGTTTTTCACACGATAAACTGCATTCAGTAGCACACTCATCTTAACAAGGCTAAGAATAATACTCATTTCTATTTTAAAACATGTTAATATGTGCAAATATTATAATATTTGATCAAATATTAGATCAAATTCATGAAGCATTGTTGTAAATATTCGAGGCAAAGCACGTTTTATTCCAATAAATAATTTTTTTTAGGAGACAGGTTCCTTTTTAACCTACTTTATCATTTCAGTGATACTACATAAAATAGACGGTAATAAACTAGACATGCCCTCTAAATTAGTCTTGCAATAGGAAAAAAAATCGAACTAAGAAATTAGTAACAATGTTTTAAGTGGCTAAAGTGTATTTTTCTAGTTGTGTTTTCTTACCTTACTCCATCCAGAATCACTTGGGCTAGGGATGGGATTGATAATAGACATGGAAGAGACATTAAGTCCAAGGGCACTACTGGTTTGTCCTAAAATTACAGCTTGCCCAAGAGAAGCAGCAATTTCTTGGAGTTCAGATAATTGCATCTGACCTATGAGGAGACAGTATTATGACATAAGGATGATAAGAAAGTGGAATTGTGAGAACACATGATAGTTTTTCCCTTAAGTTTTTGTTAGTGCTGCTCCATCCATATTATAGAATTCTATAGTTTTCTAACTGTACATAGCTTAACATGTCAAAGTCATATTAACAGAGTTAGGAGACTGAAGAGCTCAGTAGAGTATGTTTTAAAGCTGGAATTAAAAAAAACCCACAAAGGTAGATAAAATAGATGTAAGAAAAATGAATAAAAGCATCCCTTGTTCCTGAACATCCAGCATCTTCCATATCCTGAGTCCTGCCTGGAAGATTCTGACCACTGAGCTTCTTCCATTAAGACTCGGGAAGGAGGCCATATGGTAGGCCAGCAGGTTTTACATTTGAAAATCACAGTCTTAGAGAATTTCAGTTCCTATAGGTTTTAAAGGTCTCTTGGGGTTGACTCAGACTCTTCTGGACAAATGCTCAGTCTACAGACTCCACCCTCTCCCGCCACTTCCTCTTTTATTCTTCTCCAAGACAGCCTCCCAGGCAGGCGGGTACATATGATCTAATGGTAGCAGCACAAAGGATTTTGGTACGGTGTGGCAGGTCTGACCTATTAACAGATACTCTGACCATTTGACAGGTGAAGGTGTCCATTTCTGCAGACTGCCACCTGGAAACCAAAGACCTTCCTTTGAGGAGCTCTCATTCCAGAGATTTTCACCCACTACACAGGTTTACCCATAAAACAATAGCATGGCTGGGAATTGGCCCCTGGGGATTAGCAGTAGGAGGCCAGGAAGGTTCAGTGGCCTCTTGAGAAGCTTGTGCAGAGCAGAGAAGACCATTCATCTTGTAGCAGAGAATATTAAGTCCAGAGGGCAGCACGAGGGCCTGAGGTCATGAAAGCCCCCTTGGTATCCAGATAGCAACTGAAACTGACTGAACAGATGAGAGGAAGAAAACCTGAAGACTGAACATTTACCCACCCAGATGGCCAAAAGGAATCACTCTCAGGAAATAATTTAAAGTAGCAAAGACACGTGTTATGGGACAGTTGAGCTTATTTTTATCTGATACCTAGAAAATGAGGGTATGGAGAGTGAGGGACAGGCAAAGGGGTGATGGTTGGTGAGGAACAGAGAAAGGGCTGATGGTTGGTGAGGCTGATTAAGGTAGTCATAGGAATAAAGATAGAATATATGCTTGCATATTTGAACTTGTTGGGTCAATCTGTGACTTTACTATGGATATCTATTTCACCACTCCACTGCTCTTTCCTCAGGAAAACACCCACAGTCCTTCTTCAGCATATGAACAGGAGAGAGCTCCTTTCGGTTTCCCACTATCTAGCACCTACTGTTCAACCTCATCTCCAGCAGCGCCCCTTTCCTGGCTCTTCCCGCTGCAGACCTACTGGACCTTTCCAATTCTTCTCTAGCAATGGTCGGCAAACTCACTAGTCAACAGAGCCAAGTATCAACAGTACAACGATTGGAATTTCTTTGGAGAGCCAAATTTTTTAAACTTAAACTTCTTCTAAAGCCACGTCTTCAAAACAGACTCGCCCAGGCCATGGTATTTTGTGGAAGAGCCACACTGACGGGGCCAAAGAGCAGCATGTGGCTCGCAAGCTGCAGTTTGCCGATCATGGTTTTAAAGCATCAAACTCTCAGCAGCTACTCCTCAGCCTTGAACTTTCCCACCTCCCTATTTTCATGTTTAATCTCTCAGCTGAAAGGCCACTTCTTTAGATCACTTCTCAGATCTTTTATATTAGGTGAAATCCTTTGGTTGTTAACTTGTTAATTGCTACTATAATAAAACAGAGGCTCAAATTCCTTCATCATTCCATAAATAGGTTGGGATTACAGGAGTAGGCAGGAAAAGGGGTCTCTAGGTCCTCACAGGGTTCAGGATGTAGGGTTGGTGGGATTTCCTGAGGTCCTGCTTACCAGGCCTGGATAAGGTTACTTGTGGATATGGATTTGGTAACTGCATTGCTCTACCTTAAAGGTCTACTACTCGTACCTGCAGTGTCATTGGTTATGAACTGAGGGGGTGGATCTCCAATCTCCAGATCAATCCTCAATCCCATGGATCTCTTCTTGCGCAGGTTGTCCCCTCCTATTCCTTTGCTGATACGGATTTTGTCACTTGGTATCCTCAGGAACAAGGCAAGATTTCTAACTAGGTTCTGAGAGCTATAAAAGTCCTCTTCTGTGACAGAAGGTATTTGGAAAGAAACAAATATGACTGCGGTGGTGTGGATTTCAACAGGTGTGGTTCCTTTAACCAAAAGGTAAAGCATCTGGTAGGTTCTATCAAAGTAGTTTTCACCAAGGACAGTGGAATTCAAGTTAGGAAGGAATTGCTCTATGAAGGAAAAAAAAGTCAAAACAGCGTGGTTATGCATATTCATATGATCACAATTACCATGTAGTATTTCACATTTGTTTAAATTTATGAAATTCCAAAAGTTCACCATTCTTTCATAAGAAAGTATGCATCTTAAAAACACCTATAGAACTAACCAGCAAAATAAAAGTCACTTTTAAATAATACTGTTAATAATCATTATATGTTAAATTAAAGAAAAAATTTAATTTATTAAAAACAGTTATTTTAGAAAACAATAGTCATTGGTTCATTAAATTTACTTAAAAACAATACTATAGATACAGTATAAATGAGAAATAAAATCTAATTATAAACCCAAGACCTTGTGTTATAACACTATTTACATGTTCAGAATTTTAATGCCTTGATCAAAGGCATTTGATAATTTAAGAAATGTAAATTTAATTTTACTAGCCATCTAGTTTGTGCAGTGCTATATACAAAATCTTGAGGAATACATTTAATTCAGCTTCTATTTTACCAAGAAAATATTATGTAAAACAAATGAAATATATATCAAAACATCCCTGAAGGCTCTTATGTGAAATAGGTTTACATTTCAGCCTGGAAAATATTTGATAATGCAAAACAAATTCTACTAGGGAAGCAAATTTTGTAAAAGTTATTTGGATTATTATATACATTAAAAATGAATGAACATACAGGGGTGCGCAAAAGTAGGTTTACAGTTGTGAGTACACATAACAGTTTATTTTTATATTATTATTTATTAATTATTGTATTATATACCATGCAAACAATTGTAAACCTACTTTTTGCCAACCCCTGTATATACTATTTTATGGCACAGTATCGATAGTAATAATGTTTAAGAAGTACTATATCTACTAAAATGTATTAAGCCCTGACAAAGGTTGAATTGTAGAATAGTACTGCTATAAGAGATGCCAATTTTTACCACATTTCCTAGTGAGGCTTACTAAGAAAAAGAAATGAAAATGTTAGAAAGAAGAGGATATTTCTTATGAAAGTAATAGACATACATAACAATGGCACTAAGGGGCCATTTCATTGTTACTATATATTTATTTAATACCTGCTAGGATAAATTCTAGATGCAATATGCTTTAAATATTCTGTGAATCTGAAGTTTGTGCTTTTGTATTTAATCAAGCTGCTGTTACATATTTATCCTAGGTAACTACCTGATGTCTTCAAAAAAAAAAGGTCAGATTCATAATACAGGGAGATTATTTTACATCCCAAGTGCCAAAACAAAATGATAATTTAAAAACAATGTCATTTTCAGGGTGGGGAGATGGAGGAGGCTGGTGGGGAGAGGTACTGGGGAGATCCATAAGAGGGCGGTGGTTGTTTTTTAACCCTTCAACACCTATATAACCAATTCCTTATATTAAATTCTGCCTGTTGGGATATTTTTCACTTTCCTGATTTGAATAATAGATACTTGGTACAAAAAGTATAGTTTGAAAAAATTGTTAAAATTTATAAAAATTAAGCTGTAAATATATATAATAATTCATATGTAAAAATGATAGCACTAGCTCTCTTAGCTTATAAGGAATAGAGCATAATTTAAGTGCACAGTTCTGGAGCTAGTCTTTGAGTCCTTGCTCTGCCCTTACTAGCTTTGATACTGTTATGGACTGAGTTGTGTCTCCCTACCCCCACAAATTTATGTGTTGGATCCCTAACTCCCAAAGTGAGGGTATTTGGAGATGTGGCCTTTGAGAGGTAATTCGGTTTGGATGTGGGTGAGTACGTCACAATGGATCAGTAAGTGCTCTTATAAGAAGAGACAACAGACAGCTTGCATGCTCTCTCTCTCTCTCTCTCTCTCTCTCTCTCTCTCTCTCTCTCTCCCCTCCCCCCCAAAATCCCCGGTGAGGACAGTGAGAAGGAGGCCATCTGCAGGCCAGGAAGAAAGCTGGCCCCAACCTGATCATACTGGCACCTTGACCTAGTACCAGCAGCATCCAGAATTGCGGTAAAAATAACGTTTTTTAAGCCACCAGGTTTATGGTGTTTTGTTAAGCAGCTTGAGCTAAGACAGAGACCTTGGCAAATTATTTTACCTCCTTGTGTCTCAGTTTACTCATCTGTGCCTACTTCTTAGGTTTATTATTAGGATATAGTAACAATATGTTTTTATACAGAAAGCATGTAGTGCCTGGCACATAGTAATGTCTCTGGAAACATTAGTTATTCATACAATTAGTAGAAATAGGACTTGCTCCACAGATGGTAATGAATATGGTTGTCCATTTATACTCTCATGTCAGCTTATATTATGATCCAACGCAGACATTTATGTGATTGTTAGCAAAGATTACAGGGCACATATAAAAATGATAATAAATTAGCACATGTGGAATGGAATGTATTGACTTTATTAGTACCAGATTAACAAAAAGACTTCATAAATCCTGGTTTTGCAAATATTAGTAAACTAATAGCCCGTTGCAGAAAGATTCCTGCAATAGGGCTTCTTCCTGTTGCACTCTCCCCCGCCCTGCCTGCTTCCCTTCCTTCTTCCTGCCCTGCTTGCTTGCTTCACTTCCTTCTGCAGTGCTTGGCTTCTTTCTAAACTGTCTTGATATGCAAATCAACTGCCATCTTGGTTGGGTTAATTTGCATACTTGCCCTGATTGGTTGGTGGGCATGGCTTGGGCTTAGCAAAGGTGCAGTCAATTTGCATATTACTTTTTTATTAGGTAGGATGGGTAAGTTTAGCCTCTCCATATATTTCATTTAAATGCAGTTTAGTTTATTATATATACTGCATGGTGTTTAGGTTGATGTCATACTAACTTTCTCGGCAATATTGTCAATTAATTTAGGTTCTGAACTCTGTGAACTAGAAATAAAGCAGAGATAGGATAAAAATTCTAACCAAGTTTTCTTCTGTACATACGAATAACTAAACTGAATGTGTAGAATGTAAATGTCTTTAGGGGGCTAAGGAATGTCCATCATACACCAAAAAATTAATATCTGCATGTTGCAGATAGCTAAGACTTTCATTAGGGCTTATCTTTTAGGACATACATGTTATAAATAAATGCATCTTAGTATTTGATGGCTAAAAACTATTTTATCTTGCATTCATCAATGGCGAAGGAACTAAACATATTAATGAAATATCAACAAAAAATTTTACATGTAATTAATGTGTATTGTATTTTTCTGAGTAAATACCTGTGTGTGGATGTCTATTAAATTCACAGTGTTTCTTTTGGGGGTTCCATACTGTATCTTTGGGGCAGACCAATGCATTTTTCACATAGACATCCAAACGTTGCAGTGTGGAAAAAAAAATTCCTACCAGAACAGCCTGTTAAAAATGAACACATTTTTACATCTTAAAAGAACAATGAAACAAAATTTTAGGATATTATCACTTAAAAAATAAATGTCCTTGAACTATATATACTTTCTGCAAAAAAATTAAAACTATATTTTATGGACTTAGGATAAATATTGAGCTAAAATTATTAAAGGGACTTAACATTCAACCATTCACAGAGATGTTACAACTTATTGATAATTCTCAGTAGAAAAGTGTAATGTAAGAAAGAAATTATTTGAGGAGAATCTCTAAATTAAAGAAGGGGCCTCTTTAAAAGCTAACAAAGTTCAACACACACTTTCAACTCCAGAGGTAGAAGAAAAGGGGAATTTAGCAGTACTCTGTATAATGTAATCACACAAAATTAGCTACTTAATGTTGAAAAAAATGCTTATCTCCGAGACAAACATGGTAATAAGACTAATAAAAATTAGCCCTAGCCTGTTTGGCTCAGTGGATAGAATGCTGGTCCACAGACTGAAGGGTCCTAGGTTCAATTTTGGGCAAGGGCACATATCTTGGCTGCAGGCTGGATCCCAGGCCCTGTTGGGGCATGTGTGGAGGCAACCAATCGATGTATCTCTCTCACATTGATCTTTCTCACTCTCTGTACCTCCCTCTCCCTCAACTCTCTAAAAAGCGATGGAAAATATCATCCAGTGAAGATTAAAAATTAAAAAAGACTAATCAAGATCAGCCCAAGCAACTCTCATCTTTGATTCAATTTTGTTCATTTTCCATGTTTATATTCCCCAAATCTCATGCTGTCAAATGTAATCATAAAGTAAGAAGACTGGCTTCTACAGGACAGGAAGGAAAATTCTTTTGAATTATTCTTTTGAGGCTCAGAATATTAACTGTCACAATACTTTGTAGTTGCATTCTTAACTAAAAATATTCTCTTTTATTCAAAAACTGATTGTCTATCTGAGCGGGGCATTATTCTAGGAGCACTCAAAAGTGCCTTGTTTAAGTTTACATTGTAGAGTGAGGAGACAGAGAATAATTAATAGAAATAATAAAAAGCAAAGTATCAAACAGGTTAGAAAGTGATAAGTGCTATGGAGAAAAAGAAAAGGTAGATCAAAGTGTAAGTAATGGGTAGAGCCTAGAGCAGTGGTCAGCAAACCGTGGCTCACGAGCCACGTGCGGCTCTCTGGCCCCTTGAGTTTTCTAACTTCACTTCTTCAAAATGGACTCACCCAGACCAAAAACCAACTTCTGAGTATGAGCCATAAAGTTTCAATCGCACTGTACGTGCACGCCCACACGTGGTATTTTGTGGAAGAGGCACACTCAAGGGGCCAAAGAGCAGCATGTGGCTCACGAGCTGCGGTTTGCCGACCACTGGCCTAGAGGAAGGGTAATGGGGTAGGCTTATGGAGTGAATGGGAGCTGAGGAGATGGGGGAGTTAGCCACCTGGGGTAGAATGTTGGCGGCAGACTCAACATCTGAACACAGGCAATGGTGGTGGCATGTCTGGTGTGTTGAGGACAGCAAGGAAGACCAGTGCGGCTGGAGGAGTAAAATAAGAAGGGGAAGAGCTAAGGAGGAGATTCTCGTATGGTTTTGTAAGCCCCAGCGAGGACTCTGACTCTTGGGAAATTATTGTAGGGTTTGGGGCAGAGGAATGATCTAACTAGCTAACATTTTGAGAGTCCCTCTGTGGCTACTGAGGTGAGAATAGACAGTAAATGGGGCAAAGAGAGAGCAGGAGAAGGAGTTGGGAGGCAAACACCTTCATCCAAGGAAGAGATAATGTTGGCTCAAACGCAATGGCAGCAGTGGAGATGGTGAGAAGTGCTCAGATTCTGGAGATTAGGGAGGGAGACTCAACCGGATTTGCAGATGAATTGGGTGAGGAATGTGAGAGAAAAAGAAGAATTAAGAATAGATTCCAGGTTTTATATCTTGAGCAACCAAAAAACTGTGATTGTTGTCATCTGAGAAAGGGGAGGGGTGTGTGTGTGTCTCCTTTCATTACTCCTCTTTCGGCTTCATCTCATCAGTATCCTTTCTTCACATTCCTAATACTCTTAGACTTCCACATCTCATACTCAGAAAAAAAATATAAATTATGAGACTACTGCTTAACCTCAAACTCCTTCCCACTGACATAGTGTATATAAATTTAATCACCTCAGCTGAATTCAGTTTATAGGAAAGATCTGACATTAATGAAGATATTTTAGATAATGTGCTGTGACCCTAAAGTCCAAAGGTGTATTTCTGACATAATAAATAATAACAGCATGGAAGAATAAATATATAATTCCAGTGACCAGTTTAGATGTGCACTATTTTTATGTAAAAATTCAGGTTTCCTTCCTAATCGCCCAAACCATAGGCCACAGGGTCATGCCTCATAGATGAATCAAGTGCATATGGGGGAGAGGTATTTGGTATTCATATGAGCCAATGAAAACTGTCTGGGCTAACAGTATTCTTGGTAGTACCCCGATGATCCTTGAAAAGGAGCTGTGGCTGATGATGTTCAAGAGAACAGGGGAGGAGATCAAGTCCTTAGCAGAGAGAAATATAAGCAAGCAATTAACACCAATAACTCTTAAGCAATTGTTTCCATCTTGCCTTACCTTGTCATGCTTAATGTTAAGCAACATCAGTCGAAGATTCTGAGGACTGGTGCCCGTGAAGTACACTTCATAAGATCTGTTCAGAGCCACAATGCTATGAAACAGGGACAGTCTTCTCTGGCAGGAGTATCCGGCACACCAGCCATGATCCTGTGGGCCTAAATCCACCAAATGAAATTCATGTTTCCTGTGATGAATGTTATTAGTGCCAAGTGCGACAAGTAATTGTACTAAAAATAAATTGCGGTGATGAAGTTCATTTATCCATCCTCCCATCTATCCAGAGATCAAAGCTATTTCTCAAACCCTGGCTTAAATAGGCAGGCAGGGAAGCAACTCCTCTCACCCATAATATGACACTGCCCAAGTTAAGACGGGTAAACTGATGTATTGAGGATTTGTCAATGAAGAAATACTAGATTTGCATGGTTCTCTACTTTAATAATCATATTGCAGCTGAGGCCACATAATAAAGAAGAAAATGCTTCATCCTTTCTCCTACCTATCAAATGCGAGTTTGGGGGGGGAATCAACTTTTTCAGACTCTGCTGAGAAATATGCTGTAACAGAGTTAAGTTGTTAAAAATAGAGCCTGTACTGTGCCTAGAAACAGGGATATTTCTATGTCTGAACATTGATTTATTAGCTCTTTCTTATACTCATTTGCTCATCAGTTAATTTGTAAATTCAACAAACTCTTAAGTTTGTTTTTTATTGTCTTTGCCCTCCCCTGTTATTTTAATGTATTTCTTGTTAAAGAGTGTGATTACAAGTAGTGTTGGAAGGTCAACATCATTAATGAACTGAAGCAATCTGAGAAATGACACTCCAATAAACTCCCTAGAAAGCCAAAAGACAGTGAACGCTTCTCTACCTGAATGTAGACCTTTCTGTCGATAGAACAGGTACACCACCTGTAGCCAACTTCTCTATTTCACTTCAGTTTTACAGTGGCTGGGATAAACATTAATGAGGTATGGAATGATGAATTTTCTTGATGTATTTATTCATTAGCATTGCTCAATTTCCTGGCTTACTTAAACTTATCATAAATATTTATAACTAAACTTCAATCAAATTTTAAGTCAATATAAACTTCTGCAACTCACGTGGAACATAAACTTTCCCTTAGCATCCAAAATATAAATTCTACATTTAAATAAACAAACAAAAAGAAATTTCTACACATAAAATAAAAATTTAGAGTGACAAAAGCCACCTAGTCCAGTGTATCCCAAGTTTCATTTCAGAAATGAAAACAAATAATTTCAAGCTTAAGTCTTCTAAGAATTCATGAAAATAAAAAATGAGTAGGCTGAAAATATTTGTTCTCAAGTATTCCAAATAATATATTATTGTTGCGGGCAGAAATAGAATAGTGGGGATTAGCTATAGTTATAAGAAATATTAATCCTCTGTTAACCAGGATTGTTCTGTTCTAATTAGAGAAAGCACATTCTGAGCTGGCTGAGGGTTGTATACCCTGGGCCATGGGAGTTAACCTTAGAATGCAGCCTATTCTCCTTCTCTAAGAATTACCTATCATCATGAAAAGATGAATGACCTTGTTGCTGAAACAATCTGGTAGGGGAAAGCCCCTGCCCTTTGCAACCCTCACCCAGCCTGCAATGCCTGTAACCTGTAACCTGTAACCTTGCCTACTTTCCGATGCCTGTAATTCCTACTTCTCCATGTAAATCTTTGTCCTTCTACTAATATAAGCAGCTGGCTTATGGGGTGGGTAGAGCATGTTTTCATGGATGACCTGCTGCTTTCCCACACTGCTGGCAGTATTAGAATAAACACATACATAATTCAACCATTAATTGGCTCAATCAGTGATAGGCAGCATGGACCCATTGATTGGTCAGTTTCATTATCTTTTTTTTTTAATTTATGAGAGGCAAATTGTCATTTTGGAGACACTCAGGCCAACTTTTACTTAAAAATATTTATGTTATGCCGAAACTGCTTTGGCTCAATGGATAGAGCATTGGCCTGCAGACTGCAGGGTCCCAGGTTTGATTCCGGTCAAGGGCATGTACCTTGGTTCCGGGTACATCCCCAGTGGGGGGAGGGGGTGCAGGAGGCAGCTGATCAATGATTCTCTCTCATCAGTGTTTCTAACTCTCTATCCCTCTCTCTTCCTCTCTGTAAAAAAATCAATAAAATATAAAAACTACTTATAAGTATGAAAATCACTCAACAAATAACTTTCCTTTCTTTCTCCTTCTAGTACTCAATTTTGAATCACTGCCCTGGCTTTCTAATACGGGAAACTGCTGAAGAGTCAAGTATCTCTCTTATACATAGATCTTTCTTACAAATGGGAGGCACAGATGTTTGCTAGTTTCATGTGATAATAATGTATGAGATGTTTCTATGCATGTACTAAATAGTGAGTGCTTTGAGTAATCCTAGTTTGTTGACATTGAACACCTACCATTAATGAGATCTACATAACCACTGCTCACTATAGCCACAGGTGAGAGTCTTCGAGTTTCAGTGTCAGAATCCAGGCTTTCAATGACCATCATTGCATATTCCATCCCAAAGCACCGATAGCTCTGCCATTCTGGAATGTACCTACAGGTTGAATCTCTAATAATTCCTAGAAACATAGGTATATACATTTTAGCAATGAAAAGAAATCTCTTTGCAAAAGCATCCACATACTATCCTTTTTTCTTGTTATGTAACATTAATAAGTAGAAACTACATTATTGGTTGAGTACATCAGTCATTATAAAGAAAAGATATATCTTGTTTCACAAGTTTGAGAACTAGCAGAATAATATCCAACAAACCTTTATAAGGTGCTTTCTCAGTGACAGGGATTCTACTTCCATTTGGGAATGTAAGCATAACCTTTGGAATTCTGTAGTCTCCAATTCCTAACTGGCTATTTCCATTCCATTCATATTCTGATTGCGGTATCACTGAACCAGAATTCCCCAGAAAAGAGCCATCCATATCTCTGAGAAAAGATTTCCTTTTGGCATCACAAACCATGTCTACACAATCAGATGGATTCACCTTCCTGTGGAGAAAAGGTCAAATGTATGAATACTAAGGTTTAGTATCTCTCCCTATTTCTAGGGAGCATTTGAGTATACTTGAGTATTTGACAAGAGAGTATCCAAAAAAATTTGAATGATTGAATCTTATCTTTTCAGACAGGATTTAAAGTAGGACCCAGTAGCATATGTAATGTGCATTGTAATGAGATCTGTTTTCCATTGTGTTGATTTGGTCTATTATGAATTCATTAACATTTCAAAAGGACAAATTATACCTGTGGGATATAAAATTAGAATTCCACTTTGTTGTTTTATACTTTCTTGAATAATAAGTTTCATATTTGTGAATAGCTAACAAAATATTAAAATTACTCTATTGTTCAGGACATAAAAAAAAATCCTGTGTTGGCAAGGAAATCTTTACTATTTTTCCTTTTCTTCTCTCTTTTTTAATGGGTCTTTAAATATTATAAAAGTATTATATGCTTACTATGCAATCACATAAGAACTTGGTAAAAATTTAGTCCCCTTCACTTTCTTATCTCAAGCTCTTAGGTGCATCACAAACTACAGATTAGTATTTATTCTCATAGACTTTTGCCTATGTAAATGCAAACAGATGTGCTTGAATTATGGTTTCTATGCTGCACATTTTAGTAAGCATTCTGTAGATACCATAAGAGATGACATACTATAAACTCACAATGCAGTTCAATCACAGATGGTATTCTGCTTTCATCTTGGGCCACCTGGAGTGTGGATTGTTAATTGGTTATTAAAAAAAATAGCTATTTGATTTGCAATGTACTATACATTGTTTTGTAAACAAGTCCATGGGTAGGTGCCTGGTGGCACTCATTGGACAGTCTGGGGCTCTGTCTAATCTCAGCTTCCAAAGAAAGAGCTGAGATGTAGACTTTTGTTCAAGTTAGGTATTGAGGGAATCCTCTCAAAAGGGAAGGAGAGCGGCCACAGTGAAAAGCTGTGGGGCTATCATCAAAACAAAATCAGATGAAGTAAAACTATTTATGAAACATTGCATTTCTCTGAAGAGATGTCTGACAGCATTATTCCTTGTCTTTTCCTTATCCTGAAAATGAACAAATATATCTAATAGAAAATTTCTTACCTCCACTGCTGCCTTACACTTAAATTCCTTGTCTGCACCTCTTATGAACAGTAGCAATTATTGACTATATTCTTTTAAGACTTAGAATGGAGGTGGTTCAGCTTCCACAAGTATTCTGACACCACCTGTCCTTTGTGACTGAAAAAAAATCACTGTTCTAAGTTTCCACATATTCTCAGTCACAGTGATTATAAGGACAGACATTCAATTTTCAACAAAACGTTAGAGTGCATGAGATAAGACACTTGGAAAGCAACAGGAAACAAAAAAGTGAATGAAAATCAAAGAAATGTTAGAAATGTCTCTCGTTCCAAATGGAGATATACTTTTGTACAGTGCATTTCTAACCCCATTTCTGCCTCTTACATTTAATGATAGTGTTATTTACAATGCATTAAGCCCTGGCAAGGTAGGTCAGTTGGATAGAACATCCCAATACACCAAGGTTGTGTGTTTAATCTCTGGTTAGGGCACATACAAGAAGCAACCAATGAATGCATAAAATAAGTGTAACAACAAATTGATGTTTTTTCTCTCTCCCCCTTTCCCCTCTCCCTCAAAAATCAATTAAATAAATATACTGCATGGAAAAAACAGTATGAGAAAATATACATATATTCAACTTAACTGATAACACAAGTACATTAGTCTTCATTTTCATAATGCTGATAAGAAACATAGAAACTTTCCCAGCTCTATGGCAGGGGGGAAAGGCAACAGAGAACTATGAAGAGAGGAAGAAAACTGGGTTTTCATATATTTTACCTTATATCAGGCCTATGTATAAATATTTTTGCTTTTTCAATAGTGTCAACCAGCTGTATGTTCTTCACATGGATTGGATGCTGTAAATCCTCATTTAAAGGGTTAGTAAAGAATATCACATTAGTTTCACCTGAACAAACATTCTTGAATCCAACAAATGTTGAACCTGAAATGTAAATAATAGATAAGTAATTACTTCCCATAGAGGAAGTGGTACAGTTGCATTTCACGTATATACCTTGAACATGAAGGTCTTAGCTTATGTGGAAGATTAATCTACCACCATATGTGGTAGATTGTTGTCTCCCTATGTCAACACCACTGAGTTGTCATTTTCATATTTCTCTGCGCTTGGCCATGTAATTTATTTTGGCCAATGGGACAAGAGCATTTGTGGTATTAGCAGATCTGAAAAGTGCTTGCATGTTAGGGCTCGCTCTCTTGGTGCTCTAGGAAACTGTGAGTTTATCATGTGAATGAGCCTAACTCAATCAGCCTCATTACTCCATTCTTGAAATGGACTCTGATGTCTGATTTCTTTTCTTGTCACATTGAGCAGATTCATGTACACATTCATTTTTTAAAATATATATTTTATTGTTTTTTTTACAGAGAGGAAGAGAGAGAGATAGAGAGTTAAAAACATCGATGATAGAGAATCATCGATCAGCTGCCTCTTGCACACCCCCCACTGGGGATGTGCCTGCAACCAAGGTACATGCCCTTGACCGGAATCGAACCTGGGACCTTTCAGTCTGCAGGCCGACGCTCTATCCACTGAGCCAAACCGGCTTTGGCATGTACACATTCATTTAAATAATTTTTTTTACTAACAATGACACATTACTAAGTATACTCTATGTACACTTTATAGCACTCAATTGAGATTTGTCAAAGTTTTAACTTGCCTGAAACTTCCAAAAGGCCACTGATGGCGTTGTAACTCATGATCCCTGCATGAGGCTTCCGAGGTGCCATGTTATGTGCTGAAGCAAAGGTGGGCCAGCAAACCCCACTTCTCCCTCCTTTTATGAAAAGAAGACAGTTAATGAAATTTGAAAGTGCATTCAGTAATTAAATTTGAGAGTGCGTTCAAAATTAAAATTCTAAATTTTCTACCTGATGGAGGTCTAGAACTCCGATGGGCAGCAGAAAGTTCAATATTGGGATCATCATTTGTTAGGCGATCAGAGCAATTAAATTCAGGGCTACTTCCAACAATTAATGAGCTCTATGAAAAAAATTCAAACAATACAACTTTAATAATAGCTACTGCTAAGAGAAAACACAATAATGGTTAATACTGAATTGCACTGTTGCAAAAATACAATCTATACGTTTGAGAATTGGATCATTAAACCAAGATGAAAAAGGTGTGATTTCTTCCTAAAGTGGAATGACTCAACGTGGCAAAGGGAAGATGGGTATGTAGACAATTATATATAATGGCATGTTCCGTTTCTAGGATATACATATGTCCAGGAAACAATAGGAACAAGAAGAGGAGGGAGTAACTTAAGCTACCTAAGCTGCTTCAGGAAAAAATTCATAGATGGAATGAAAATGTAACTAACTGAGGAAAAGTTAGCAGGTGATAATCAAGCATAGGTGAGGGGCCCTGGCCAGTTTGGCTCAGTGAATAGAATGTGAGCCTGTGTATTGAAGGGACTCAGGTTCAAGGGCCCTTACCTCAGTTGCAGGCTCCTCCCCTAACCACCTGGGGGCACATGCAGGAGGCAACCAATCAATACTATGTTTCTCTTACATTGATATTTCTTTCTGTTTTTCCCTCTTTCTTCCACTCTCTTTAAAAATCAATAAAAAAAAATCCTCAGGTGAGGAGGAGGAGGAGGAGGAGGACGAGGAGACGATGATGACAACAATGAAGAAGAAGAAGAAGAAGAAGAAGAAGAAGAAGAAGAAGAAGAAGAAGAAGAAGAAGAAGAAGAAGAAGAAGGAGGAGGAGGAGGAGGAGGAGGAGGAGGAGGAGGAGGAGGAGGAGGAGGAGGAGGAGGAGGAGGAGGAGGAGGAGGAAGAGGGAAGGATTTGGGGAGCAGAGGGAAGTATGGAAAGCTTCCTAGGAGAAGTCAATGAGAGCAAAGGTGGGAGGTTTGGGCTAGCTGGGGTAGAAGTCAAGGAGGTTATTTATATTAATCCTTCAATAATTTTAGTCTTAATATGTGGCTGTATTCATGTCTTACCTTAATTTGCACTGTTTTATTGGAAATTTGGTGAGATATGGCAGCTGGCATATAAATCATTGAAGAAATGGCCATTCCATTGTCAACCAGGGTCACATTATGGATATACACACTCTCTGTGGTCTGTAATACAATTTATAGTTTACAGAGTACAAAACACAATCATAAAAGAAAACAGTCATGATCTTCTATCAACTTACCTGGAAATAAATTCCATAATCCCAGCACATCCAAATGGTAAATCCCTGTATGAGAGAACATCCAGGAAGGCCATCCTGGTTCATATAGATGCCATATAAGCCCCCATGAGCCTCATTGCCAAACCACTTTTCCAGGGGGTTAGACAGACCTTGGATGGAAACACAGAATGAGCTAATTAAGATTATAAATCATGTCACATAGTTTTTTAAGCAGTGTCAGTTTAAGTTCAAATTCTTTTAAAAATTCAAAATATAATTTTGATGTAAATTTTAACAAGATGAACAAACATTTTCATAGTTTAGTCATTTATGATTTAGTCTCTTTGGTGTTTACTGTTATCTAAATGGTCCCTTTACTGTTATTTAGAATAATTGTATGCTCATTTGTAAATGTTTGGTTTAGCATTAGCACCCTTAATTTATTGTATCTGATAAAACTAAACATGAATTTCATTAGAAAGAGCATGAAGTTAGATTGAAATAGGCTGAACTTGAAACACAATGGCACCACTTGCTGTCTGTAAAACATTTCCCTGTAGACCATTGTATTGGCAGTTCCTCTGGCCATTCCATTTTCAAGTTAAATATTACTTCTTTACAAGGCCTTCCCTGACCACCTGATCCAAAGTAGCACCTCAGTCACTTTGCATAGCAATTAGAACTTCCTTCACTTAACATTGTGACTTATTTGACTTTATTATGACATCCATCTTCTCTCTTATTATAATACTAGAAGCCTGGTGCATGAATTCATGCACAGGTAGGGTATGGCCAGCTCACCCCGATGGGGTTTGATCATGGGTAAGGTGAAAGAGCCACAGACGGTTGACCAGCCAGCACTGCCTGGATCAGGGGTAGGTGGAGCAGACCAGCCGGGGGGAAGGGCTGCGGGAGGTTGGGTAGGGGGGCTGAATGGGGTCCCAATTGGGCTGGTTGGCTGCCACAGTGTGTGTCATAACAACCAGTCATTCCAGCATTCTCTCGTTCTGGTTGCTTGGCTTTTATATATAAAGATAAGCTTCACGAGAGAAGCTCACTGACCATCATATTCCTAGAGCTTAGAAGGTAATGCAGAGATAGGTACTCATTAAATATTTGTTGAATTAATCTATTTATGATGTTTGCAAAGTTATTCAACCTTGTTGGACTTTAGTTTCCATATATATATATATATGTTTGTTTTTTTTAAATCAAGCCTCTTTCAGAGTTGTTTCAAAATGAAATGAAATAGCCTCAATGAATGGAAACTATATTAATAATTAATACACAGGATAATTGATGTAGATTTTAATGAAAATTTTATGTAGCTCCAAATCAGATGAGTAACCTTAATAACTCCTTCCTCACCATGCATAAATTTTAAGATTTCCTATAAAGAGCAGAGCCACCCCTGAATTATACTTACTCCCCAAGGATCTGACTTCATTTTATCTTCTATTGCTTTTCCATTTTCCCTAGTCCTTTGAGATTGACATTTTGACGATGGTTTCCAGGTTTCTATTTTGTTTCCTTCATAAGAAGCTATGTGCATGTCTTTTTGTTGTTTCCACACAAGGTAACTCATGGGCAAACATGGATCCCCCTTTCCCAGCATCCTAGCCACTCCTTGTCTGGGAGATGAATTTGATAGGTTGATGTCTCATTCCAAGAACTTAAACCCTCAATTCCTCTGTGATGTTTCATGTTTCAATTGCTTGAAATCTAAAAACTCCTATAGACACTCTCAATTATTTAGGAATATCAATGCAGTCAGTAAAAAATGAATGGCATAATATCACATATTAATACATATTCATATTCACAGGTCATGTTTTGATTTAAAAAAAAAAACCGCACAACACTTCAAAGAAGTTAAAGAAAAATTGCATATATTTACATTTTAAGTCAAAGAAAAGCTACTGAAAGCTGTTGGGATCTAAAATATTTAAAAAGAGCATATATCAAAAATAAGTTAAGAAGGTTTATCCCTTCAAAATCTATTTGCACAAGAATAAAATTAGCATAAGCCACTACGTTTTGAATTTACACCAAAAAAAATGCTGATTTAAAGAATCTTAAAAATAATTACGCTGAGAAAACAAACTGTAGAAGGAATATAAATTTTTCAGAGGAAAAAATCCCATTATCTTTAACTAAGTAAGTTTCTTAGGAGACAAAGCCTTAAGTTTTGTTATTTATTTTACTTTTTGGATCTGATAATTCTCTTTGTTGAAAAATCAAGAGGTTATAAATAGTTAGTCAATAATAAGTCACCAGTGATCCTGTTCCCACTCAATTTCTATAGCTCTGTTTTTATACTTCGTGTTTCTTTATGTAGACATACATACTGCACATGTTCTTATTTTTTTCCTTTTTCCTCACAAAACATATACACCAAACAGTATCATATATACTGTTCTGAAATTTCCTTTTTATCACTTTAGAATCCTTTTATCACTTTAGAATATATGATATGTATCTTTTTTTTATTCTTTGAGAGGGGCCTGGTGTTCAATGCTGGGCTTTGTATAAAAACCTACAGTTATTGGACACAGGTAGCCTTCAATTTTCTGTAGCACACAAAACGCTGTGATGAATAGCCTTTTTTTACAAATCTTTTCTTTTTTAAAATATATATTTTATTGATTTTTTACAGAGAAGAAGGGAGAGGGATAGAGAACTATAAACATCATTGAGAGAGAAACATCATCAGCTGCCTCCTGCACATCCCTTACTGGGGATATGCCCACAACCAAGGTACATGCCCTTGACCGGAATCGAATCTGGGACCACTGAATCTGCAGGCCGACGCTCTATTCACTGGGCCAAACCGATTAGGGCTACAAATCATTTCTCTTACAGAGGCAACAGTTAGTTATATTAAAAGTGTAGGAATGCTGACCAAAGGTAAATGCCTCTATCACTCTGGTGGCTATTGCTGGATTCCCTCTGTGGATTATATAGTTTTGTCCTTCAAGCAGCAACGGGTAAATGTCCTGTTTCCCTACAGCCTCACCAAGAGAGCAGTTGTGCAGTTAGTTCTTGACGTTTGCTCATCTGATGGGAATATATCTGATAACTGTCTGTTCACGTCCTTTGCCTTTCGTGCTTGCAGGTTTTAACACATAAACAGTGAGCATTTATCCCTTTATAAAGCAGAAGCATGGAATAGTGGCACATCCCCGCAGCATGTACCAGTATCTCTACATTTCATTCTATGAAAGTTCCAATACCAGCCAAATCAGGAACTGAAGTTGCTGTTAGAGGTTTGGGATCACAAACATGGAAAATCGTTGTCTTTAAAAGCCTATTCATTCTTTCTTTAGATTCAATGGTATCTTAAAATAATTTCCCTTGTTGAGTCCTTTCAGTGCCCAGAGAGAGGCTATATCATATATTGAACTGACAACAATTGTTTACTTCTAACGAATTGGAACAAATTATTTCCTAGTTTTGGTGACTCCATGGCAAAAGACTTACTTGAGCAAGGTTCCCCGTCAATGCGGTATCCCGCCCTTCCAAATCCAGCCACGACGTTGTTTTGTAAGACTGTATTGGTCCCTCTATTTATCTAGGATAATTACAAAGAAAATGCTTTGGGTCAGGCCCTTCCAAAATTACCCAATGAAAGCCAGTAGGCAACACACAGAATGTCTAATTATGACTACTTTCAGGAGGAAAATTTTAATTCATTATCCACTCCATTCAAACTTACATTACAAATGAAGTATTGATATTACCTTAGGTTCTTGGTATAAAACCATCACTAGACTTCTCAGAAAAGTACATTGAAGAGATTATTTATTACTTTTATTATTTTTTTTACACGTTAGACTTCTTAGGAAAGTGCATTAAAGAAATTATTTTTTTATTTCAGTAACAAAATCCACTGGATGTGGTTAAATACTTATATGCTATTGGCTAAATTCCAGTAGCAAAGTTACAAGTATTTTGTCACTCTTTTTGGTTATATTATATTACCAATTTGATTTATTTAAAACACGACAACCAAGGAAATTACACTGGACTATATGATTTAATAGAGGCATTCAATACTTTAAATAAAATCTGCTTTAATAAAAAACTGGGTAGCATGAATATTAAGTAATGACTAAGCAATTTTATGAGTCAAGTCAAAGTGGTAGAAAATGAAAAGTAAAAACACAGAAGGTTTAGTTCTTGTCTACAGTGTCGGCAAAACAGTTAAAAGCTCAATTATTTAAAGCACATTAAACACCCTATTTTAAAGACAATAATAAAATAGTCAAATGGTATTCATAAAAGTAAAGTATCTTTTATGACAAAAGATACAGATGACTTTAAAGAATAGGAATTGACATTTGATTACATTCAAACTTTTATAAATAGATGAAAGAAAACATTTTTACCTCATAAATATATACTAAGTTTCACATTTTACTGTAAGGTAATATTAATAGTTGCCCAAAATCAAAGCCCAATACTTATCCCATTTTTCAAAGAGAACTATTTGTAATTCTTTTTTGTTCCTATGGCATAGGTGATTAAAACAAAAACAAGAGGAGCCATATTTCCTCTAGATCCTTTCTCTGTACTATTTTCTTGTTTGTAATATCACTCTGCATATAAATAAAGACCAATAGTAGTTGGAAAAATTCCATGGGAATCAGGAAGGGTCCAATAGTAATGTTAGATAAGAGTACATAACCTTGCATGTAGAAGAAAAGTTGTAGATGAGAAAGAGGTTGCAGAGATTCTGTAGTCTATTATTATAATTTTCCATTTGGAAGGGAGCTCAATTCAGAGTTAAATATTGTAGTAGTATGTGCAAGGCACTCAGTCAGTTAGCAGCACAGAGACCCTGTACTATAATCTGAGAGCAATAATTAATATTAGAGAAGCAATAAATATGAGAACGATTTAAACCAGTGGGCATCAGCACAAAGAAAAACCCAGTGGCTATTGGAGCTCACATTATCTTTTAAGAAAGTTCATTCAGTTCTTTAATTAGTACATTTTACTAATTCGCCAATCTTTAAGGAAGAAATAGTTTTCAATGATATTTTGAGATTTATAATTTCTACAGAAATTATAATCTTCAATGAGGAAGTTATAATGTTGTATAATTATAAATCTGTTTGCATTACCTCAATTGCTGCATGCCAGAGAGTTGAACTCAAATCTTTTCTGTTCTGATAGGTTCCTGGCCAAACCGAAAGGGCAACCAGGTTTCCTCGGACTCTGTTGCCATCCCCCCAAATCCTTATGCCTGGAAAAGAAATAAAATCCCCCCCAATACATACACATTTGTAATAAGTATTACGAGGGGTGTCTGTGGGGAAAATTCATTTTCTAATTTAAGCCTGATAATTGAATCCCTTAGATTTTAAATGTGAACTCTGATAGTGAAACTCTACTTCTTTAATAGACTACCTGAATTAGGATCTTTTGGGTGCTTATTACATATGTAGGCTCACAGTTTCCACCTCAGGATTTAACAAACACATAAATAATTATCATATATTTTAAAAGTTTGTATTGTGTTCTTTAATGACATTCAAGAAAGAATAACCCCCTAAAATAAAATATAAATTTTTTTTATCAAAGAACCCTTATTAGTGAATAAGCTTTTTGATTGACATGTGAGGAGTATTTTAAAAGTCATAGTAATTTAAACTATTGGTATTAGATAACGCTCATAAGATCAGGGTTTGGTAAATAATTCTTCTTGCGCTCTACTATCCATCATGGTATCCATACATGTGACTACTTACATGTAAAGTAAGTACAATTAAATTAAGTACAATTAAAATTAAAAATCCGGTTCTTCGGTAACATTAGTCACATTTCAAGTGCTCAGTGCCCACATTTGCTTTAGTAATTACTGTAATAGCACAGATATCAACCATTTCCATTCTTGAGGAAAAATCAGCTGGACAGCTTGGCCCTAGAGCTTACAGATAAGACTGACTCCAAAAGATACGTTATGTGGACCAAAATATTATTCTCTTACCTTCCCCCACTGTGAAGTGAATTATGTTATCATCTATGTCCAATCCATCTGTTCCAAACACACCAATTGCCGGGGAGAAGCCATGGTGAAAAGCACAGCCTCGAATGTAAGATGAGCCATGTTCCTGAATCTATAAAACATCAGGATTCAGTGAATATTTCAAAAGTAAAATGAAAATTTATTTAAAGAAAAAAATTCGAAGTAGGTGACCTTCAGGAAACACACCTTCATAAATAAAATACTCAATTTATATTCCATAAAAAGAGATGATTTCCCAGCAGGTCTTTTAATCCTGGGCAATCTCCACATATCTTAAATTTATGATTAAATAAAGCAAAGAAAAAAAGTATGCTTATTTTAAATACAGGTAAAAATTTCTCAAGTACTTTGCTATGGATTTATATTTCTATCATTACCTATAAAATGCTAAGGTAATAAAATTTATTTTTTTCAAAATAGTTTATTACATGATTAACAGGGATTTTCTTTTTCTTCAAAATTTGACTTTTGAGGCAAGGGATTGTGACTCAACTGTCTATTGGAACCAGCCAATTAGTAGGTTACGGGTTTCAATTTCAAACCGACAAGATTACTTTTTATTTCCATAAGAAATAAGCTCTCATTTTTTCTTAAATCACCAGCCCTCACAGAATATTTTGTTCCCCACTTTGACAGAGACATGGATATACAGACATGGGTATCTTTCATTTGAGAAATTTAAGCAATACTCACTTTAACAGAAACAGGAAATACATTTGGTTATTTCAAAATAAAGTGAAGGTGTTAGATACTATTATGGATAGTCAATCCTTTCCCCTTCTTTGCTGCTTTTTCTGTTTTTATTTAACTTACCCGCAATAAATGCATGAAATGGGTGGAATGAAATGCTACTATGAGTCTAAAACAGTTAATGGGAATACATCTAAGAAAGTTGTATTATATCATAGTCTTAGTCATCATAAGCTATGGCTATTTAGTAAAGATAAATGGAAATCAGATAAAAATATTTCACTTTGGATATATGCAAAAATTCCACATGCAGTACAAACCTGTCCTAGGTTAAGAAACGTGACAGCATAGCGTGGATCCGTGCTGTCTCTGAAGCCCTCTTGGCCACTGTGATAAAATTCCACATTACTTATCCTTGCATTTCCTGTGGGAAGGAGGCAGTTAAATTTATTTTTTCTTGAAAAAAAAAATGAAACATTTAAAAAATCTACAAAAGCTGTAATTTTTCCCATTACAAATGTGTTTTCAACTCTTTCATGGAAATCTCATTAGGGTTTCATTGCTCCTTTAATCTAAATGAGGCAGTTTCATTGCTCCTTTAATCTAAATGGAAACTTTTTATTTCCACTGCTCCCCAGAGCCTTCTTAGGCATTTTTTTCCCTAATCGCTTCTGCTCTCCATGAAATTTTAATAACACAGATATACTATGTATCTGTTAATGTATGGTGGTTCTTTGGGGGGCTACAAACCATGGCAATGACTAAAGGTATTTTTATCCCTCAAGGACTAACCTCACCGCTTGGTAGTGATATTGTCCCTGTTGAGAATACATGATATTAGGCATGAGGTATAATTCACCTGACATTTCCATTTTGATGTTCTAAAGAGCCTGTAAGGGCATTATCATTACATAACCCCTCTAGAATATGCTCTGCTAACTACCTGCTCATCAGTTTATCATAAGTACCACTGAGCTGCCCAAGGCCAATTTCATAAATTAGCAACAATAGCAAAAACAGTCCAGGAGAGATTGCTCTGTGCCAAAGCTATACTAACTGCTGGCAGTGGTTGGTTTAATTCTCATACAACATCCTATGAATTAGGAACTTTTACCCCTCTAATTGTTTATTTCTTTATCTTTATCATTAAAAGAGAGACAACATTGTCATAACTATGTACAATGTCAGGAGGGTACTATATAGACTTCTTAGTTGAATCGCTTAGTAAGTTATATAAATGACTATGCTGTTCACCTGTAATTGAAAAATAAAAAAATGAAAAGGGGCACAATATTTATGCCATAGTATGATGATTATTAAATGGGATAATATGTGCTATTATCTAAGGTCATTGTTAATTTGGTCATTCTTACTGTCAGAAGTACAATAAGTGGAATAATGTTGGGGATTTGGTATAGGAAGGTAGCACATGGGCTTATAATCCCACTGAAAGCTTTATTTTTCCAAGTATCAAATATAAGACATCAGGCCCAAAGCAGAGTCACTTATGCTAAGCCACACAACAAACTGAAATTTAACTTAACTACAGTTTTGGCTCTTCCAGAAATGGAATCTTAAATCAGCGAATCAGGATGGCCTATCAGCATCAGGGGTAATGTGCCTGATAAACCCTTGCCATCTCCTACATGGAAAGTAACCTTTTTAAAAAAAATTATTATTGTATTACAAATAGTAGTACGTATGTCACCTTCCCCCCCCCCCCCCCACCAAGCACATGTCTTCACCCCCTTGGTGTCTGTGTCCATTGGTTATGCTTATATGCATGCCTTACACCAACCAATTTGCTGTTTTACTGAGTATAACTTCCTCATTCCTGCCCCCTTCTGTCTATAAAATCTTTCCTCATGTACAGTTCTTCAGAACTCCTTTTGACCTGCTAGATTGGATGCTGCCTGATGCATGAATCATTAGATAAAGCCAGTAAGATCTTTAAAATGTTCTCAGTTGGCCCTGACTTGTTTGGCTCAGTGGATAGAGCTTCGGCCTGCGGACTGAAGAGTCCCAGGTTTGATTCTGGTCAAGGGCATGTACCTTGGTTGTGGGCACATACCCAGTAGGGGATATGCAGGAGGCAGCTCATCGATGTTTCTCTTTCATAAATAATGCTAACTCTCTATCCCTCTCTTTTCCTCTCCGTAAAAAATCAATAAAATATATTTTTTAAAAAGTAAAATGTACTCAGTTGAATTTCGTTTCTTATCACAGGAGATCCTTTAAGATGTGAGAATTACTGAAGAACTGACTACACATAGAAAAGACTAGACTATATTTCATTTAGGAAAAGAAACTGAATTTGTACCGACCTTTAAAAGTCATCATATTTTCAGTGAATGAGCTGATCAGGACACGTGCACCAAATGATTCCTGGAACCAACCTGGGTAGTCCTCACCAAGGATTTTGATGTTCCTGCTCAGAATCCCAACATCAGCTGCTAACGTGTAGCTCTGACCTGTTCCAGGAATGTGGTATCTTTCACCTGCAACAGGACAGCTAGGTTATTACCAAAGATGAGAAATTCCCATCTTCATGAGTTCATAGGCTGCAAGCTTTCTAATGTGCCAAAAGTCAACAACACAAATGCATGAATTGATTAAAGTTTTATCCTTTAACATACATAGATGGCAGACTGAAATTGTGACAGCTTTTTATTTATGGAATAAAATGTAATTAAAAGTATGTCTTAACACCAAAAAGATTATTATAATCAGCAATTAGGAAGTTACTGCTTCATAGGAAGTTTGCAATCACTTTATTCAGGAAAACACAGTTGTAAGGCAAGTGGAGAAGCTGCTTGTAATTCTAATAGATGCGGAAGTGAGGTAGAGAAGTAAAACAATTTGTCCAAGGCTGCGTGGAGAATCAGCAATAATCGATATTACCTCTCCTGACCCCCACACCTTGGTTTGTGGCACTTTTCCTGGGCGTATTTTGTATCAATCAAAATTCTTTATAAATATGAGTAGCATAGACAATATAGTGTGTATACTTGTATCTTAATGATTTATAAAACATAACCTAAATTCCATTCTGCATTTCTGGAAATCTTAGTCAAAACTTTAAGACAGGCAAATACATTTCAAAAGAGAGAAATGTTTGGTAGTTTGAAGGAAAAACTCAAAAACTATATAATGTCAAACTTCCAAAGGTTTTTGCTTTACGATTAAAATGTTCTTCAATGAAAACTTTCCTTTTTGATTTAAAGGAAAATATGTGATACAGAATGGAGGACACACAGGCTTCTATTAAAATACTGCTTTAAAAGGTTCTCTTAAGTTTCCTTTTCACGCAGGCCACCTATCCACAGCCTCTCACACCGCCTCACAGAGGGAGTTCTCATGAGCACCAGAGCATCTAAGGGGTTTTCTGACATCCTTTCCTGTCTGCTTCCACATCCTGGGATTGCAAGGAAGGTAGCAGGCTAAATGGGGAGAGAGTGGGTGCAAGGAAGGCTCTGATCCTCCAGGCTGAGATTTGGTCTTCAGTTGATTCTGAGGAATTCCTTCTTTCCTGGATGATTATGGTTTATCATTTGGCTGTAGCTTATTTAAATGAAGTTACCACTGAGGAATTGTCAATGAGACCAATCAGGACAAAGATGCTCTCAGATCAAGGGTTTTCACATGTTAGTGTGCCTAAGAATCGCCTAAAAGCCTGCTTAAAACAAAGTGGCACCTTGTCCCACAGAATGAGAGGATGTAATGCAATAGCTCTTTGCTTTGAGTTTGCTAAATGAAGGAATGGCTATAGCGGGGACTCTTCCTAGCCAGCATGTAAACAGTAGCACAGCGTGGGTGCCCGTGCCAGTCTAAGTGAAATGCCCTTCTAAAATAATCGTGAGATGTTTCATCTGATAATTGTAATTACAGGGGATAGCACTAAAATGGGACGACTTTAAGACATTTTAATTACGTATCTATCTGGTTAAAGAACAACCACTTACCAAGGTGCGTGTAGGAAAGAGGTTCGTTGAGAATGAGAATTTTGTGACCATGCAGGATTTTAACGATGCTTCTAGTTTCTGTCTGGTGGATATCATAACTCGTGGTTGTTATCACAATCTCTTCTCCCTCCTTAGGGAAAAATCAAGTGCCAAATACAAGAACAATTTTAAAAATAGGTTTATATTTCTTAATAATTACTCAAAATTCTAATTTATTTATATCTGATTAGAATCATGGTATTGTCACACAGAAAAAAACAATATACTTAGATGTCTAAAATAAATATGCTTCTGTTTAATATTAAGAATTCTATCGATAAATTTTGAATTATCTTAGAATTTTCTTACATTTAATTCAGTCATTTAATAAAATCAGATTATACATTTAAAAACTTAAATGAATAAAAATTTTATATTTTATTAAAAAGCTGATGAGAACAATACTCTTTAAGACTTAAAAAATCTTTTCCGAAGAATTCCATTTGAATTCCTAAAAGTTAGGAAAGGAAGAGAAATCTTAAAGAGCAAGAAGACCAAGTCTTAGAATCTGTATTTGTATATGACAAGTTTCTTCTTGTCACCCAAATCTCCGCTCAAATGTGCCTATAAGGGAGAAAACATTTTTTTTTTTCCTCTACCCTCCTAAGTTCTTGGCTGAGGCTCCTGTAGCAAAAGACAGATTAACAAGAGAAAAACATCTAAATGTATTCAACATAAGTTTTATGGGACATGGGGAGGAAGTGAGGATCTGAAGACATTGTTATCCCTGAGTGTTTCTATGCAAGATTTCATGACGTGGGAGGGTAATGGGAAAGTGACGGGTACGAGTTCAGTGTAATAAACTGGGAGAGCCAGCAAGGTCCATTCCAGTTCTTCTTTGTGTCGCTTTGTCTTCAAAGACAAGGATGGTCTTTTCCTCTGGGAACAGGGAAGGCACCTCACACATGAAGGGTTATAATCTGTTTCGGGGGAAAGTAGAAAGTCCTTCCAGCACAGACTGTTTCTCAGATTCCTTCATCTTAAACTATTTAAGGTTTGGGATAGCATGTCTTGAATTTAATATTTTTGGGTAGCATGTCTTGAACCCCATCTTACCCTCGACAGATGCTTTTTCTGGCTGCCCTATTTAATGTTATCTGGCACCCTCTACTAAGGTAGTCTGTCTCACAATACCTATTTTATTTCCTTCATCAGTGAATCATAGTCTGAAATTAAGACATTTATGTGTTAATTTCGTGTCTGCTTCTCCCACCCCAATGTAATGTCCACTATAGTTTGACCAATTTCTTCACCACTGAATCTTTTGTCCAGAAAATGCCTGACACTTGGTTAGATATTAATTGGATAATTAATATGTAAAACATATTAATTGGGTAAATAATGCAATATTAATTAGAGAATGAATAGGGATATTGAAATTATTTAAGTACCATCTAAAAAGTAATCACAGCTCAACTCTCACAAATAAGAACCTATTGTACATAGATTACAGTATCTCCCAATAAATCTTATTTCTATATACCAATTTTAGGCTACATTAAGAGAACCAACCCCACTGATTTGTTTTGATTTACTCAGACTAAGGTTTTCTTTGTTCTGTGACTCAGTAGAGGGGAACTGGCTGAGATCTGAGAGCTTGGAAAAGGAATCAATCCATTTCCCTGACCTTTTAGCATTAAGGAGTATTTGTAAAACATGTGAATCGATGGCCTATGCACACTTATGAGTATAGTAGAGAAGGAATTGCCACTACTCATTTTACCAAAATCGCATTTAACACAGGCAGTATTTGGATATCCCTGGGCATCAGGATTTGTTTTCTTTCCCAATGGTTAACATGTAAAATAAACAAATTAGAAAGAGAGAACCAATAAACAATAAAATGTACTTAAAACAATTTCTTCTTTCTGTTTTGCAAGATTTTGTCGTAAAAAACATTTTTAACCCCAAACTCTCACATTTCCCTTTCATAACGAATATATACATGTTGTTCTTTATATGTTCTAAGGTCCTTTGACACCACAATTTTTAAATGCCTGCTATCAGATCAGCATTTTGAGTGCACGTTAATTGCAAAATACGTATTTCTCAACTGGTTAATCATATGAGAAATAAATGTCCATGAGAATGAAGAAGAAACCTTTTCTATGTTGACCCATTGTGTGTGTTCACTTTCCACCACATAGTGTTTCCTCTACCTGCCAGTCCACAGCATCCACCAGGGACAGGACTCTGGAACCTGCTTCCGAGGTTTCTGAGAGTTTAGTTTTATATATCGAACGTGGAAGTCCATGAAGATCCAGCTCACCAAACACCCCTGCAGGAGAAAAGCACACTGCTGCTCATTCACCACACAGTACTGAGCTAGGTGCTGAAATAAAATGAAACTGTTCTTGATATATTCTAATCAGTGATTGAACATTTTAGAATGAATGAAACCAATCGGGGTCATCTGCTCAGGGCTTTGACACTTTGATTCACTTCTAGGAATAGAAGTAAATAGACATTAAGGCCAGTCCACAAGAATATATGAATGAAGATGCTTAGTTCATCAATATTTGAAAATGTGAGGAAACTAGAATGAATTAAATTGTATTTCAATAGAAGGATGGGATAAACTGTAATATCCCATCTAGGATAATTCCATGGTGGAATATGCTATAAAAGGAAAGGGTGTTGGGTGTTACCTGCAAGTATTGATCTGGAAAGACATCCATAACATTTAGGGAAAAAAGCACTAAAATATGAAAAGAATTATTGCTCAGAGAAAAACAAGAATATGAAGAAAGCCAAATTAAAGGTGTCTAATGTGCATATGGGGAGATTTGTTAATGTTAGTTTTATAATGAATTATATTTTGATTTAAAATATACACATCTATATCTAATTTAATGTAACATGGCTTAATTTTAAATTTTTTTCTGCCACTTTAGTAATCCTTTACTATAAATAAATATTTGTAAAAGCTTCTGAACCATAAAATTAAAAAACTAAAAATAATATTTTGAAGTACATTCTTAAAACTGATATGCATGATACCTTTAGTGTCTGGAAACACATACCTAAGATCTTTGATCCTTGATTTGGTCCTTCTGGAAAAGCCCACTCTGGAGTAGAATGATTTCCTCTAAGAACAATCTGTAATTCTCCTTTAAAAGGGTTATCTTCCCAGCCACCAATTAATCTACCTCCCTGCAGTGAAGCAGAAAATTGTCAATACTTAAGAGCAGAAAAATTTCCCCCATAAAAAATAAATTGGGAAGACTGGAAGCCTTGTCTAGTGAAAATGAATAAATTCTGTTATACAATGAACAGTATTATAACTGGAAGTGAGCTCAACTTAATCCATTCACTATGGAATAGGCAATTTAATTTTCCAAGGTCAAGTTCAATATCTATTTACTTTAAGAACTGAACCTAAAACTGGGACCTTTTAAGGCCTAAACTAGTGCTGTTTGAACAGATCACACTGGGTTATAAAATAATATGGCCTATATATAATATATTCATCTACTTATAACCAAGCTGTGCCATTTATGAGCCATGATTGTTAGTAATAAAAGCTATTACTAAATGCTTGCTGATTCTAGGTCAGTCATACTGTGTAAGGCTTTACCTATATTGTACCACTTAACCTTTATACTAAACCCATGAGTTGGTATTATTCACATTTTATAGGTAAGAAAACTGACGCTAAAACTAGTCGAATAACTTTCCCAAGGTTACCCAACTATTAAACAGTGAGGCAAGGATTCAATCATAGTTTTAATTTGCCTCAAAGCTCACACATGTAACTAAAATATCACACCTTTAAAATATTAAAAGCTTAGTTTTATCAAAGACGAGCTACTATACACTTCTATTTTTTTAACTAGAGGCCTGGTACATGAAATTCATGCAAGGGGCTCAGCCCTTGCAGCTGGTTGCCTCAGACCTCACAGCCCTTGCTTTATCCAGAAAGTGGTTTGGCTGTCCAGTCTATATAGCACATTATGCTTTTATTATTATAGATGGTGTTAATAGCTTTTTGGTTAGGCCATTGTTTTAAATAAATAATAATAATAAAAAGACTGCCTGGCTGGTGTGGCTCAGTGGTTGAGCATAGGCCTATGATCCAGGAGGCCACAGTTTGATTCCTGGTCAGGACACATGCTCAGGTTGTGGGCTTGATCCCAAGAGTGGTGCATGCAGGAGGCAGCTGATCAATGATTCTTTCTCATCATTGATGTTTCTATCTCTCTCTCCCTCTCCCTTCTTCTCTGAAATCAATAAAAATATATAATAATAATGATGATAAAAGACTGACAGAACAATTAGACTGATTCCAGGGGTGGGGAACCTTTTTTCTGCCAAGGGCCACTGGATATTTATAACATCTTTTGTGGGCCATATAAAATTATTAACTTAAAAAGTAGCCTATTATATTTGGTCAAACATTTAATTAACTCTCCCCTCATGCCTTGGCAGGACCAGATCAAATAATTCATGGGCCTTATACGGGCTGGGGCCAGACATTCCCAACCCTGGGTTAAATGGTTACATGATCAAGACTATCTGAGGTTTCTGAGAATGAAGTGATTGTTCTAAACTACTGAAATATTTTTATTAATCTGACTCTGTTTTCATAATCCCACCTACATTCAATCATTTTAGGAAATACTGTTTGTTTTCTTTATTTTTACAAACTGTATCTTTATCATTGAAAGTATTACAGATTTCCCTATTTTCCCCATTAACACGTTCCACCTTGCACCTCACCCCCTCAATCCTTCACTGCCCTATTGTCTGTGTCGATAGGTTATGCATTCATGCATATAAATTCTTTGAAAAGGCTTAAAATATTTTTTAAATATATTTTATTGATTTTTTACAGAGAGGAAGAGAGAGGGATAGAGAGTTAGAAACATCGATGAGAGAGAATCATCAATCAGCTGCCTCTTGCACACCCCCTACTGGGGATGTCCCCGCAACCAAGGTACATGCCCTTGTCCGGAATCGAACCTGGGACCTTTCAGTCCACAGGCCAAAGCCCTATCCATTTAGCCAAACCGGTTTCTGCAAGGCTTAAGATCTTTTAATTTTGCCCAGGACTCTTGGGCATTCTTTGTTGGTTGGATCAAACTGTGAGTTTAACTGTATCTTATAATAATACAACTATCCTTTGTAGGACTGGAAATGAGCAAGCCTTACACTAAAAGTAGCATGATAATCACTCCGTAAGGAATGCTTAGTCCACAATATAAACAAGAGCAGGAATATGCTAGACTTCAAGGGCAAGAGCCAGCTGTTTCTTTTTTATTTTATCAACTCATTATGCTTTCTTATAATTTTTCAGTAAACCTTCAACATTTTAGAATTTGGATAATAAATTATAAGACCTTTACTGTTACCTGCAGTGATATATAAGTAGCATTCAAAACGACTTTCCTGTAAGAAGACTCTGCAGCTTCCACATTATGTTTATCTTCCAGTTCCAGAACCCCCCAAATAATGAGCCTTTCCAGTGGTGGAATATCCGTGTCTGCTACAACCCATGTTCCTATAAAAAAAGACTTTAATATAAGAAATATAATCTGAAGGTAATAGCCGATAGATAATCCATTGGCAACCTTTTCAGTGAGTCTTGGTTTTGAAGTGTCCAACCCTTTCCCCACACAATGACTGATTCTTGTTTCCCCTGAAAAATCTATATTCTTAATACTCAGGTTTAAGTTCACATTAAACCCAGAAGGCATCTGTTATCCAGGACAAGAAACCAGAATCCATCTCCACATTTGCTATTTCCTGAGGTGTGCTTTATATAGAGGAGGAATGGTAACTATTGTGGGGCATCTATCCCAAAGTTGCATAAACACAAGTATTTTACTTCTTTCTGTATTTACCTTCAGGGATAATCACATTTGCTCCTGGGTGAGGTATGGTATAATTATTTTCCCGAGATGATTGCCAAAAAGAATCGTTTGACCATAAGCTGAAAACAAAAGAAAAATAGTCCAATCAACCAAAGGACTTATGTGCATACTTATGAGCCTACTCAGTGGTGGAGGACAATAGGGGGGTGGGAGCATGAGTTGGGGGGGGGATTGGAATGGGGGATTGAGGACAAATATGTGATATCTTAATCAATAAAGAAATTTAAAAAAATAGTCCATTATATCTCTGCATGTAATGACTATCTCCTGAGGGTGTGCCAATATACTAGATGATTTGAAGATGCTAGAATGCAAATTAAATAGTTTAAACTTCACTAAGTAGACCAGTTAATATATGAAATTAGTAACATACTCAATACACATAACTGCCTATTTAGTTTTTTTCTTCATTGAAGAAAACTTTTTTTCAATCACAATCTGAACCACTTTTTCACCCACTAACTCCTTATTGTGATACACTAATTTTGCTGCTCAGGATGTGTCACCAAAGAGTTCTGTGATCTCAGATAATTCACTTAAGGCCATTGGACTTCACTATATAATAAGGGAATTGGTCTAGGAATTCAGATCTAACATTCTGCAGCCTGAGATTACCACATAATTTCTGAAAGATTTTTTCCATTTCCCAATCAGGGTCATTGTAAGGCTCGAGTGAAGTAATGAGTGTGGAAGTGCTTTGTGACCCACGAGGCACTGCGCAGGGGGGGACCTAGGAGTGACATATGAAAAGGTTTGAGTCAAGTGTAACTGAAGGTAGTAACAAACAGAAAGTCTATGTACTTATATGTGGTTGGTCGCTTCCTGGGAATTGGGTTTCTTGATGGTGGATGCACAGGAAAGCAATCCTGGAGAATGCAGCAGTAAGCTTGGAAGTTAATAATAACATCTTTCACATCAGGATCCAGATTCCCAGACACGGGCTGGCTTTGAGGAAGGTCATTTCTTCCTGACACTAAAAGCGAAGGAAAGCAGTTTAAATTAACATGATGACCAAAGTGCTCAAATGTAAGCAAAATCATAGCTATTTGAAAATATTCTTTAGATAGTAACTTGGCATGATTCAAATGAATGGAATATATATGGGGACATTCTGACAAAATCGTGTTTTATTGAAAAGCACGTAGTCAATATATCTTGGGGGGAAAATGAATGTTTTACAATTTAAAAATTATTTTAAAATATTTTAAAAATAATTATTAATAAAAATGAAAACAAAATATATGATGACAATTTCCATTGTACTCATTACCTCTAATTTTGGGAAATAAATTTAAAATGTTTGTGTCATCTCCAAACATAAAATGGAAGTTTTTAACTCAATTCAAGGCTTTCCCAGAACAAATTTTTCTTCCAGTCCTTTCATTCAACAAGCATTTTTTGAATCCTGCTATGTAACTGTGTAACACATTTTCTCATTAAGCAATTTCTCTCCTCTTTTAGACAAAGCACTATATAAAATAACCACTTCTGGCTAATAAATACATACCCAAGTAATACAGGGTACTAGTGTTTGCTTCAAGGTGCCAGTCTCCATTCTTGCTGGTATTCCAGCTCAAGGGATTTGAGGAGCCATTCCTCATGTCAATAACATTAAACATATCGGGATTTTGAGTGAAGTTATGAGAGATGATGACATAGTCTTCTTCCTATGAAAGTTTGCAAAAAAGTGACTTGTTTTATATGTTAATTCCCTGACTAATATACATTAATTAAGATGACAGAATTAGCCCATATATTAGGGCAAGTTTTGATTTTAGTTTCTTTTTCATCTTGTATTTATATTTTGCTTATAATGCTAACACTGTCACTAAAGCAATGAAAGTCTCTCTCTCTCTCTCTAGATAGATAGATATACCCACATACATAAATCTCAACACCCACATATATATGTATGTATTTAGAAACACATATTACTTCTATAATGTTTGTAAACATTTAAAACAATGCAAAAATGCTAGGGTTCCTTTCTTTTTGGCTGCACATATGTAGTATAAGACTATGAATGAAGAAGATGAAGATACCCAGTTCAGGATAACGGTTACCATTAGAGGTGGAGAGTAAGGAGTGAGACCAGGGTAAGCCATAAGCCATACAGGGAACTTCCATTTTATCTAAAATGTTTATTTCTTTTAAAAATCAAACGTAAATATTCAGGGTAAATTCAATTCAGATAGAGGTGAGTGATGGGCACAACAGGATGTGGACTATATTTTTATAATTGTATTATTAGTAAAATCCTTAACCAGTATCTGAAACATCATAAGCACTCAATAAGTATTAGTTATTTTCATGGTAATGGTAACAGGGCACAAATATAGCACCTGGGAAATAGGGCAAGAAGATTGCTTACTTCTAATTCTTAAATAAGAATTTTTTTTAACTTGTCTTAGATTTAGGGTGGGTCATGGAGAGGGTACAGGACTTTAACAGGCCAACATGTGAGACGAGAGCATTCCGGTCCAAACAATCGGAGCAAGGATGAAAATGTACCTGTGGCTGAGTGACGTTCAATCTTAATTATTATAATAGAAGATGGATGTTATAGCTCTTTGTTTACCTTAAATCCATAGAATGTTGATGTGTATGATATGTTGGTTACGTGATCCACACCTTTAAAGTACCAGTTAATGTGCTTTGCATTTGGAATCAGAGCCATCCATCCAGACATATGAGTCAGTCGTTTCTTCCGAAAGGGAATAATACTTGTGCCTGTAGGGGAACATAAAACAAACAAATAATAGTAATCTCTACCTCTAGAAAAATCCCTCCTTTTATGAACAAATGCATCCTGACCTCTCACCAAGAAAATTAAATATAAGCAATTCCAAATCCTTCAGGGGGAGATGCAGATATTGGCGCCACAGTAAAAGTTCTGAGAGATGCAAACCCTAGGATTCCTACCATATTCCCAGTTAACTTGCTTGTTTGGCTGGTGCAAATGCCAGATGGATCAGTAATAAAGGACAGTAATTAATGCAATCTAGTCACGGTAATGATGTCAAGCACATCCAGTGTTTCAAGTACAGCATCTTTCCTGAAACAAATCAGTAGATCAACAGTCTCTGCCATCTGGTGTTCAAGCTCCTCACCAAGCAAATACTGCCCATCTTATTTCAATCAGGAAAAATAATAAGAAGCATTTGCCTTCAGTGGCAGGAACAATGGCATATTTATTTATATACTGCTTTGCTCTAAGGGCTATGTCAGTTTTTCCTGCTTTGTGTCATAAGACTAGCTGGAGGTTCCTTCATCAGCAGAAGATCATACTGGTTCATGCATTTATTTGATACTTTTCACATGCCCATTTTGAGTGTATTTATTTCCTGTCTAGCTTCTGACATACAAATATGCTTTTCCCAATGTTCTAAACAGCAAGCGACAACTGAAGAAGATGATGAAGAAAACTGAGAAAAATATTTCAATTAGTGGTTTAAATTAACCTTTTCAAAACATTTTACTTCTATTGATTTTTTTCAGAGAGAGGGAGGAGTGAAACATCCATCAGTTGTCTCCTGCACGCTCCCTACTGGGGATGGAGCACACAACCTGGCATGAGCCCTGACTGGGAATTGGACCAGCAAGCTTCCTGTGCAAGGGATGATACCTAATCAAATGAGCCAGCCACACAGGCCAGGGTGGTTTAAACTATTCCACTTACCAAAAGAGTCTGAGAGAACCACATCCTTTTCAAGCAGAGATACGGGAGAAGGCTTGTTGAAAGCTAAGCGGTGGAAGCTGACTGAGGCATCACAGACAGACCCAGGGAACCCTACGCTCCACTCGGCTTCCTGAGTGCAGTGCGAAGGGTCCAGCAATGGGCTGTGTGGAATGACAGTGTGTCCTTTGTGACCTAGGGAATGAACACAATCAGCATGTTTCCTACTTCATGTTATAAAACGGGAAAACATAAAGGTACTGTGATCCATTGTATTGCTAATATAGTATAAAGGTCTTATCAATTTTTTTTTGACATGGGACAAAGAGTGCAGTGGACACTACTCAGGTAGTTAATTATGAATGTGGGATCTGAGGCACCCATGAGAGCCAAAGTAGGGGACAGGGAGTGGGATAAGTAACTTGGCCAAGACTCAAATCCAGCAGTCTTCCTTCGAGCCTGTATGCTTAACCAATGGACTGCTAACTAACATTAAAAATCTAAGCTGAATTAAATAAACTAATAAAGGTTACACAGAGCTTTATATTAGAACCATCCAAGTGTTCTCTGTCTTAAAGTCACCATTGGAACAGGAGACAGAAGTCAATAAATATAGTTGAGAACTCAGACTGTTTAAATATTAAGATGAATCTCCTTCCATCTTTCAAAGTCTTTTAAAAGTAAATTATTAATATCTATAGTTTTACTTGTCAATTTTCTCTTTCTTCTAAAGTATTAGGCAGAATCTCTCTCTCTCTCACACACACACCCTTGCTATCTTTAGACATACCTTTCATATTAAAACTTTATAAAGACTAAATTCTAGAAACTAAGAATTTTTAGAATGTGACATATACTGAACTTGAAATTGTAAAAAATTTTCTTAGTTAATATATTTCTTGAACTCATTCCAAATTAATAATTTAAATTGGAAAGAAAAAGATTGATATCAGGCCTGTAACTTTCTTTGATCAGGATATGTTCAGTCTGTCTTACATTACTTATATAAATAAATCTGGAACTTATATATTTATGGGCCATGATGGACTGGAGAATTTGGGAAGTCATATAAGGAGTTCCTTATCTGTGTAATTAACTCAGTACAAAATGGAAGCATTATAAAATGGAATTGTGGCTTCCTTTTATAACCAATGTTTCCATGAATATTGTCCAAAATTTGCTGCTAATTCAAAACCAAGGTGCAAATGTAGAGGGAGAAAATATAATATTTAGAGGCTACATCTGATAGTTTGGGGCTCTTCCAGAATGGAATGTCTCATCTATGCCTAGTGTTGACCTATATCCTTAAGTCAGTTTGGTTCTGGGTAAAATCTGTGATTTAGCTGAGTCTGCTTTGACAATTCAACCCCGGGTTAACACAAACATTTTTTCCAATTTATCAGAAATTACAACATTACCTGTGAGTGAGCCATCGACATCAATCAGTACCACTTCATGTTCCCATCGAAAGCCAGCCTTGTTTGGTGTGTGAAAATACTGGATGTCAACAAACTTTGCACTCCAGCCTCCACATCTCTCATTACAAACGCCAGTGATGGATGTCACTCCCAAAGCTACACAGTTGCGACGGTCAAAGTTCATGAATTGTACGGAAGACACAGTCAAGCCTTCACTAAATGGGAGAACCAGGCCTCTCATCGTACAAAATGCAGACCCCATTCCCAATTCATCAAGATGACCGACTATTTTGGCATTTTTAATCACCGCTCCGTTGGTTTCACCCCATCCTCCAATATAAGCGGCCAGGATCCTCTTGGTCTCAATTCCAGCCTCATAATTATTTACCATCACGAAGTTATGGAACTGAAGGGCACCTCCGTTGACCCATTCAGCTCCTTTTTGACAATTCCAAGTAGTAAGGGAATCAAATATTGCAGGCACTGGCACTGTGGAAGTACAAGATCCTGTTTGCATGGGGAAATATTCTTCAAATATCCATATCCCAAACCAACCTTGAGAATGAACAGTGTTGTTGAAGAATTCGCCAAGAGGAATTCTCTTTTGGCAGATGTTTCGGTCATAGGATGGCCCATCAGGGTGGTCATTCATTCGGTACCAGAAGCCAAAGTGAGTGCCCCCAGCAGCGGCATTGTGCCGAATGGTGTTGTTTGGGTTGGTTACCCAAAATGCAGCTGGGGTCACATCATCATTCAGAAGACTAGTACTTTGCTGTACAAATACCGCCAAGTTGTACTGCAGGATATTGCCATGTTCAATACCATCTTCTATAAAAAATGCTCCTCCTTTGATATCATAGATGATATTCCGCTCAACCAGAAGGTGATGAGTGTTATGGATAGTGACAGCTCTGTTATAGGTCTGGTGAATTGCACAGCCTCTGACATAAGATTTAAACTGCAAGTCTCCCAGCAGGTGCCAATGTATTGGATATCTCCCCAACCGAAAAGCTTGGCCAGCATGGAACACCTGTCAAACCCAGAAATCATGAGTAGTTAGTGGTCTACATAAGCACAGAGCTTACCTAGCTCATACTTTCTTGTTTAAAAACAATTTCCAAGTTTATATTAATTATTATTCATATCTCCCATGTTATTCATGTTTGCCATTAGAAAATATTTGGCCCCAACCCACCTTGTTTTCTTCATTATATAACAGCTCATACTGGATACCGACGAATTAATGAATGAACAAAAGCCGTCTTCAACTGTTCTGCTTTTCACCTCAGGCTATTATAAAACTTTTGTGTTTAGCAAAAATAAGACTCCTTAAAAGACTTCTTTTCTACTTCCTACTTCTTGAATGTTGACCACGTGCCTGATATTATACGACATGTCTTATGTGCAGGAGCACTGTCTTTATCACAATCCTATGAAGTAGCCACTTATCACTAACTTCATTTTACAGTCAAAGAAATTGAAATTTAGAAAGGCTGAGTATCTTGTTCAAGGCTTCCTCTGCTTGATTATAACTAGCATCTGGCAAACAGTGTGACCTTAGTACACATTTGTTGTATGGATAATCTCGGGCAAACATTGTGATTTAATAGTAATGCCTCTTACCTCTACGTATTCTATTCTTCCAGTTACCATGTTAGCACTAGGTACAGGAGCATGAAACATAATGCAGCCTCCAAATTGATCACTTCCTATTTCTTCTCCAAACTTTCCTTGGAGACATGTCTGTGTAGCAAATTCACCTTAAAAAAAAAAAAAAAAAAAAAAAAAAGCATGTCAAAATCCTAAAATTCTATAAAGACTTTTTTTCTCACTCTGGCCCATTTGCTCAGTGGTTAGACCATCAGCCCCTGCACCGAAGAGGGCAGGCAGGGCACATACCTGTTTGCAGGCTCGATTCCCAGCCCTGGTCTCTCTCATATCTCTCACATCTCTCTCTCTCTCTCTCTCTCTCTCTCTCTCTCTCTCTCTCTCTCTCTCTCCTCTCTTTCTCTCTCTCTTTCTCTTTCTCCCCTGTCTTCATCCCTCCCTTCCACTCTGTAAAAAAAATCAATGGAAAGAAATATCCTCAGGTGAGAATTTAAAATAAATAAATAAATAAATAAATAAATAAATAAATAAATAAAATACTTGTTCCTCATACCTAATTATTTATTTTTATTCACATATAATTTTAACCTCATTTTGGAACATAATTATTTGCATTCACATCATATCCTCCTCTAGATAGTAAGAAATGTAAGTACCTTATACCTTGTCTCATTTACTTTTGCATTCCTTAAAGTACATACTGTAAAAACAGGAAAAGACCCTTTTCCCCTCTTTGCTAAGGCTTTCCCACAATTTATGAGAAGCACCTGGTAATTAAACCCTTAGACTGTTAGCTCCTCTGATCACAGAGCCCCTCTATTCAAACTCAAAACAAGACAAGCTACACTCAAGGCTATATTTTTTGCATTTCCCCTCCTCACTGATGTTTTCAGAACTCAGGAATAATTCATAGCAAGGAGTTTCTAGTTAGTAGAAAGTTCCCTTTCCTCCTCCCCTTCAAACAAACCTCTTTTGAACTCTTTATAACTTTTTCTCTAAGCATATTTTATGGACCTGGGAAAAATACTGATAAGACACCACCCTAAGACTGTCTCCTGGAAACCAAACAAACTATAATTTTTCAAGGCAACTCCCTGGTATCTGCTCAACTTCAACTCCAAATACTCCTCCCTTCCTTGTCACCTAGCTACATCAGCCATTACTCTTTTTTTAATTTTAATTTAAAAAATTTACTGTTGTCCATGAGTTATGCATATATGCACACAAGTTCTTTAGTTGATCTCTTCCCACCCACCTACCCACCCCTGCATTCTGAGATTCAATAGTCTATTCCAAGCTCCTATATCTCTGGATTTATTTTGTTTATCAGTTTACTTCGTTCATTACATTCCACATATGAGTGAGATCATGTGACACTCGTCTTTCTCTGACTGGCATATTTCGCTTAACATAATACTCTCTAGGTCTCTCCATGCTGTCTCAAAGGATAAGAGATCCTCCTCCTCCTCCTCTTCCTCCTCCTCCTCCTCCTCCTCCTCCTCCTCCTCCTTCTCCTCCTCCTCCTCCTTCTTCTTCTTCTTCTTCTCTCTTCTTCTTCTTCTTCTTCTTCTTCTTCTTCTTCTTCTTCTTCTTCTTCTTCTTCTTCTTCTTCTTCTTCTTCTTCTTCTTCTTCTTCTTCTTCTTCTTCTTCTTTTTTTACTGCTGCATAGTATTCCACGGTGAAGATATACCATAGCTTTTTCTTATCTACTCATCTACTGTGGGCACTTGGACTGTTTTACTCTTTAAAAATGGAAGTAGCTTTTTGTTCCCCCTCTGTATTGATTAATTTGTCCCCTGCCCTGTACACTTGGCCCTTAACCTTCATGGAAAGTAAAATAAAATAAACTTCCTCTCTGCATCTCTTCTTTTAGTTGTGAATTTTTTCACAGCCTGCATCATTGGCCAAACCCTAACACCTACAATTGTGTTTTTCAAAGATACTAACTAAATATTTGAGGGGTTGAACGAATACTGATAAGGGTATTTTATCTTATTTCTGAAGCTTCCTCCCCATTTGGGGATTAACATCATTAATACAAGTTTAAAGTTGTATAGCACTAGATAATGCATTATCTCAATTCTCTTATTACTGTAGTAAGCAGAACAGGAAATATTCTTATTTTAAACACATTGAAACTAGGTTTAATGGACATTTGAGACTTGAGGCAGATGAACTGATACTGAGGGGGAAAAAGTAGAATGGAATAAGCACTGCCAAGAGAGTCACTTAATCGAGTCAGGAGGCTATTAAGGAAGCAGGGTATGTGGCCTGTGCACATCTTGTGCTTCAGTTCTCAGAGCTGCTATTAACTTGCTCACCCTGTTGCCAAACTCAGCTCAATGCTGAGCCATGAACATCCTGGAACAACAACTGCTGCGTGGACACATGTGGACTTGATCTTCTCCTTGTGCTTTTCCTCTCCCAATTCCCTCCGTTTGCCTGGAATAATTGCCATAAGCAGAGGTCCCTCTATTGTCCCATATTGGACATATATAACATTAGTGAGAAGTAACCCTTTTTTTATTTTAAATCATGAGCTAGAGCATAACAGTCCAGTTCTCAATAGGAAGTGACTTTATCTCCTGGAAATATTTTTGCAATCTCTGAAAACATTTTAAATGGTCACACCTAAAATTTACTAAAATCACCTGTGTCAAATCCATCAGGACATGCTGGAATTTTGTGATGCCACTCCACATTATCAGATCCTCTTATTAAAATATTTCTCGTAAGAATTCCAACTTCTGCCCTTGCTTCAAACAGAGATCCATCAGGAAGGGGGACCGTAATTCCTAAGTGTGTGTAATTCAGCGGGTGAGTCAGCGTTATGTTTATGCCATCAGCAGACACAAATGCAATGGTCCTTTCTTCATTCTCTCTTTGACTGTGTCTGTTAAAAATGTTAACGAAAAATTTTCAAAATTAATATAAATCAACATAACATTGTTTTGGTGTGATTTATGCTATTTAGAACACTTTATCTGTGAATCGGAAAATATTTTGTCATTCAGTATTCTGGAGAGAAATTTGAAGATAGTATTTCATTTCCTTAGGGCAATTAAATAAATTTACAGCAATATATTTTACTGAAGCCAAGAGAAGCAAAATAATATGGCCACAAGCCTAACAAATAGTATTGGTGGGAATAAGAGTCAATAGACTGACTTGAAGTAGTATTCTTAACTAGTTGCTTTATAAACTCTCAAATAGGATTTACCAATGAAATGGCAAACTAAAAATGCCATCTTAAATTTTAAACTGAGCCACAACCTTAGTGTAATTTAGCCGATTCTTATCAGAAATGACTATTTGTTCCCTGATAGCCAATTTTGCCATTACCCACAATTTGAACAATGAAGCAAAAATAAAGCTCCTCTTGGCTCCCTCCCCAGCCAGTATTCTGGTATAACGTAGTTAGCAATATTAGTTTTCTTCCTTTTATGTCTTATTGGTTGAAATATAGAATTAAACAGAAATTGAGGGTCATAAACAGTTTCAGTTATAAAATGTCAGATACCTAAAAGGTCTTGTTAGTCATCACTCATTCTAAAATGATTTCTTTCCTTTTATTCAATCATCCCTGAAAAGTTTGGTCCATGGAAACCACTGCTGAGACTAAAATTTACCAAGAGTTCACTGACTGCTTTCAACTCTAGTCTTTAGTGACCACAAACGATCATTTACATTTTTTCATGCATTAATGTATTTGGCTAAAGCTCTAAGTCAGAAGTTGTCAAATGACTTATAATAGCAGAATGCTTTTCTCAAACAAAATCTTACACGGGAGCCTAACTGTAGAAATCAACCAAAATATTTTATTAGTACAGCAGGTCCTCAAATAACATCATTTCACTCAATGTCAGTTTGCCATATTGATAAGGTGTCATAGGAATTAACTCTTGTTTATATCAATTAGCCTATGGTAAAATTCGATTTCCTTGTACATTGTCTTCACTTAAAGCCACAAAACCTATCACCTACATCAAATAAGGATTCACTGTATATATTTATTTTATAGGTACAAATGAATAATTTTTCTTTTTGTAAACTCAATCAATCAATGAAAACAACACTGATGATCAACACAATGTTGACATTTGGCAAATACATATTTGACTGTTCATGTTTCTTTATTAGAAGTTTCAAATTTAAATGAAATAGTAGTAGACCTTCTGAATCATCCCTCTTTTATGAAGTTAAAAAAATCTGTTTACAAATCTAAATTGTCAGGACCTGAGGATATCATACCTGTGTCCTGTGCTTGCAACCACAATCTTATCTCCTGGTTTCCATGTTACTGCTTCTTGTAAAACCAGAGTCCTTTCCCCTGCCTGGGCAGTCTGAGCCAAACGGGTCCAGACCACAGGGACAGGAAGACCTGGAGCCAACATATAAACCAAGTATTTTTAATGATGTGTTTCTCGGTTATCGAGAGCTTTATGCATTTTAATCTTTTCCTGGATTGAATCGATTTGAGGAAGGTGTAATTGTTTTTTTTTTTTAACCTTAGCATTTCAAATCTTTCTCACAAAAAAAATACCAGTATGTAGAATGCTTGCTTTATACAAGTAACAATCAGGTTTATTACACATGTATGAATTTATAATTTAAGAAATATCCTTCTGCACCAATCTATCCCATTTAGAAGCATCGCCTTTATATGAATGCAATCTAAATGTGATATGATACTATTGATTAACCAGTCAGAGGCCTGTTATCTTTGTCACTGTTGACAGAAATTGCCTAAGTTGATAATCTAGGGACAAGTGAAATGTGTGAATTTGTGAAAATTCAATAAGTGTGTGTGTGTGTGTGTGTGTGTGTGTGTGTGTGTGTATATATATATATATATATATATATATATATATATATATATATAAAACACAATGCAGGACATTTATGATCATATTGGATTATCATGTTCATATATCCTAAATGTATAAAAGAGACAGATTATTGCAATATAAATACTTCAATTCAGAAATAATGCATCATGCTTCCTTCAAATAGGTTAACCTAATACCTCAAACATGATCACTATCATGGTTATTTGTTCATCATTTTCCAGAATATGGTGATGCAAAAGTACAATTTTAAATTTATAGTTATATTTCAAGAAGAGGCCATAAACAATCAGAATGAACTGTGATGAGTGCTAAATTAGGCAAAATGTGCTAAGGGAGCACATGGAAATGATGTAGAAAAGGGCTTCCCACGGGTGGCCTTGGTTGTGGGTCTTGATCCTCTGCAGGGTGGCCCTGGTCGTGGATAAGCAAAGGAAAAGATAAAAGGAAGTAAAAAGGGAATGTGTAAAGGCAGGAGAAGCTTGGCAAGTAACCAAATATCTTGGGTTCCTAGCTAATCTCCTTAACCCATTCTGTGAGCCTTCCGGCCCGGCCCTTACCGTGCAGATCCAGGACGCCCTCGCGCACCGCCAGCGTCTTGGCTCCGTACACGGGGAGCTCAGGAGACCGCAGGTGCCCATGCAAGGTGATGATCGCCTTGTGTTGAAAGGGGGATGCTTCGGTCCCGATCTGCAAGGGATTTCACAGGCATCATATCCACCATTCTAATCGGCCAAAAGTAATTTTTCCTACTCTCCTTTTTCTTTCAAGAATTGCTTAGTCCGTTATCTTCTTTCAAAAGATAAACTTTAGCCGAAACCGGTTTGACTCAATGGATAGAGCATCGGCTTGGGGACTGAAGGGTCCCGGGTTCGATTCCTATCAAGGGCATGTACCTTGTTGCGGGCACATCCCCAGTAGGGGGTGTGCAAGAGGCAGCTGATTGATGACTCTCTCTCATGGATGTTTCTGACTCTCTATCTCTCTCCCTTCCTCTCTACAAAATCAATAAAATATATTTAAAAAATAAACAAACAAACAAAAAACCACAAAAGATAAACTTTAAGATTTCTAGTTGGCCAAATGCACACTGCCAGACCTTTGGAAAGCATACTGACTGACTTGAGTCATATCTCAGAGCTAATAATTTTATCAGTCCTATTTTAAATTCTGCTCTATTGTAATATGCCATTAAAAGCACAAGAACACTCTGGGAAACTTTTCTCCCAGAAAAAGGATTTTATACAAATAACAGAGACCTATCCAAAGATAAACTTGAGAGAGTTTGGTATAACTGTCTATTTTACACACTGTGTTTTTTAAAAGAAAGGGAGAGAGGTTACCAATGAACAGATCTCAGGTTCTCTCATATACCTGAAGAATGCCTCCATCTGTAATTAGAATATTTTCTGCCTGGAGTTCAATGTCAGCTTCATCAAATATTAGAGTTCCACCTAGGAGTCATACAATTTTGAAATAATTATTCAATCATATATTAACTTTTAATTTCTTATTCTTATTTGCTCTCATTCTGCATGTCACTTCACTTCCACTCTTTGGCAACATAAAATAGAAACCTTCAGACAAGACCCAGGAAGGGGTAGAAAATCAAATCCCAGGGCAGATTTTTATCTTGACCATTGGTTATTTTAAATGCTATTAAATAGTCAGCCACATGAATTCTAGTTCTACAAACATAGGGCCACAAAATATCAATCAAGAATTAAAATAATTAAAATGAAAGAAAAGCATTTTTATAGAAACTATTATAATGCCAAAGTAACTGAACTTTTATCCACTAATTTGCACTAGTAAACATGTAGATCCTGAAGAACAGTATTATAGTACCACAGTACATTATTTTTTATAGAACTAATATAAATTTGTGGAAGAAAACCTGTCCAAGGCTTCAATAGCTAATAACTTCAAACAGCTAAAGCAATACTATCACCCCAGAAGTTAAAACGTAAAATAACTAACAAAGGTCTTTGTTATTAATCCTTACCCAATGTCATTTTTCCATTGATTTTTAGAGAGAGTGGGAGGGGCTGAGAGAGACACAGAGAGAAACATCGATGTGAGAGAGACATATCAATTGGTTGCCTTCTGCATACTCTGACCGGGGCAAGGGATTGTGCCTGCAACCAAGGTACATGCCCTTGATCGAAACTGAACCCAGGACCTTTCAGTCCGCAGGCCAACGCTCTATCCACTGAGCCAAATGGGCTAAGGCCACAAGGTTTTTGAGCTGCTAAAAACCACATGGCAAAGTTTATACACTAAAGCCCAGAGCATTTTATTCTTGCCCACGATTGCTTCTTTTACATGCAGTTGAACAGTTCTGGCTATTTAGTTTTCTGGAGCTAAAATAGAATACCAAGGAGCAGAGAGAACTCCAGGTAACAAAGCAGGTTCAACAGTGCAGGTAAGAATCACAATCTGGCACCCAAAGGGGTCCGGGGGTCATTTAATATAAATGCTAAAGCCTCAGAACCTATCTCCTACATGTAAATTACTATGGTTTTCAAACCTCTGGGACCCACGAAACCAGTGTTTTTCTATAATAAATGGAAATACCTCTGACTGTTGTGCTCCACTGCAAGGATATAGGCATGCACACATGTGCACACACACGCATATACTGAACAGAAGTTTCTTAAAATAACATTTAGCTTTAAAAGATGCTTACTCATATGAATGCAATATATTCTGATATTTTCTATTGTATTTCATCAAAACATCCTGGTTGCAACACACTAAATAGTACCACACCACACGTGGACTGTGATATTCAATGTCAAGAACGTGGTACTACCCTCTGCATAAAAATAGGACATAATTATGGATGTTCATAATGATGAGTTCTGGTTCCATTCAGCACAAAAATATTCCAATGTTCAGAAATTTACCTTGAATAAGCAACATTTTCAGAATAGGGGTGTTTTGATCCAGCAGAACTGTCTGTCCTTTCGTGATGACGACCAGCGACCCTTCCTCAGGAGGAGGCGCTCCGCCCCAGGAGCCGTTGGAGGACCAAGCATCCACATACAGGAAGTCAGCCTTCTCCTGCAACAGAACACCAGAGACGCGTAAATGTGGGGGTTTTATCAGAGTTCTTCATACAACTTCTGAAAAAAGAAGACATGGAAAATGATAAACATAGGGGCATAGAAAGGGCGTGGACTGACAATCCTCGGGGGGAGGGGAGGGGGAAAGGAGTGTGGGGGTGTGGGAACACACTGAACAAAAATCGTACACCTATGGATGAGGACAGTGTGTGTGGGGGGAGGGGTTAAGGCAGAGGGTGGGGCGGAAACTGGGTGGAGGGGAGCTATGGCGGGGGAAAAAGAGGAACAATTGTAATAATCTGAACAATAAAGATTTATTTAAAAAAAGAAAATTATAAACATTTTCATTAATGATAAGTATAACCTGCTTTAAGTATCTTATAGTTGCCTATTGGTTTATTTCACAGTAGTAATAACGTAAAAAAGTCATTACTAATTACCCCACAATTATATTAAATAATAAAAAAATCGGAAATAATAAAATGTTAGTAATAAGCAAAAAAAAAAAAAAAAACACAAAAAAAACCAAAGCCAAAGACACAGAAACACATGATAGCCACAGCTCAGTTCTTTTCTGGAGACATTAACAAAGTACAAAGCTCACTGTCAATCACGTCACCTCCCAAATGCTAGTTTGCCTATCGCTGTGGTTACAACACTCAGCAGCATGCTTACCCGTCTGGCCATCCCCATGCTTCCCACGGTGACGCGCACGGGAGCCCACCCTGAAGGAGTGTGGGCATTTGTCATGCAGATGACACATGTCTCGTTGGAATACTCAACATCACATTTGGTTTCAGCTATGGTGACGAGAACATCCTGCATATTTTCACTGTAAAGAAAAAAAGGAGGGGGCATACAATATTGATTTTTTTTTCTCTCAAATTTCTAGGTCACATAATGCATTATTTTTTAAAAATATATTTTATTGATTTTTTGTTTGTTTGTTTACAGAGAGGAAGGGAGAGAAATAGAGAGTTAGAATCATCGATGAGAGAGAAACATTGATCAGCTGCCTGCTGCACACTCCCTACTAGGAATATCCTTGCAACCAAGGTACATGCCCTTGACCGGAATCGAACCTGGGGCTCTTGAGTCGGCAGGCTGATACTCTATCCACTGAGCCATACTGCTCAGGGCCATATGTGCATTATGGTGAAACTAATGATCTCACCTTATGATCCATCAAAGTACAGATAGATACATTTTTCAGTAGTAAGACTTCAAAATTTTTTTTTTTTTCAGAAAAAAGGAAACATACACACACACAAAAGGTGAGGAAATAAATATAACTGTACAATCTAGAAAGTATTCTAGTGCTGAGAAAAACTGCCTGGGTTCAGGTTATTGAGAGAGTATATGTTGGTCTCTAAGCAGGCACCTTGTTAGAGATGTTCAGGGATCATTTTGTCTATGTGACATTTTCACCACATTCACACACTTCAGAACTTCATCTCCATGTAAAATTGCCTTCTGGGATTTGAAGGAGCTGGCATTTTGAAGTCAGCCTTATTCACTTAAATGATGACGCACTACATACATTTGTGCTAAATAATGAATATTTTTTTAGAAAAAGAGATTCTGGTCCGTTACAATGACAAGGTCCTGATGCATGATTTTTCATTGAAGCTGTTCCTGGTTGGACATGAGGTATTGGGGAAAATACAAGACAGTGATTTATACTTGTGACGTTACTAGGATCTGGGGCAAGTTATTGAACCTTCGTAATCTCAGTCTCTTAGCCACAAGGTGGGATAAGATATCTAACAAGGCAGGAAGTATCAATGGGGAAGATGGTGCCTGGCCTCAAGCAATGACTCCTGAGCAGATGGGTACACATGACTTGACTGTATTTAAGCGCTGTCCTGGCATACGAGGAAGCAGGCAGGGGGGCTTGAGTCTGGAAACAGGCATTGATGCTTATGCAGTGAAGACAGTACCTGAAGCCTGATCCCATGACTGTAAGTCTGGTGCTCCCTGCTGTACTGCCTCTCTCGGGAGCTATTTTGGTGATGAGCGGAGTCAGTGACACGTTGTACGTGAAAGGAGTTGAGGACTGTGACACATCTTTCCCGTTGACCACACTCACTTCACAGGCTTGCTCAGGTCCCCTGCCTATGAGGAGAGAATGGAATTGAATACAATTCTGCCTTCAGGCCCTATTCATTTATCAAAACCCCAAACATTTTCTTTTTATTACTTTTTTAACTTAAATTGTATTTTCTTTCGATTACAGTTCACATTCAATATTATTTTGTATTCATTTTGGGTGTATAGCACTGTGGGTAGGCAATCACATACATTAGAAAGTGTTTCCCTGATATTTCCAGTGCTCACCCAGCACCAAACATAGATAGTGCAATGTTATTTATATTCCCTGTGCTGCACGTTGCATCTCTGTGACTATTCTGCAACTACTGATTTGTGCTTATTAATCCCTTCACCTGTTTCACCCACCTTATACCCCACTTCCCCTCTGGTGACCTTCAGTCTTTTTTCTGTATCTATGTGTCTGCTTTAATTTTGTTTGTTCATTAATTTTGTTTTATAGGTTCCACATATAAATGAAATCATATGGTATTTGTCTTATACTGTCTGGCTTATCTCACTTTGCATAATACATTCCAGGTCCATCCATGCTGTTACAAATGTGAAGATTTCAGTTTGGGTGTTTTGTTTTGTTTTTGTGGCCAAGTAATAGTCCATTTTATAAAGGCACCACTGAGTGTTTTTGTTTGTTTGTTTTTGTTTGTTTTAAATCCACTTGTCCATTGATAGGCACATCGGTTGCAATAGCCCATTGACTATTGCAAACAACACTACGATGAAACATAGGATTGTATGTATTCTTTCAAATTAATGTCTTGGGTTTCTTCAGATATTTACCCAGAAGTATAATCACTGGATCATAAGGCATTCCATTTCTAATTTTTGAGAAACCGTCATACTGCTTTCCAGAGTGGCTTTACCTTTCTGCATTCCTACCAACAGTGCACAAGGGTTCCCATTTCCCCCCACATCCTTGCCAACACCTGTTTTTTGTGGATTTTTTAATGATAGACATTCTGAATCAACCATTTTCAATAGCATCTCCCTTTCCCCCAAATCACTCTCACAGGCTATATCTGAACTAATATCTCCAGCAATTGTCCAAAACATCACAAGGTTCACACACATTAGCAAAGGAAAAAGCTGTCAGACCCTCCCTCGGAGCTGCTTGTTGGGGACAATTCTACAAACCTGCCTGTTTAGTTTTCCAGTACTAGAGGAGCCAATGGGGCAATGTAGAGCAAGCAGGAAGAACTGCTAAGGGCAGGCACTCTGACAACAGCAAGGAGAGATAGCTGAAGGCAAGGTAAGAGAGAGAGAAAACTACAGAAACCCAATTCAAAAGCGTAAAAAGAAGAGCTGGTGTTAAGACAAGCATTCTGAAAACTTTGATAAGTCTCAATAGCTTTGCCTTAAAAATTCAGGATACAAACTCTAATGTTGAAATGATAAATAAGCCCAGTCACCAAAACGTTACATTTTCTTCAATATTCTTTTGCTTAAGAATTCAGAGAAAGATACCAAAATGAGGTTAGAAAAGCCTCATCAAGTTTTGTTCATGTTTAAAAAATGTTAGCACATAAAACATATATTTTATTCTAGACTATTTCCTTTGGTTCCTCTTAAATTTTGTTAGGTAGTTTAAAATTGTTGTGTATGTAAAATACCGGGTGTTTAAACTTTACAATAACCCATTGAATCGGGGTGAATAATGTCTCCATTCAGTTGATGAAGAAACGGAAGCAGAGAGGAGAGGAGTTACTTAGCTGAGACGTCACAGATATGGCACCCTGAGATCTAGAGGCTCCTGGAGCCCAGCTCTTAACGGCTAACCAAAGTTTTAAGAAAGAGTCATAACAGCAAATTACAGAACATGTTTTCGTATCATTCTGTCCACTTTACATACGTTAACTTATTAAACCTCACAATAATCCGATAAAGTAAGCTCATGTGTTCGTCTCACTTTACAGAAGAAGAAACTGAGGCTCCGTGAGTCTGAATAACGTGCCCCAAGACACAGCTTGGGTTTGCCTCTTGACAATGCCATACAAGAGTCCACACGCATAACCATTACACTATCTCATCTTCAAGGGAAATCCAGTACTCCAGTGGGAACTAACCATGCCTTCTCCATTTGACAAGCTTGATAAACGGAGAGCCATCAGTGTAGGCGATAAACTGAAAAACTGCAATTTATGATAAGCAATCCAATGAGCACAAATGATGTGAATCTTGAAACACATAAATGTCAAGAAAATTCCGAAGAAATTGCTTAAAATCGGGAAAGTTAGAAAGGTGATTCAATTGCCCCGAAGGCGCAAAAACGTGGAAAAGAGAAACCCAGTCTCTGATATTTATAAAATTAGCCATTTCTCAAAGACTGCCATTCTTTTTTGCTGACAACTTACCATTGTTGGGTGGAATTTTACATAATAATGTTGTGTGATCAGATGTAAGCCTATCAACTGCACATTCTGAGGCACACACCAATATTCCGGAATTCTGTGGGTTAAACCCGGTGCCTGTCACAGTCATGGTCTGACCACCACCAAAGCTCCCTAGGGAAGACAAAAAAAGGGAAAAACAAAGCTGATGAAAAGAAAAACCTCTTCTATGTATATATTCAACCTTATTTTAACACCTGAAATAGAACTGAGATTGAAGATTTTCATAAGTAAAATTATATTGATAACATATCGATAGAATATTAATGCAATAGAATCTCTTTCTATTATAATGTTTAAATAATTCTCCGAGTAAATGTCACATCTGGCCACTTATTTAAACTACTAAAAACGAAAATCTATTTAAAGGAATTGTCACAAAGAATTTCCGAGCAATAAACACATGCATGCAAAATTACTATGTTAATTAAGAATACATTGTTTATACTTTCATAAGGTTTTTGAACAACTAAAATGATTTTTAAATAGAATATTTATGTAAATAATTACAGGCCAGTGATATCTAAATATGATCTTAAAAGGAATTTCCACATGTAACCTGGCCATTTTAATTAGAGTTAACTTTTAAATAAGTTATATAGCACTAAGAGAAATATAGACATTAAGCTGATATTTTGAAATGATTGTTGCCTTTGCATGCTTATTTATCTTATGCATAAACAAAAGTATTTTAACGTGTTAAGAGAACTACAAATTTTTGAAGAGTGTTTTTTCCCCTTAAATAAGGTATCTACTGAAATAATATAAAATATTTGTAGGTTCCTGCACACACATGACTACCTTGGGTTGGCTGAATATTGTCAATGGTGAGTGGGTACTCAAATACAAGTGTGGACACAGCAGAGCCTTTTGTCTCACGATGCATCCTAACAGGAAATGTGCCACCAGCATGTTCTCCAACGATGCATTCCAATACACTGTCATTGACCATGGTTACATTACACTGAATATTATTTATCATCACCAAAATTTCCAAGATATCAATACCAAAATTAGATCCAGTGATCTGAATTTTGGTTCCTGGTGGACCTTTAAAAAAAAAAAAAAAAAAGCAAATAATATAAATAAATCTAAATTCTAGTACATGTCTATTTAAAATATATCTATTTACTTTATTAAGAGTATACAGAACTCAAATTCCATGTATTAACTGGCGTAAACAGGATTGTCTAAAAATATATCTTAAAAATCCTTTATAAACATTATTCCAAATCTATGCTAATAAGTATTAGCAATAATATATCAAGACAATAAGAAGGCAGGTACTGGAATACCTCTGCTTGGAGCAATCTCTCGGAGGAGTGGCGTATCCTCCCAGGCATACGTAAATGACAGCGGTGGATAAGCGACTGCATTAACGAAGATTTTCACATTGACCCGTCCAGCTGCTCCTGCTGGGGTGCGGCAGTAGACTTCACTGGAGTTGACAGAAATAATCTGACAAGCTTCCTCCCCAACAGTGACAGTGGTGTTGCCTGGATAGAAGCCATTTCCTGTGATCGCCAAAGTAGTTCCACCACCAATGCTTCCAGAAGCCGGGGTGACAGATGCCAGGGCGGGGCTGCTAACACTCAGGTTTCCCAGGGCCAGGCCCTTACTTCCCACCACAACCCTAACAGGATGGAGGCCAGCCGGGAGAGGAGTCACGTGAACAGTGATGTTATTTTCAGTGACATCGAGAGCTCTGAACGGTTGGTTTCCAATGAAAACAGCAATGTCCTCTAAGATGGTGCCAAAACCTCCTCCTTCAATAAGGGCTTTGACAGATCCCGCGATAGAATTTGGGGAGATGCTCGTGATAAAAGGGGCGATGCTGTCTAGGTATGAAAAGCTGCAGTTCCCCTGACACTGGGCAGGCACTCCGTGGATGAGGAGCTGGACTGCCACCAGCTGGGGGGGAGCAGGGGATGTCTCACATTCAATGGCTGTATAATTCACTGACAGAACGCCACATGGAAAATGGCCCATCCGGACCTCTACAGCTGCCGAAGAAGCTGCGAATCCAGAGCCTTTGATGGTCACTTTGGTCATTCCTGTAGTTGATCCTGCATCTGGCAACACCGTGTCGATGTTTGGCAAAAGTACAAATCGCCTATCGAATTCATTGGGCAGGGTGTTGATGGCAAGGCCCAGGTTGTGGACAGTTAGAGTGACAAGTTCCCTGATGCCGACATCCATTGAATTTTGAGGGTCAACGTGACACACAATGGAATTGGCACTACATTCTTCTACCACACAGGGGTAGCTGCCAACTGTAACCTGAAAAATAAAATGAATGTGAAAATAGGTCAATACATTTCTCTAATACAAAGTTAAATTTTGTATTATCAGCAACTGCATTTTTAAAAATTACTGAAGTTACACATTTTTATGCATAAAGTTGATTTGGGGAGACTGATTAAGGCATATCTTGGATTAATCTTAAAAGTAAATTACAATTGTCCATAAATGGCCACAGCTACATTTTCTTAATGGTCAAAGAGGTGAATACAATTCAAATGTTCACGAACTCATGAAAGGATAAAAAAAAAATGTGTATGCCAGACAATAGAATATTATTCAGCCATAAAAAGGAAATGAAGTTCTAATATGTGTTACAGCATGGATGACCCTTGAAAACGATATGCTTAGTGAATAAAGCTGGTCACAAATGACTTATTGTGTGATTCTATTTATAAGAAATGACCAGAATAGGAAATCCAGAGACACAAAAATTAGATGAGTGGTTATTTAGGGCAGGGAGGTCTTGAGGGGTTTGGAGTAATGTCTAAGGCAGGGATTGAGATTGTCCCATATAAGGCCCAGAAAATCATTTGGTCTGGCCCTGCCGAGGCATGAGGGGTGAGTTAGTTATGTATTTGACCAAATACATCACCCTAATTTTTAAGTTGATAATTTTGTATGGCTCATAAATGATATTATAAATATCCAAATGGCCCTTGGCAGAAGAAAGGTTCCTCACCCCTGGTAAAGGTTGTGGAGTTCCTTTTGGGAGGTAACAAGATGTTCTAAAATTGACTAGGGTGATAGATGTGTAACTGTGACTAAACTGAAAGCTATTGAAATGTGCACTTTAAGTGGGCCAATTGTATGGTAACGTGTAATTTAGAAGTTAAATTATGAGATTATGGACAAAATATCTTCCTTTTACTGAGTATATAAAAGCAAAATGGAGAGCTTTATATAATCTTACCTTATTAGCACATGTCAGGTTGCTGAAGCCCTGTCCAGTGATGGTTATCAGTTCATTTACTGTTCCAGTGGATGGACTAATGCTGCTGATGGATGGTGAAAAGCAACTTGAAAGCTCAAAGAGCAATCTATCTGAGTTTTTAACCCCGGTGTTGTTCAGGCCGCACAGGGGTTCTGTTGCTAGGCAGCTTGGCTCAGAGCTTCCCACGTGCAAAGTCACAGGTTCTCCTTTAGACAAAAGAACTGCCTGTAAGTCACGGATAATATTCTAAAATAAGAGCTGTTTTCAAATTTCATTACTCTTTATTTTGACCATGGTGGTTTATATTCTAGTAAACTCCCTGTTTTAAAAAAAAGATAAGAGAGGTCCCAGGCAGTACAAAGTTCAAAAAAAGACCTGGACAAAGACTATACAGTAAAGAGTGAATATAAAATTAACTTATTTTTCAATTTGTCTAAGGCCAGATCCCATAAGAAAAACAAAAAATAATAACATCACTTCACAGTTTAATGTATTTTTGGCATGTAGAGAATATCAGAACTTTTTAATATTATATCGATATCTTATTGGAGGCACACAGGATTCCAGGAGAATGGCAAGACAACAATTAATAGAATAAATTCCAACCTCAAAGTAGTCCAGTCCTAGTCCAGGTGTTGTGGATAGTAAGAGACAGAAACAGGATTGGACCCAGTTAACTACATATGCTGTCCGTCTTGAACTCTTACCCTGAGTGTATGTGGCTTCGGTGCTGCCCACAGACAGGTGCAGGGGAATGAGCCTGGTCTCAGCTGGAAGAACGTTAATGACTCCTTGGAGGACAATGGAGTGGGCCTCATCAACATACCCGCTGCTATAATAATGGATTCCAGGTGAAGTAAATTGGTAAGAAAACGAACCTGCCATAATTTAAGGTTGTACATAATAAATACAAGCAATCAGTGCATCTTTGAAATTTGTTCAAATGCACATGCAGATGACAGGTTTCTTATGTTTCATACATTCAACAAAAAGTAAGTGGTAAGGCCCTACCTGGTTTGGCTCAGTGAATAGAGTGTCGGCCTGCGGACTCAAGCATCCCAGGTTTGATTCCGGTCAAGGTCATGTACCTTGGTTGCCGGCACATACCCAGTAGGGGGTTGTGCAGGAGGCAGCTGATGGATGTTCCTCTCTCATCAATGTTTCTAACTCTCTATCCCTCTCCCTTCCTCTTTGTAAAAAAATCAAATTTTATATATATATATATATATATATATATATATATATATATATATATATACTTTTTTTTAAAGTAAGTGGTAAGGAAATGACCTGGTAGCTACAAAGAGCTATTGTGTATAATGAACTTCCATTGAGGAAGACAAGATCCAGCTTTAACTTTTCTAGAAAATGATGTCAAGTATGGCATAACTAACCAAATTTTAAAAAACAACTCGACCAGAAATAAACAATAAATAAATAATAGTTAGTTTGTGTTCATGAGTAAAAAAGTTTCTAACTGCTACATGGATACAATAAAATAAAATAAAAACTGTCTAAAAGGCACACTGCACAGAGCTGTCCTAGAATAAATACTGATGATAAGTTGGTTCCAATCAACAGAATTTCATTCCTTGCCAGCAGACTGGTATGCTTAAAAAATATTCCAGTTTCCCTCCTATTTTGCTTGTTTTTATATATTTTTCCATTGGTTTATTCCATTATGAATAAAGATACTTTTGGTATCAGAAATGCATCAGCAATATACAAAATACCTTGCATACATTTACTTATATCTTATCAATTTGTAAATTTTTGCTACAGCAAGAAAAGCCAACTAAATCTTGTATATTTGCATATATTATTTACACATGTATTTTAAGTCTAAACAAAACATCTTTTTATTATATCTATAAAAGAAGCATGATGCAAAACTCAACAAAGTGGAAACATACCTAATGCTGATTTTTCTCTTCCATTCATAAATCCTTTGCCATCATAAGTTACACTTCCGGGACTGGAGACAGAGAAAACTCTGTATCCTATTCCCCTAAGAAATGGATGTGCTTGCCAATGCCATGTCACAGTGTCGCCCACAGATACATTTAAGACCGATGGTGACCAGGCATAACCTAACCCATGTACTGAGAGCAGAAAATGGGTCACATTTTATAAGAAAAGAAAAAAAAGAAAAGGGATAAAAATTATTATAATTATCTTTTAAAATATTGCATTGTCATATTGCATTGTGAAATATTTTTATATAACATGGTAAAATCATATGTGCATAATTCAAACATGTAACAGAAATAAACAGAAATAATGAAAACTAAGGAAGCTAAGGGAAAAGTAACCTACACAATAATAACACCAATGATCAAGACACAACTTGAAAATAATCAGAAAGTCAATAAACAAGTTGTTCAGAAATATCCCATGAAATAGTTTTTAAAGCTGATTAATGTTTTAAACATATTTTTCTCAAGCTCAGAGGCATACAAAAATCTATATAATTTCTATTTGAATGTTCATTAAGAAATTCACTGACTGAAAATAAACTAGAGTAATTCAGGAGATTCTGTGCTGCAGTAAAACTCAACAGCAATTACTGAACTTGGAAACTAAAATCTGGCCTTTTGGACTCAAGTCTACCATTGATTCACTGTGCAGCTCTGTATGCCAATTGTATGCCGTTGACAAATTATAGAAAGACATGCAATAGACATTGTCTGAAAACTTTAAAGTATAAAATAAATAAAAAACAAAATTAGTTTCAGGGTAAGTGCTCCTATTATATACAATATATAAATGTTGGCTGATACCTGAATCTTCCCCATCATTGGTAATCCTGAATACATTCCCTGTTGAAGGAAGAGTACATTTGATGACATCTGACGATGATGATGTCACCCTGCAAGGGAAGGACCCTAGAAAGAATAAAGATGGGTTAAAAAATATTCTCAAATAATTTTGAACTATAGAATTAAATATAATTACTAAAAAGTCAAAGCCCTATTAAAAACTCCATATGATATAATAGGCTTTTGGTAGTTTTCTGATAGTAATCATGTTTGAATCTTAATTATTTTTAGAACAGAGATCTTTTTTAGTATTTCATATACATTAAATACACAATCATTATTTATTGAAATCAAAAGCTATTACTTATTTTCCCTTTACCACCTTCATCAAATATACTTAACCTTTTATAGACTAATAGGAAGATAAAGCTTCCATGATTGAGCATACAGTTATTGTATGTAGTTATTATAATATACTTTATTATATTATACCACATATATAATAACTACATACAATAACTACATATAATAACTATATAATAACTATACATAATAACTATATATATATATAGCACCTATAGCATATCCTTTAAGCTGGGAAAAATGAAACAACCCTGCTGTGAGGATGCAACTCTTACCTAAGAGCACGGTGTTCTCTGTGGGTATTGTGCTAAACCCCAAGCCCATGATAGTGATTTCAGTTCCCCCATATAAGGAGCCTCTCTGTGGAAATATATTGTTCACTTCTAAAATGTACTGTATAGAAGCATTTAACTTGTCTCTGCAAAAGAAAAATTAATACGTGTTTCAATGAGCTTCCCGAGGGGTCACGCTGTGAAACTTTCCCCAGCATAGGATTCATTTAAGAAGAGAACGTATTCTGATAATGATCATGAACCTCAATTTGGTTAGATAGCGTGTAGATCATAGTTTCTCCCTCCGACCTTCATGTGAGTTCAGTTCCAAAGTTATACCCTCAGTTTGAAAAGGGAGATGTAGAAAGGTAAAAAAAACGCTTCTACGTATTATAAGGCGATTGGCTGCTTCGTTTCCTATCCTGAAACTATTAGCCCCGTGAGTTCCACAACGCCATCAAGTTCATGTTCGTTGCCATACCTTGTGGAAGCAAACCCCCAGGTTCTGACTTCTACGTGGATATCATGTTTCCCAGGAGACAACGTGGGCAAAAGGCATCTGATATCGCTGAAGTTCCAGTGCAGAATCTGGCAGGGTTTTCCTCCCACATACACCTCCACGCTTTGTGTGGGGTCATTTCCAAAGTTATAACCTTTAATTGTTAAATTTGCTTCTCCTGTTATTTAAAATAAAAAGGTTTTACAAAAAGTCCAACTTATTATGCAGTGTGCAATTTGTATGTGAAGTCAACCAACTCATCTCTTTTACTGGGTTTGGGACATCCCAACACTTTTGGAGGCAAAAGAGGAATCAAAAGAGCTGAGAGCTGTCATATGGAGATAAAAATCTACGTTTAATTGTTTCACAGGGGGAAAAAAGATGGCAAAGCACTTTCAAAAAACAACAGTATTTTTCTCCTATTGCGCATATTCAAAGTGAAATAATAAATAGACTAATCTATGGGTGTGTTTAAAAAAAACAGAAACACACAAACCCTCATGTCAGTTTTGCTTTAAGACACAGAACTTCAAGAGAAACTGATTCAAAAGTCTTTCTAGAAATGGTTTATATACGTCAAATAACTGATCTTATTGAAGAATGTGTTACCTAATATTGTCCGTACTTTTGGGCTAAAATCAGTCATTACTGGAGTCTGTAAACAATTGTAACTATATGCATCCTTTTTTGTGGCTTGAAATCCATGGGTAATAACTGAAACATTAACTGTACCCTCAATTCTCTGAAACAAGAGGGGAAAAATAAAACAATTAGAAAATGTTAAATGTTGAGATACAGCTATCCAATGGGTAAAAACAATCAGAATTATTTAAAATATACTTCCGAAGATGTTTTCTTTCAAAGTCATGAATAAAAGTCAGTTTTCAGATTTTTATAAAGTTCTGTTTTTAAATATAGGTTATATGTTTAAATTCTTTAGAGAAAGACCCATATTATGGTGGTTTTGATCAATTTAATTGCATCTTATATTGCTGAATTCCTGAGGATTGGGCAATACAATAAAAATGCTCTGGATAAGTGATTCTCTAACTGATAAAACAAGATATAAAAAGTTGTAACATTTTGCTCTTAAAATAGACTCAAATATACTTTTTATTCCCCTTCACTGACAAACCACATTATTATATTGTTAGCTAACGTAGCTCCAGAATCCAAGACTGACCTTTGGACTCCCAAAAAGATATTCGGCGCTTTCACTGATATTGCACATGCACAATTCCCAATTAGGAAAAAACACTTCTTATATCTAGTATTTACTTAATGCACATTGATTGTTTAATGTCATGATATAATTTAAACAAAGTAAGCTTTAATCTACCTATTCTCCAGATTCTCATCTTGATAATGATCCTATGCATATTCAAATTTCCTTTCCTACAGATTTCAACTGCATGGTACCCATCTTAGACTGTTACATGGTACCCATCTTAGACTGTGAGTGGCTGGATTCATCATTCTTTTGCACATAACAAGCAAACTGGAGTCTTTGTTTTAATTTAAACACTATTTTTAAAAATAAAGAACAATGATTGATTCTAAAATAGAATATTCCATGGGAGAATTCCATGTTTGTTTGTTTGTTTTTTATCAATAAACTGAAAATTAACACATTTAAAATGTATGTATGTACCTTTGTAAAAACTAAAATATAACTAGCCCTAGATGGTTTGGCTCAATGGACTTAAGGGTCGTAGGTTTGATTCCAGTCAGGGCATGTGCCTGAGCTGTGGGCTTGATCCCAGGGGAGAGTGTGCAGGAAGCAGCCAATCAGTAGTTCTCTCTCATCATTGATGTTTCTACCTTTCTCTCTCTCTCTCTCCCTCCCTCTTCCTTCCTCTCTGAAATCAATAAAAATGTATTTTTAAAAAATATATAAATTTGATTCCCTGAATTTTTAGACTACTTATTAGTAATAAATCTTTTTCATCCTTTGATTTACATGGTCAAATAAATTCATCCTTTAAGCTATGATAGGACATCAGCTTTTTTGTGGAATTCTTTCTAAATTCTCTTCCCACACACTTTGTCTTCAATTTGTGTTTATTCCTATTATTTCAAATGGAATACACTGAAAATATTGGTTTATGTACTTGTCATCCTTAATAATGTGAATGTAAGTATCTAGAACATGGAATAATATTTTGTATTTGATACTGGCAGAAAGATGTTGAAGAAATAATTGTTAAAAAGCATAACTGAAACTCTGCACTTCCAAAGGAAATATGTAATTTGTTTAACCCTCTACTGAGATATTTCTTAATTCATAAGATTTCAGGTAAATGACTAAAATCAGATGCCTTACTTTTGGGGTTCTGCAGGTTATCTTGTTCAAGTCCCCATCAATCACATTGCAGATTTCATTTCCAACTAATACCTTTGAATTTTCATTAAAGCCAGTTCCAGATAGAGTCAGAAGATTACCACCTACATAAAGAAGAAAACAACCCAACAACAACAAGGTAACTATAACAACAAGAAACTTTGGCAATAATCTAACTCATCGTTCAGGAATTGTCTCATCCTTTAAGAGATGGGTTGGCAAACAGATCAGGGACCAAACTTGAGATGTACACAATCACACCACACACCTGAGCCTGTGCTCTGAATTCATAGACCGTAAAGGAGCTGGGCTAAGCAACTTAATGAAATAACAAATTTGCAACCAACATTGCTTTTGGGACATTACCAGCAGCAATTATTATTTTCCCCGAGTGCCTCCTTCATACTAAAGAGAAATTATGCAGTTTCTATTTGCTCAACCATTCCACGATGGGACATGAGAGTGAATTAAGACTTACCAAATTCCCTAATGTTAATACCTCTAAGGAAAAGTTTAACTGAGAAAACATCCCAACAAAATAAAAATAAACTCAAAACAAGCCAAAAAGTTCAAGATCAGCACAAAATCCAAAACGAAGCATTGTAAAACAAGCAAACACAAAATTCAAAGGAAATGAGACAACAGACAAAATGCGTTATTTTCTTCTCATCTTCTGCGTTACCCTCCCTTTCCCCAATTTGTTCCCAGAACCTCTTCTGGGTCAAGTAGCTCCATGGAGACTGTGGTTACAAATGGAGCAGCTGGTAAGCAGAATAATAACTAATAAATCTTATCCTGACATAACTGATGAGCTTGTTATAGGAACGTGTAATAATTGATGATATTAATTCAATAACCTAAGATGTAAGTATAAGCAGTCTCCCTGACTAGTGCTTCATAAGAAACAAAAGAATTAGTCAGCCATTTAATCACTGACTCCTACAGAGGAGTCTCTTTGTTCTATCTGAGGGAGGGTTGGGTTCCTCTCCCTGTACCCCGCTCTGGGAACAGTGCAATGAGATGACGGAAATGAATGCAATCTTCTTTGTTTAGAACAATGAACCGTTACCTGCTAAGCTTCCAGAAATAGGCCAGATGTCTGAGATCTGACTCTGATACGTGAAGTGGAATACCTCGTCCTCCGCGTTCCCTGCTAGTCCGACGTCAGCTATGGACACAGCAACCGGGAAGTGTCCAGCACTTCCATTCAGGAGCTGGCACTGGATCTCGTTTTCTTGTGATAAGAAAGAAGAAGAAAATGATAAAGACAATGTTTTTATGAAGTCAAACTATTGAAATGTTATATTTGCAACTATAAACATCCCCCTTTATTGTTATACACCCAAGAAATATACCTAAGGAAAACTACTCAACTAATAATGAGAAAAAAAATAATCTTTACAAACTATCTGAAATCAGAACTCCTGAAAAAAACTTAGAAAAAGGGATGGTGAAATCAACGTAAACAATTTGGTCCTGATTGCTACTGTGGGGGGGGGGGGGGAAGAGGATACAATAATTTAAAAATTCAATCTGTGAAACCATTTATATTAACAATTTCTTAAAAATTTGCTTCAATATATTGATTATGTCCTAAATTGAGTAAAATAGTTTTTTCACAGAAAAGTGATTAAACAAAAATGAAAACATCTTCTTCACTTCATTTAGGACAGTATGTGTGTACTTATAATACAGGTGCAGAACCGACTGGTAGATCTCAAGTGTGCATAAAAGACCTAACTGAAAAACAACTTGAATTATATGAAAGATGGATTTACTTACATAGTTCCAGCTTGCTAGGCTTAAGAAATACACCTAGGATTATGAGATATAATTTTTAGGGAGATAAATACTCATTTTTTCATGAGGGGAAGAGGTGAATAATCTTTAAATTCTATGTTAATGGATAGGGTTTCTGTTGGCCTAACAGTCAGGGAAGATGGACACATCCTCTTCTTCGTGAATAATGGGGCATTGTCAAAGCATAGGCAGAGGGACTGTGGCATACCAGAGCAGAAATCCACATATTTCTGTGTCCCAGACACCCACCAAAGAAGAAAAGGTTTTATGTAGTCACTTTATGAAGAAAAAAGGAGAAAAATCAACTATCATGGGATAAAGACTTGGTACAGTGAACGGATTAGTTTGTGGTCACAACCAAAGATTGAAAAGATAAAACATTTTCCCAGAGCAGTTTGCCAATTTCAGGTTATCCTATAGGATAATAATGATCTTTGGTCCCACGTTCTCTTAGAGAAGGACAATTACACTGAGTGAGAATAATATTTAAAAGAACCTACCATTCACAGAAAGAAGGGAGCAACCTATCTGTCCAACTGAGACCGAAACAGCTGAACTAGGAGAGAACCCGGAACCTGATATGGTTAGAATTGTTCCTTCTTCAGAGGACCCTGAAAAATGATGTTTAAATAACAATGTTAACGTGGAAAAACATAGAACCTACAGTTATGAAATCAGATATTTCTCAGAAAAAATAAGTCTGTTTTAAAAGATAGGAACAATCAGCCTATAAGCCAGCAAGGGAGGAGGGGAGACAGATTTATTCAGCAATTGTATTTCCCCCATCGAATTCCTCTACATTGCCTTTAATTTTTAATCTGTGTATTCATAGGGATTAGTGGGAAGGATTATATTACTGAAATTATGAAATAAAGTAAAGAAAGGAAAATGATTCTTACAATAAAGAAATTAAACAAACATCTCTAAATAGTGACAGTCAATTTCAGAGCTGCCATCACAAATTCATGAGAAAAGGATAAACAGTGAAATAAGTGTTATGGACACTTCTCGTTTGCAATATACTAAGATTCCTCTCTCTAGGGTGAGATACATCTCAATCAAGTACCTCAGAGATTCCCGGTTTACACTTGCTTTCCCAGCATCTTATACTTAATGGTTGTCCATTCAACTCTTTAAAAGTATCCAGGCCCTAACAGGTTTGGCTCAGTGGATAGAGTGTCCGCCTGCGGACTGAAAGGTCCCAGGTTCGATTCTGATCAAGGGCATGTACCTTCGTTGCTGGCACATCCCCAGTAGGAAGTGTGCAGGAGGCAGCTGATGGATGTTCCTCTCTCATCAATGTTTCTAACTCTCTATCCCTCTCCCTTCCTCTTTGTAAAATAATCAATTAAATATACTTAAAAAAAAATAGGTCATCAATGATCTGTCCAGAGCTTTCCAATCTGATAACTTTCTTTGCTCCTATTATGTAGAACTGTTTGCTTGACTTAATTGGTGACACTGGAATATAAAAAAAAATCATTATCAAAATTTACTTTTTAAAAAAAATATATTTTTTATTGATTTTAGAGATGAAGAGAGAGAGATAGAAACACCAATGATGAGAGAGAATCATTGATCAGCTGCCTCCTTCATGCCCCCTAATAGGGACCTTTCAATCTGAAGGCTGACACTATCCACTGAGCCAAACCAGTTAGGGCCAGAATTTACATTTTTGCTAGTTGTCTTGCACCCCATACTCTCAGTTAAAAAGCAAGAGGTTACCTTTGGAAGGGCTTATGGTCCGAATTATGGGAGTAGTCATGTGATCCCATGTAAACCCACAGTCACCTGAACATTTAGCAGGAATTCCATTAACATAGACTTCAACCTTCAAATAAATAAACAGAGATAGAGAATAGAGGTAAAGAGGTTGCATGTTTCAGAAGAATATGCACAGTATTTAGAATGAATGATAAAACTTTGTTTCCACATTTTTAAATAAAAATTAGTCTCTTCTACTTGGACTTTTCTGCTTTGACACTTCATTTTTTCATTCATTTATTCATTCTTTCATTCAGCAAATGTAACCACTCTATATCAGACACAGTTGTAAATGTTATGAATACAACATTGAACAAAACCTATGACATCCTTGCTGTACCAAATTTATAACCCCCTTGAGGTGAGATAGTTGCATAAGACCATAAAAATAATTATAAAAACTAAATGCCCTGGTTTTAAGTGCCATGAAGGAAAATAAAGATTATTCTAGGAAGAGTCACCTAAACTCCTTATAATCTAATTTTCTCATAATTAAAGTGGTAACATTAAAGATCATTACACAAAACTTATGTAAAGATTAAATGAAAGCATATATCTTCAAATTCTAACAGGCAGTACTAGAGCTTAAAAATCCATTCTTTTATTATAAGGAAGACAACTTTCTCAAAGGTCATAAAATAATATCATTAAGTTGACCAACTGTTAACACTAATATTCACATGAAAATAAAGATTATCAGGCCTTTACTGTATTACAAACTAGCTATACATTTAAAATTATAAATGTATTACACATCTTGAGGAAAGTTCCGAAAATACCTGTGGTTGTTGGTTGGGTGTACGGAGTAGGTCTCCAAGTATGTGTTGTCTGAATAAACCACCTTCCTTTACCTTCGTAACTGTCATATTAGCCTTTTCTCCAATAATGTTGGAATCATTAACCTATTTTTAGAGAAAATTATTGCAGTAGAAAGCTCTAATGACTATACTAATTTTTCTTTTAAAATTTTAGTATGCTTGAAAGTGAATAAAAGATAATAGATGAAAAAAACAACATTCAAAACCATTTCAGTCACATTTCTTGGAAAAGGAGCATAATCTACCCAAGAAAAAAAATGCTAAAAATATTGCACAATCAAATATTACATCAGTTATAACTTGAATAAAATGACTAACGTTAGCTTGCATTTTAAAATAAAATATGTCAAAGGAAAATAGTTTACTAAATTTTATTTTCTCAAAATGTTCTAGGCCACTTTGACAGTTGGTTGTTTTTTTTTTTTAATAGCAATTAAAAATTTAGTTCTGTTCCCAACCAAGGGCCAGCTTTTCCACTTCTAGCATTTTTCATCTCTGACTATCGTGGTTTGTTATCCACTCACGGAATTTTATGATCTGCCAAAGATAAAAAGTAAAACGAAATCAAAATGTGCAACTTGCAAAATCCTCTGCCAATATGGTAGCCTTGGGAAGTGTACACGGGGTATAGTTGGCATTTAAAAAAAAAAAAAAATAAACACAGTTTCCAATTGTTTTTGTGGCAGGGTGCAAGTAAGCATGCATCACACAGAAGAAAACAGAAACCAAGCCAGACAAGGGCACCTGGAGCAGCTCCTGCTTCCCACATGCGCTTCTCCACTTGATGTTCCATGAGTATCCGGCACAGGTTCCCTCTCGCGTCACGGAGACCCGTCCCGCTCCTTCCAGGCTCTGGAGAGCGAACTGCAGATCTGCCGCCGACACCGCAGCGGGGAGGCCTGCGCTCACAGAGGGAGTCAGAGTCACAGCCCTGTCTCATCCTCAAAATGCGTGAAATGTATCACTGAGAAACCAACCACCCTCCTCCAAGAGGGTAAAAATGAAGTTGCATTCTACCGATGTCAAGAATTTATATATTTCTTGGAAACAAAAATTACATGAGTAATGTATCTCATTAGAGGCTTGACTTAAATACTCTTATTTTTAATATCAATTTACTTTATAGGCAACATATAAGCCATGGATATAAAAGAGAAACAAACTTTAAAAAAAAATCATCACCTGGGATATGTTTGTTTTTTAAAATTGATTTTTAGAGAGCTAGGGAGAGAAAGAGAAATATTGATCAAATGCCTCCCATAAGAGTCCCAATGAGGGATCCAACCTGCCACCTAGGTTTGTGTCCTGACCGGAAATGGAACCCAAAACCTCTTGGTATATGGGATGATGCTCCAACCAACTAAGCCACTCAGCCAGGGCAAAAGAGAAACAAACTTTTAAGACTATGACCTGGTATATGTGGTGAAGCAATGAATAAAATATGAGAATGTTTCCTCCCCAGCTGTGGCTTGTTTTATGGGGAGAAAATATTTGCAAAACACATATATATTAAAGACCCATATAAAAAAATACACAAAGAGCTCTTAAAAACTAAAAAATAAGAAAACAAACAACTCAATTTTAAAATAGACAAAATATGTGCAGTCACCCTAACTAATGATATATTAGATAAAAAAATAAACATATAAAAAGATACTGAATATCATATCCTTAAAGGATTGCAAATGAACAGCAATAAGATACCACTACACACTTATGAGAATGGCTAAAATAAATAAAATAACTGACAGTACCAAATATAACTAGGTCTACGTGTAATAGCAATACTCATTCATTTCTGGTGTACTGGTAAATGCCAAATGGTATAGTGACTTTGGAAGACAATTCGGCAGTTCCTTATAAACCTAATCTTACCATAGGATCCAGCAATTGCATACCTAGGTATTTAACCAATTGTGCTGGAAATATGTCCAAACCAAAACCTTCACATGAATGTTTATGGCAGCTTTTACTGCTCCAAACTGAAAGCAATCAATATGTCCTTCAACAGGTGAATGGATAAGCTGGTACATCCATACAGTGGATATTATTCAGAGATAAAAAGAAATGAGCCATCAAACCATAAAAAATGAATATTGCTAAATGAAAAAAATTAAATTACAATCTGGAGAAGGCAAAACCACAGGTAGTAAAAAGACCAGTGTTTGCCCAAATTTCAGGGGGAGAGGGAAGAAATTAATAGGTAACGCACAGAGGATTATTATGGTGGCAAACCTATTCTGTATGGTTCTGTAATGGTGGATAAATGGCACTATGCAGCTGTCAAACCTATGAACTTTACAACATGAAGAATAAACCTCATGCTTGCAAATTTTAAAAAATGTGAAAATGTAATTTGCTCTGGATCATTTACCTTTACCTTAGTAAGTTATGTAAATTATATAGAGACATGATATTAGAAAGAAGTACACTAAGATGTATATGATGTTTGCATAGAGCAGCACAGTCTAACTGACACATATATCACTGTTCTGGGCTTTTTTTAAATATACCTTTGAGAATATGTCCATAAGCTTGAAGGTCAAAGCTGCCTCTGAGAGGTGCAGATGCTGCCTGAGTCCTTTGAATGCGGATCCTTGACTCCCCTGGCCAATTGTTTCCTCTGTAAACAGACTCATTCTCTGTCTCGTTGGTGATTATCTAATTTCCAAAATAAATATTGATAAAATGATTAAACACAACGATGGCTAAGATGATTTCTGTTTCACCGTGGTACAATCCCGTGACAGGACATAAATGAGCCCTCACATATTCATTCAGGACTCTTCAGGACATTAAGGAAAGTCACATAAATCAACACAGACCATACCTAAAGAGCTGCAATAATGAGGCCAAAGTCAACTCAGTCATCTGTGCAGCCATCAGCTGGAGCCACAGTAATTCCTCATTAATTCAGAGTGTACCCTCCATCACTCAAAGAACAAATATTTAGTGAGCAGGGATTCTATTCAAGATACAGTGTAATCACTGTGGGGAGGCAAAGGAATACGAAATGTGGCCTTGGCTATCAAAAACCTAAAAACCCTTTTGGAAAAATGCATATGGTGACTTGATAACATAACTAAAAAATATGAGAAAGTGAATGATCAGCACAGTGAATGACTCAGACGTGGGAAATATCTGACTAGTGTTGAGTGCCAATCAATTAACAAAAGTAACACATGCTATACAAATTCATAAATTGTAACTCTAATCATGAAAATGATATCTCCTGCTTCTGATCCCTCATAGTGATCTGTTACTCTTGTGGAATTTAGAACTATTCACCCCAATGCCCACAGAGTTGATTAAATATAAGTGTCATAAGACCTGTGCAAGAATATTCCTAGCAATTTTATTCCCAATAGTTCCAGACTAGAAATAATGCAAAAGTCCATCAATAGGATAAATTGGGGTATATTCATACTCTGGAACACAATAAAGCAATAAAGAAGAATGAACTTGAGCTACAAGCAACACATGAACTTCACTGTATCAAATAAAAGAAGCTAAGTGCAAAAGAGTACTTACTGTATTACTCATTGATATGATAAAAATAAGCAAAACTAATTAATGGTGACAGAAGTCAAAATAGGTTATCTAGGGGTGAAAAGTAAATGATCCATCCAATAACAAGAAGAAGGCACAAGGAAGTGTCTTTGGAACTAATGAGACTTCTTTATCTTGATCTGAGTAGTAATTACATGAGAGCATTTACTTTGTAAAATTCATGGAGTTCAGCAAGGTTGCAGGATATAGAATTAACACACAAAAACCAACCACATACCTCTATACAAATAACAAGCATGTGGAGATCAAAATTAACGCTACAAGACCATTTACGAACACTTCAAAGAAAAGAGAATACGTATAAATCTAACAAAACATGTACTGGGTCGGACCTGAAAATTGCAAAATGATGATGAAAGTAATCAAAGAAGACCTAGATATGCTGATAAAAGAAAAAAAAACACCTAAATAAATGGAGACACATACTGTGTTCGTGAATTGCAAGACTCAATATAATAAGATTGTTAATTCTCTCCAAAACAATCTAGATCATCATTAAATGCTACTCAGCCATAAAAATGTGCAAACTATTGATAGCCACAGCAACTTTGAGAGATCTCAAGGGAATTATACTGAGTGAAGAAAAGCTAATGTTAAAAGGCTACAACTGGTCTGATTATATAAAGTATGACTCCATTGACATAACATTGTTGAAATGATAAAATTATAGATGGGTTAGTGCTTACCAGGGAAATAGGGAAGTAAAGAAAGAAGGAAGGTGGCCGTGGCTATGAAAGGGTAGCAGAGGGATCCTTGGGCTGGAATTGCTGTGTGATGACAGAATCTACACATGTGATAAAATTGTATAGAACTATTCCATGCCCCCCGGCTTCCCTTACCCCCACACACAATGAAAGCATGTAGAACTAAACAGGGTTGGTAGATTGTAACAATGTCAATTTCCTGGTTGTGCCATTATGATATAGTTATACAAGATTTTGCCAAATGGGGAAAATGGGTGAAGGATATAGAAATATTTCTGTATTATTTCTTACACCTGCATATTAATCCATAATTATCACAAAGCTCCAGTTTTAAAAATAATTAATTGAACTAACCCTTTAATATGTGTGTACATTCCTCAAAGTATCTTTCACTTGAATTTTTTAAAAGTCATAAAAATGTAAGTACACATTCACAATTTAGCCTTGGGTAAATGGCTAAAGCTAGAGGGTACAATAGCTAGTTTTAATGAGAAGTGAGAAATGGGAGACTCTTGACACAGAGGCTTTGACTGCACAAAGCCCCAAGTTAGTTACTACATTTTGTTAGAGAACTATGAGAAAAAGACTGAAATATCTTTACAACACATTCAGCTGTAAAGATACTAGAATTAAAACATTGAGCCAGAACCAGCTAAAGGCAATTTTCATGAAATACAGTTTTTCAGTATTTTCTATCAAATCGTTTAGTGAGCAAAACATTCTCTATAAGACTCTAGCACAATATTTAATCCTTAATCCTGAACTCGTGTTTGTTTTTGGTTTTGTTGCAGGAAATTATATTAACTTGTATATTTTTGTAGGACATTGATTTTAAAATAGCCATCATATTTGTAATATTTAATACTTATTATAAACAACTCAAGCTGCACAAAAACTTGGTCAGATCCTTTTGGAATTGTGGAAAACTGTCTCTTTCCTCCCTGTGTCAACTTCGATACAAGCTGAAGATAGATGGTGTTTGTAATAGACACAATGGGAAAACATGCAGAATCTGAAATTTTCTTTCAATAACCTCTGTTCAAGGATCTTTATTAGAAAAGCACAATTTTTTAAAGCAACAGAGAAAGCTCTACTTAAATCTATGTTCTCCTTAGATATATTTTTGAAGTATTTAATGTTTAAAGTGAATTTTCATGCTCAAATTCGACAAACCTCTAAATCTTCACTTGTCCTTAGAATAACAGTCTTGTCCTAGTAAAAGATATTCAGACTGTGTATCAGCTATTTGTAAAGATTAAAGAGAAAGTTTACTAGATCAAAGCTAATGCTTCAGCAATAGAAAATAAATGGTAACTTGTAAAACTCTAGGCTTACCTGCCCAAAGCTCACAGCCATCATGGGTATATTATAACTGCAGTTATATGAAGTCATGGTGACAGAATATTGGCTCATCATACTTGACCCGTTACTTTTGATCTGATCCACCTGGAAGTGCTTTAGAAATATCCCTTTGTTCGCTAATGCCGGGAGTCTTCTCTTTGGCATTTCTAAAGAACATGAAGGAAATGGGAAGTAAAATTGCAGCTCCTGCTGCTGAAAAGAAAACCACCAAGCAATAATATCCACATGTCACAGAATACGCTGTTTAAAACCAAATGTTAGAAAAAGGCTAATAGCTTGTGGTGCTTGGTAAACTTTCACTCCTAGAATATAAAGCTTTATGTCTTCTGATCTATGAGCCTTATCAGATTGGGGGAGGGGGGAGGTTTAGATTATTACTTAAAAGCCACCATGGCCTGGGGTCCATGTAGCCTTCTGGGGCCAGTTAGCTCAGCTCTGTTCCAGGTGCCCAGAGTGAGGCACTCACTGGTCATGTGCCCCAGGAGGGCAGGACCAGGATTGTCTTGTTCACTGTTCTTTAGTGCAACACATCACCTGCCACACGGGAGGTACTAAATAAATTCTAACAAACTGCAACATCTATTCCAGCACAAACCAGCTATCTTATACGTGTGTCCCACCAATTATCATGTCGATTTGAATACAGCAATTTCAAAAGGACCCTAAAGCAGTAACATTTCTTTTTGCTTTTTTCCTCTTTTCTTTTTTTGCCAATTGACTCATGCTCTTGCACTTGAAAACAGTCCCAAAAACTCTGAAAAAGGTTTCAAGGTAATTGGAGTTAGGTTGATTTTTTTTTAAATCACAGTTTAATTTTAATTATTTTATTATCATAGCTTATATAATATATATGAGTCTACTAAAATGATTAGAAAAACAATATTAAGACTTTCAGAAATAAGGTTTTCACATATCACATCGCTCATTATAACTATTAGGTCTATGAAAAGACTCCGCTCAATCTTACTAAACAGATGTCATTATCAACGTCAATAAACACCCAGGTTAGCCTTTTAGGAATAGAGTTTTCTTGGCAGTTTATTTCTTAAAAATCAATTTAAAAAATGAAAATGTTATAGTTTTCATATCTGTAAACAGAACCTAGGACTATAAAACCAAATTTTTACTACAATGACAGCTTACATTATATTCTTAGAGTAATCTTCCAGCCCTGTTAATTTAAAAATGATTTAAATAATATTAATATTTTGATAAAAGAATAACTCATAAATATTTAGAGATTAATGATTTTATCTAAACTACCAAATATAATAATTTTAATGATAAGAGTTTACTACACAATAGATTTGGATAGTTTAAGTAGATACGAAGTGACACAACATACCATCCCATAGTGAAATTGTAGGTGTCTGTCCAATGTACACTGTATCCACATAAAAGGACTGTGATTTTGATGCTTCCTGTACACTAATCCTCTGAAGAGCAAAATTAGTCCCAGTGTATCTGGTTTGTATGAGGTCCAGAAGGTCTATGCAAGTGTATGTCCAGCTGAAATATGGTTCATTAAGTAGGTATGCTGATCAGTTGTTAGGCTTAATGTAAAGAACTACACTATAAAAAGCATTACAATCTTAAAGAGTAAAAGGTGTGTTTTTTTTTTTCTCACAAGAAGACATCAAGCATACTTCATTAGCATAGGAAAGCAGCAGAAACTTACTTAACAAGGGACAACAGACAGAAACCCCCATTGCAGTAAAAGATTTAATGTTGGATCCAAATATATTTCTTTTCCTTGTAGCTTTGGCAGTAGCCACTGGAATGTAAAATATTCTGTAGCAATAGATAAGGAAACTAAGGAGCATGCAATTTGGTTTAGAACACAAAACAGGACACAAGAATGAAGTAGGCTGGGAGGAAGAGGTAAAATGGGGGGAAACAGGAGTCATCTGAAATACTATCAACAATTATATATATATATATATATATTCTTAAAAATATTTATTGTTTTTGTTTTTTTTTTTTTTTTTACAGAGAGGAAGGGAAAGGGATAGAGAGTTAGAAACATTGATCAGCTGCCTCCTGCAAACACCCTACTGGGGATGTGCCTGCAACCAAGGTACATGCCCTTGACTAAAATTGAACCTGGGACCCTTCACTCCGCAAGCCAACACTCTATCCACTGAGCCAAAAACACTTAGGGGTAATATATATATAATAAATGGGTTGTGCTCTAAATAAAAAAAAATGAAGTAAATTATTTTAGTAAAAAAATGTTAGAGATAGAAAAATAAACTCAGTCCAATACTAAGAAGCAAAACTGGATCTTGATACTACTTTCAAAGAACTCACTGCAGTTGCATTGTCTACTGTTCTAAGTGACCAAAAAAAAAAAAGTGCTGAGCTATTTATAGTCAGTATCTTCCAAGTGTGTAATTTAGATTCAGATTTTTTATCAAATACTAACTGCATTAGAATCTCATAAACTGCAATTAAGCAATTCTGCTATGAGAGTTTATGAGAAAGAGATAAATCCTGCCATCCAAATAACTAAGTATAGTTTAACAGATATCTTTATATAAGCTTCTACTGTAGTTACTAACTGTCTATTTGTTTGGGCATTTTCTATTCTCATTTCCTTCATGGGTTCCAAATTCATCATGGGATCCACCTGTGTTTGCAGCAAAGCTTAGAACTACAGCAGATTTAGAAAATTATATACAGAACTACATGAAGTTAAAGAGTCCTTTAAATTAATAAAAGTACTTAGGTCCTCTAAGTAGAATTCTACAAATTCTATGATTCCAAAGTTTAAAAAAAAAAAAACTTAGAAAATTTGGTGTACTTAACAGTTTACCATTATTTCATTATCTAAAGGGTCATGAGTGATTGTGGCACTAGACCAATTATTATTTTCATAATCAATAGATTTAATTTTGGCACATTTTTATTAGAAAGCGCCTAAAGAAGACAATTGCAATTAGATACATGGTGTACACGATTTCTCAAAAACAACAAACAAATAAGAAATGGGTTTATTTTCATAGTTTACTAGTATACACTGTAGTATAATTTAAGTTTTCAAATTCATAATGTAACTTACTTGTTTCCATAAGCAAAACTATATGTAAATTGTATTTCAGTGCTTCTAGTAACCTTGCTTTTGTCTTGGTATTGAAATTTTAGACCAATATAATTTGCCAGGAATCCTTTGTATGCTAAACATAACTACATAGAAAATAAGGGGGAAAAAAGAAGTAAAAATATCTTATCATTAAATTGTTTTGTAGCAATTCAAATTAAGTCAATCCAATCCAATAAGTATATATTGAGCATTTTTCATAAAAATTTATCAAAAAAATTAATTTCAGCCAATTAAATGCAGAAGAATTGGGGAAGATTTTATAGAAGAGGAAATGAAGTTGAAATGACCTTCCAATTAACGAATAATTCTTTATATACATCTTTTGATATGCTTTCCTAAAAAAAAAAAAAAAAAAAAAAAGAGTGAATTCACTCCTCATAGTCACCAAGCTACATAAGAATTAGATCCAGCTCTAACTGAACTCTTCAGTGAATTTAGAAGACAGAGGGAGAGAAACATTTGGAGGGATTGAAATGTGAATGCAACTGAGATTTAGAGATGAAGTTGTCACTGCAAAATAGTGATTAAATACCAGTTTTAATGGCCTAAAACACCTTATTAATGCCAAATATATCTAGAACTAACAACTTCAGAATATGTGCTATAATTTGAGAATTTTAAAACAAGAGAAAGGGTAAATCTATAGTTACTAGTCTTTAATACCTGCCCTAAAGTTGCCATTTCATCTTCTCAGAATCTTCTTTTACTTTTTCATGATTGAATATCTGAGATCACTCTATGATGCCTATCCATTTTTGTTTCTTCTTAATTAATGAAGGAATATTGAAAATAACATATAAAATTTATTTGTTTTAGTACTTACATGAGTGCAAATAATTTTTTAAAATATGAGATAAAGAAGAATACATGTGCATGGTACTGCATATTAATTTCTTGTTTTGAGAATCACAAGAAGAGGAAATCACAAGAGCCCAGAGAGTGAACCACAGAGCCTGTCCAATGTGACATGATTTCACATGACAAGCACTCTTCCTTGTCTTAAAATTTCATGAAATTTTATTACCAAGGGGTTTTACAAATTCAATTAGCATATCATTTTGTTGAGCTTACCTGATTATAAGGAAATAATGAAATGTCTCCATATGGTCGTCTGTTTGGTTTAACATCTGCTGAGTCAAAGAGAACAGCTGGGTTTTTCAGGGAATAACGACCACAGTAAGCATCAGTTTCAGCTGTCTTCTGCCCTCTATTAATATGATCCTGCAGAAACAATAATATTTCAGAAGAAAACATGATTGATAGTCCTGCTTTGTTCCTCAACATCTTCACCCAAGTCCTTCAAGCTCTACTCAGATCCCATTGCTTCCCAAATTACTATAACTTGAAATGTTCTCCCTTTGAAATTCTAAAGCCCTCACCTTATATCACTCATTTGATCCCATAATCACATAATCACTTGTCACTATATTTCCCAAATCCTATCTTTTCCCCCTATATTATGAACTCCTTAATGATATTTAATCCTTCCTTCCACAAATGTTTATTCAGTGTTCACTGTGGGCCACATCTTTGTTTGTTTATGAATGTGTTTTGTTTTTTGTTTAATCTTCGGGGTCCCAGTGGTGAACACTACCCCTAAACACAGAAGCCTATCCCAGTGTGGAAGAAGGAACCAAGGATTATAAAACCAAGGCTGACAGGAGGCCTCTAACTCACCTAAAAGCATCAAGAAAAATGACAGAGAAAATGGCACATGAGGTGTCTTTAAAGATAAAAATGAGTTATTTAAGAGGAAAAGGGGGCCAAGAAGCTTTGGGAAAGGGTAAAATACATGCAGAGAAGCAGGGATGTTAGAGAGCAGTGCTGTAAGATTCAAATTGTCAAGGTAGGGTAGAGGAAAGAATGTGTGTTGTGATGAATGAAAGATAAAGGAAGTGTAGTGTTAATTACTTATGTAATGCCCATGGCTGCAAGTGCTGCGTCCAGGAGAGGAGAACCCAAATACATGTAGATTTGTGAAATTAAGTTGAAAACGTAGCCATTGAATGGATTTTCCCTCCCCCACCAGTAATAAATCTCTCCATATAGGCATCGCATGCTATATATTTTAACAACTCACTTATTTCAAGGATATTGATCTGAATTAAATAACTAACATATTTCTTTTTTTTTAAATAAATATATTTTATTGGTTTTAGAGAGGAAAGGAGAGGGAGAGAGAGAGAGAGAAACATCAATGATGAGAGAAAATCATTGATTGCTGCCTCTTGCATGCCCCCCACTGGGGATTGAGCTTGCAACCCAGGCATGTGCCCTTGGCCGGAATCGAACCTGGAACCTTTCAGTTCGCAGGCTGAAATTCCTTTCATCCAGGGCAACTAGTATATTTCTTATGTTGATAATATTTGAAAGTGGTGACTATCTGGCTTCCTCAAGTCTTGAAAATAAGAATCGGGCAAATAGTGTATTTAAAAATTTTTTTATTGTGTATCAAATAAAAATCTTTACATCTCACCAAGAAATAAGTAATCAGTAGACATTGTACTAATAGAGCAGAGAGTGATATTGAAAAGCAAGGGAAGTGACGTGCTATGCAATGACGCCCTGCTACAGACTGTATCCTCTGAAACCAATTGAATGGAGGAAAAAGGATATACTCTGCATCCACGTGAAGAAAACCATCAAACACTCCACAGATCTTATATTTGCCTACATCCTATTGTTCCAGAAAACTCATGGGCAGTGGAAATACTGCTTTCACAACGATTTGTTTTATAATGCAAAGAGATGTTAGGATAGACCTTACCATAACATTATATTGGTAATTTGACTTTGAATGATAGGGAATTAATGCTATTTCAAAAAAAAGAAAAGACAAAATCCCAGACATTTACAAGAATTCTTACTTGGTTCGTTTCACAATTCACTAAGCATTCCATACCATGTTAAAGTCAGTTTCGTAATCTCTGAAGTATTTCACGACAAATCCTTCTTCAAAATCTGCAATTTGCGGTGGACACTTGGCGCTAACCATCTCTTCCACTGCTGCCTGGAACTAGATTGACAACAGAAACTTCAGTAACTTCTTTTTCATGAAGAGTTAGAATATCAGTGATTCTACTGCTCTTTCTACTAATTAGTTACAACATATTCATGTAATTCCATATTTTAGTCATAATTAAGAGATCGTTAACTAAATAATTAATATGTGATCATTTTAGTGTCCTGTGTCTTTTTCAAGAGTTCTAATTTCAAGAGTTCAAGAATGAAATAGCCACATCTAATTGGCTAATATTAGCTTACTTGGTTATAATTAAAGAAGACATACTTGTTTAATAGTTTTTTAAAGAGAACAATGAGGCAAACCTAAATAAATTAGCACCCAATTTAAAAGACTCCAGATGAATAGTTTTCCCAAATTAACTCAAAATTAACTATCGGGGAGGGAGAACACTGTATAATCCAATGCACTGTTTTTCAAAAGAAGAGATACAGATACTAAAAGCCTATATTTATGACTATGTAAAAAAATAATAAATAATCTGAGTATACAGGAATCAGTACACATTCATGAGGTCTCCTGTAATTTCCACATTGTTTCTTTGGCAATGCACAGCTATAAATGATATTCAGAGCTAAGGACTTGGGATGAGAGGTCATCTTTAATCTTCAAACAAATATTAACTTAAACTCATTATACAGGCAGTTGTCAAAATTCAGTAACTCACAATCAACATCCTCTCTTCGAAAACAGTTGCCCCTATGGAGATACGTTGGATTCTGTTGGCACAGATCTGAGAAATGCCCTTTTGTTCCCTATCTTTGTGATATTTCCTCCCTTCTCTGCTCACTATTGGTGGCCTCCAACCCATCCTGCCAAGTAGGAGGGTGAATTTCTACTACTTAAAGTGTTGTTGTTTTTAATAGAAAGGTGATGCTTAAATGGTTTTATGTTTAAAATTTTAACAGAGAGCATACTTCAGCTTCTGCTGACCATGGGGTAAGAGGCTTAGAAGAGATTCCATCCCAATTCAGTGTGAAAGTGTCCAAACTGGGTTTTCCTTTGGTTTGTTCTGTAATATCCAGGGTGACATTATATCCTTCAAATACTTCATAACCGAGCAGATCAAAGTCTCCTGCAATCAAGCACCAAACAAGAGTTTTCAGAAGTTAATTTTTTAAAAAAAAATATCAATACAGCCCAGCTGGTGTTGCTCAGTGGTCGAGTATTGACCCAGGAACCAGGAGATCATGGTTCGACTCCTAATCAAACATGCCTAGATGGCAGGCTCAATCCTTTGTCGGGAGCCTGCAGGAGGTAGTCGATCAATGATTCTCTCCCATCATTGATGTTTCTATCTCTGTATCCTTCTCCCTTCCTTTCTAAAATCAATGAAAACACATTTTTAAAAATTATCAATACATCCAACTCAATAGTGGAACTCAAGCTTTAAAAAATTGGTTTTATTTGGAGTTCCAGTATCACAAAATCAAAATGAACACGGAAGATGCAGGTCCTTTAGTTTGATCTATAAGTAAGTCCGTGGGAGAACAAGGATAACTGTATTTTTGTGTATATAGTGTTCTGACAATCTAACTTTGGGGGAATTTCTAGAACTTCAATTCCGGTTAAACAAAATTCCTCAATCTCCATCCACCAACCAAATTAACAACTTGACAAATGTTGAAGTAACAATCATTATTTCCCAATTCCTGTGAGTAAAATGAGACAAATGTTGAAGTAACATTTTACTTAGATGAATCGAGAAAAAAATGATTGCCTGAAGAAAAGTAAACTCACACATATTCAGGGTCCTATTTCCTGAGGTAGAGATCCCAAACCCAAATTTGTTGCTAGAATTGGCTGTAAGACTTGAACATGTGAAACATTAATAAGTTAACAGCTATTACTTGAAATAAAAAGCATAGAGAGATGAAATAATTTTGGAAAATGTTGCATTTTCCAACACAGGTGAAGTGGTGTTTTGTTTGTTTGTTTCTCACTGCAAGATTCCTCAGGGATTTTAATATTTTTATAAATTCTGTCAGTCTTCAAGGAGAAGCCATGGTAAACAGTGTTGCCCACTTAGATTTAATCACAGGATTCTTTCATCCTGCAAGACCTGGCCAGACCAGTAACTTCTAAGCCATATTGATTTAAATTTCATTTCCAGAATTAGTATCTTCACTAATGTTTTGCTTATTGATAAAAGGGTATTTATACTGATACTGTGTTTGTAGAATAGACGGTGTATTTCTCATGCATTAGAGCTGTACATTCCTTGAAATACAATAGGAATTTAAGTTACAATAGAAAACAATGAACTATTTAATTTCTATTGTTTCTAAAATTGATCAAGGCTGTGAATCCAATTTTTTCCCTCTGTCATTTTGTGTTGCATAGACCTTTTTCAGTGGAGTTGCACAGGATGTAAAATTGTTTCCCAGAAAAAACTTTAGAGACCTGCAAAATGAAATACATGCTTACCTCTGGGTGATATAAAGGTTACCATGTAAACGTAACTTTGGGAATGTTGTGTTCTTATTACTTGAACTGTATCCGGTTTTAAAGACCACAGGTCATTTAGGGCTGATTGTAGTATGAAGTCAGAAGCATCCGCAGGTAGCAAGGCTTGGATGGGCATTTAGAAAAAATATGAAAAAGGAGAAGAATTGAAATCTCTCTGCACTATCAAAAGTAACTTAAAAAATTTTTAATAGAATAATTTAAAAATCACTCATAGTCTGCACCATCTGTCATCCCTTCATGAAACTGTTTTCTGAAATTGATTCAAGCTCAATAATATTGACTAATTAATTGGGTTGTGGTCTCTTGAGAATAGGGCTCATACTTTATTGTTTTAATATTCCCATAGCAATAAGCTTTGTATTTGGCTTATTATATTTACTGATTGAAACAACAGAAAGAGCAAAATTTATCTCCAAGGATTTATTACAAAATATAGAAATACAATGTTTTTGTTAACAGATAATTAGGGCCCCATGGGTCTATCACTTAATTTGAGAAATTGAAAGCAATGTGTTGCCTCCCTGCGGTGATGAATTTAATTCCTGTTCACTTACACCTGTGAGTCACAGATATATACAATCCTCGTGTGCACTTAGATGTGCATTTACCATGATCCTTATAGGAGAAAAATGATAGTATTTTATAAGTATTTTTATTGATAACATTTTCTATCCCAGTTGAAGGCTTTTCTCTATATTTTTCTGTTTTTCTTTGTTTAGCATACTATTAAAACTGAATTTGACTCTGCAAATACCTCTCTATAATTACATGTACACATGAAGGAAAGAAAATTTCCCTTTCTATTTATCACTTACCTGTTTTTTCCATGTTGTAAGTTAATCTATATTGGTAAAGGGAGCAGGAATTGACTTCTATACATGGGCTGGTTACCATGATCCTCTGAACTTCCTTGATAGCATTAGTTGTTTCCCAGTTTTCCAATGTTATAACCTACTTTCCAATTTAAAAAATATACTTACTATAAAAAAACATTTTTAAGACATCATAATTAAGCTATGCAATACCTTTTAATTGCTCTATTTTATTGCAAATGATAACATTTTAAATTTTACTTTATTTCATTTTATTTTTTTTGTTAATCCTCACCCAAGAATATATTTTTTCTATTGCTTTTCAGAGAGGGAGAGAGAAAGAGAAGAGAGAGAGAGAGAGAGAGAGAGAGAGAGAGAGAGAGAGAGAGAGAGAGAGAGAGGCTATCTCCAGCAGGCTCCTCAACCCAGGTGCTGTCCTTGACCGGAAATCAAACCCATGACCCTTTGGTGCTTGGGGCAACACTCTAACCATTTAGTCACACTGGCCAGGGCTTAACATTTACATTTTATGAAGTAACAGCCTCTTTAGTTTATAATACAGATACTCCAGAACACAATTCAATAATCTCCCAAAACTACTTTCCCAAAAAACAGTATCTTATCCACTAAAAGGAATAATCAAATAGAACTCCTGTCTGTAAACATTTTCTTTCTAGACAGTGGAGCTATAATCATAGCAAACCTGAACTTCCTGGACAATTTCTGACTGGGATTGAATAACTTGTTCTTCGTTCACTGCATCTTCTGTTTGTTGTTCAGTGTAGACATTTCCATACTGGTACAGTCCAACATCAACAAAAGCACTCAGTCTATACTCCTGAAGCAAGATTTCAAAGTAATATCTGGAAAATAAAGTAACTAATAAATATAATGTTTTCTCTTCAGAGCACTTGTCATGAGTTCTGTTTTTTAATGAATCAAATTTCAACACTATATAAAACATCTACCTATTCATTGATATATATTGCAGTATCCTTGATTTTAGATATTAAACTATTAAAAGCTTCATAGTAGTTTGCTAAAATAAAATGAATTGTGTAAGATATCTGCATTAAAGAGTTATTCCCATTCATACTAATTCATTCAGTTTTGTTAATGAATAATTATTTTAAAAAACATACTATTTTCTGTCCTCAACTATCTTAAAACAAAATTACACTGTATCTTATAATATAAAGATCCTGGCATAAAGTATGGAGGACATGCAGAAGTGAAGCATTTTTCTGTGTATAAGTAAATGGCAGGCAGACATAGAGATATCATATTTATTTATATCTGAGTGGTTGCATGTGCTGAGGGTGAAGGTTCCTACTCTCAGGTTCCTTAAATATTGGCTCTGCTTGTAACTTGGGAAATAAAACATTGCCTTGGGAAACCTTAACCAATTAGATTGACTATGCAATCCCCTCCCCAAGACAAGCCGGATGGGATTCACAACATATGTGTGGAATTCTTGATTGCTGAGGTGCCCACCATTGAAGTGCCTCTCCAGGAAAAGGCACTCATTGACCAGCTGTTATAGGAGAGTGCAAAGCTACTGCTTCCCTACTTGAATCTCTACCAGAGATCTCATCGCTCCCATCTTCCGAGAGGACTGCTGGGCGTCCCTCTGAACTGCCTCAGTCATTATACAGCTACTCTCATATATATGGAGAAAAGTATGCACAGTTCATGGAAGAGTGAGCGAGGGGCATTTATCAGCTCTCATCTGTCTAGAATGATGGGGCTCTGGGCCACCCCCCTTAGAGAACTGATATCCGAGGATTGCATCAGGCTCTTGGCTGCCCTGAGGACCTGTTGGCCAGCTCTGCCAAATTGATGTGGACAACACTAATAAGCAGGATTCAACGAAGAACCATTCAATTTTATATCCTCACCTGGCAGCTTAAAAATATGGACTAGGCACTAATCTGAACACTTTACAGACATTAGTATATTGAATCTTCACAAACTCCTATAAAACATATATTATTCTTATTCTCTGTTCACATGATAACAGAGACTCAGAGAGTTTTAAAAATGGAAGGTGGGTTAAAAATTAGTAACGGAGGTACGAGTCAAAGTAGAACAGGGTGACCAGAGAGACATGCACTTTGTGATGAGGCTACATCACCTGAGTAGAATGAACTGGAGATCTGAGCTACCTTTGGGAAGACCTCGGGGATCTCAGTGCAATAAAGCAGCTAGTGTGGCCTCAATTTCAGAATCCACAGCCACCGTTCTGAGTGCAGCGTGCAAATTCCAAGCTAGTGTGCAGGAGCACGAAGACCAGACAGCAGATGTGTTTGGAGTCGCTTTCAAGCAAGCCCTGTGTTCCTGCCAAGCAGGTAAATTGACCTCATTCCCAAGGCCAAGGCAAAGCCTGCAGGTGAACTGACACTGAAAGCAAGCAGGGGTTAATTAGGTACTCTATTTCCCCTGACTTGGTCCAGTGATCTTGGTTTAAAAAGAAAATGCTTAAGAACGTCAAGAAGTGAAAATAGAAAAAGGAGGAGAAAAAGAATGGAGTGCTTTCCGTATATCATGGTGGCCAAGACCTCAGGGAGAACACTGTGTGATTGCTCCCAGGTACCGCTGATCCCTGCCCTCTGTCCAGCTCCACCAGGTCCTCATGGTGCTGCCCATGAGCCAAATCTCATCAATGTCTAGAAGACTGCTATGGTAGAATAATAAGTAAATCAAACTCCACCCAACAAGAAGTGGAATCTATTTTTTTCATCGTTGAATCTACGTTTGGCCATCTGCTTTGGCCAATGGGACATGAGGCAATGCGACACAGAGCCTGGAAAAGTCAATGTGCAGTAGGAATGGCCCTCTTTCCTGCTGGAAGCCATTCATCACTGCGACAAGCCTGGGCTAACCTCCTGGGAGATTATAGAGACCATGTGGAGTGGGACATCTGAAGTAACGAGCTCCAAGTGAGTTAAGAGAGGCTCCAGATATGTAAGTAAAGCCATCCTATGCCATCAATCACCAACAAAAGCAGCCAGCACCAAAAGATCTGCCCAGCCAATCGCAAAATTGGGCTGCTTTAAGCCACTAAAGTTTGGGGAGGGGTTTCTTATGCAGTGAATCCTAACAGATGCAAGTGATAAATGGAAAATGATCTCAGTGAATCTCCTGATGTTCTCCATGTAACTTAGTTATTTTGAATATATCACGTCTTCTACCTCCCTGTTTTCTAGGAATATTGAACGATTTTTTTGAATGACATTATCTGCTATTTGAATAGTACCTTCATCTTCTCTTTGCACTTGACCTTTGAACACTAAGTGATGTACTTCTTAAGAACAGGGAGTGTACTTTGATAACCTTTAGATTAAATTTCCAGTACCTGGACCAGGGTCTTGAATAAATGAGTGAATAATAAATACGTATTAACTGTGGCACCAATCATGTGGTTTTGTAATTTTTCCCTAGCAATATTCAAGAGCTCAGGTTTCTACAGAAGCAGAGAAATTAGATGGCTGGGTAGACTGAATGGTCTTAGCAAAAAAATAAAAATGGAATTAAGTATATCTCACAAAGTTATAATTTCAGCAACAGGGATCACTTAGTTGTCAAATTTATCTGATAATCAGAATGCCAATATATTTCGAATATAAAACAAAATTTATTAAAAATACAGAGGTTAACCAATTACATATTAAGCCAGTAAACTAATATCACTTTCACCAATAAAAATGAATTGAAAATATATTTTAGACATAAACTTATAATTTTTAAATACCATGCAGTAATTTAAAGAAAAGAAAAAACTTACTCTTTTCCTTTCTGAAGATGAATGTCATCGGATCTTTGTGTTGGACTGGAAAAATAGTTGTTGGCATTGGAAGAATGATATGCAATCCTTATCTTATTCCAAAGGGAGAGGGGGAGGAAGAGATGGAGAGAGAAAATATTAGTAAACCTTGACAGCACTTACTATTTATTACTTCTGACAGTCTTTGGATTTTTATGATCAGAAAAATGTGAAGCTACTTTATATTATTTCTAAGACCCATTATTAAGTGGAATTTAAATAATTATCAAAGCTCATTTCATTTCTCCTGCCCTAACATCAGCCCCACTATACCAAACATCCTGCATAGACCACAGCTTTTCCACAATTAAGACTGCAAGAGGAAATAGACACGTAGCTGGAGGAGGGCTTTGATTGTGTAATAAAATGACCTTTTGCTCTGCAGAGAACTTCGAGGGATTTAATACAAGTGAGATCATTAAAAATATGTCTGAATGATCACTAAGTGGGTCTGCATCCTAGAATGAAAAGGTTGTGGGTTCCCATAGGGAATGGCTATACCATTTTTGGAGGAAGCATACTGGTAAGCTATGATAAAACTGGAATTCGTATATCGCAGGTAGCAATTTAAACTTATGTGAGCAGTTTGAGAGGTGATCTTTTCATATATGCTGAGTCATAAGATGTTCTTTTGATGGATCTAATAGTTTTACATTTATGAAATTGTCTTAGGAAGCAATCTAAAATACAGGATAATTTAATGAACACATGTTTGATAAGCTTTTATTTGTGGTCATAAAAAACAAAAGTAAGATACCAGTATGGAGAGAGTAACCTAAGCTTAGTAAACCCATGCAATAACATACTATTCAGTCATTAAAATGGTGTTATATAAATTATTTAATAAACTGTTGACATACTCATATGTGACAAAAGAGGACTATGAAATTGGATGTACGATCCTATTCATATAAAGAACAAAACAGAGATAGAAGGAAATGACAGACTTAAATTTCATAACTAACTAAAAGTACAGCAAAGTATTTTGTATTCTTTTCCAAATTCCTTCATAATAAAAACAAATTTCAATTGTAAAAAACTCATACCTGTTTTTCCCATGGGATAGAAAATTTAGGTATGGGGGAGCGTTTTTTTTTTTTTTTTTTTTTTTAGGTGATGGATTTTCTAGAATAACTTTAAAGGTAGTTCATAACACATATTAAAAATAGCCAAGAATCCAGCCACATGAAAAAAAAATATGCCATACATAAATTCTTTAATATAATTTATTGGCTTACAATAAATTATATACATTACCTATAAAGATTATCCTATGGTTTTAATACTATCAAAGAGTACCTTTGTCTCTCCTACCTTATCTTCTGGAAGTCCAGTCTGGCTGAAATAAATTGCATAGCGGTCATCACCTTTGATGTAGAATCTATAAACATCAGAGTCCGGAGCCACCAAAAACCCACTGAAGCGTGCTGCAAACATGTCTTGCTCCATGGGCCAAACATAGGAAGCTGAATCTACCCAACCGGCACCCAGGTAGCCTGGCGTCTTTTCATTGTACTCAAGTATATCTTCAAGATGCACTGGCCGACTATTATTCCACACCTCAAGCTTAAGACCTCTCCCGCCTGAACATAAAATAAATGAGAAGCCTTCCATCAGAATTTTGAGATGGTGTCTGAATGGCCTTCTATTGGGTGTTGTTATAGATGTTCTACTGCAACTCATATTTTTACAACATGTGTGTAATTAAAACAGTTACCACATGGTTCTGTACCTAGAGGATAAAGTGCTTATTACAATAAGACAATCTGTAATTTATTATGACTTCCCTTTTCTGCATCTCAGGCTACACATATGTAAAATGGGAGTGATTCTACTATTTGTATGGATGCTATGGGGTTTAGATTATGAGAGAATTTTAGTAAATATATGTTTGTTGTTTACAAGCTATCTAGTCTTATGACATTCTGTAATAGCAGACCAAATGGACTAAGATTCTAGTGATATACATCGATAATAGTATTCCTAGTTAATACAGAAATAGCCATTTCTTTTGGGAACTTACCTGGATGTACAGTTCTGAGAATATCAGGCTTAGGGGATGTCTTGCAATATATAATATTTTCTGTGACATTCAAAACATCACAGGCTTGACCTACAGAGAAGCAAGGTACAGAGGTTCAAAATGCAAATACCTCAGCCTATCTTGAAGCACTTTTCCAATTAAAACAAAGTAGTAAAAGCAAGAGGCAAAGCTTAGGGGCCTTCATTAAAGTTTATCACTCACTAATTGTCATACTTTCACAAGGCAACACTGTCTTGGCAAAATATTACAAGTCTAAGTCAGAAGATTGCATAATTTCTGAAAAACAAAATTAAAAATTTGATAAAAATTTTATCACAATATAATTCTGTGTCTAAAGTGAAGCCTTATATTTTGATCCTTGAAGAAAATTTGCTGAATAAAACCATGATGTCTCGAATTTATAAAAGCAGATGACCTCAGTCCTCTTAGGTTAAAATAAAAAGTATTTTGGCCCAAGTTCTTCAAATGAAAACAAAAGGGATAATAATTTGTAAATGGTATTTTCAAATCATTACTTTCGAGAAATTATTGAGGATTCAAAATCTCAAATCTTGTTATCACATTAACAGCAATGAACTGTCATAAAAATGACATGTTATAATGGCATATCAACCGTACGACATCAGATCATAAAACACATTATAAAAATTTAAAATAATGTCTGGTTTTAATATTCAAAACATATTTATATTTTAAAAATCAGAATAACATATATAAAACTGTAAAATCTATTGCCTGGATTTTAAGTAACAGCAAGAACTCAGAGGGATAGGAACAATATTGTATAAATGTTAGATGAGATTACTTTATATCAATTTTCTTCTTGAAATCACATTTTGGCTGGCTTATGAGAAAATTCCTTTAAAGTAGAAAATATCTGAGCAGAGGCGTTTCAGAAAAAGTCCGGGCCAGTAGCATAGGCAGACATCCTTTCTCCTGCTCACTGAGGTAACTTACGTCACTACAGCTGAGTGGAAATATCCGCATTATTATACCCATCCTGACCTCCCTTTTGAGCTGCATAGATCAAGACTCTGAACAGATCAAGACTAGACACATACAGCTGAGTCATAACCAGAGAACCAACCCCAAGGTACATCTGTACATGAGTCATAACCAGAGAACCAACCCCAAGGTACACATAAATCAATTAATGCCCTTTCCAAGGCCAATATCATCAGTGATTTCTGATGTCCAGACAGGCACAGTATCTGAGAAGGGTGATGAGGAGAGTATCCACAAACACTACTTTAAATTTACTCATATTTAGCCAACCCATTAAGAAGTAACAACAGTTCAAGAATAACCCTTAAGAACTCATTAAACAGAGCGTCGGTGTGTCTATAAGTATGGCAAGGAACTTAGGGATGGCAGCTTTAAATTTAAGATATTAATTGAGAAAGGATTCTTCTTATAAATTATTAAAGAAAAAGGCACAATTTTTTTCTTATAAAGTAATACAGTAAAAGTGATGCAAATACCTCCAACTAGAACTCTGACAGGGAAATCTGTTTGATCAAAGAACCGTCCACTTATGGTTAGCGTGGTGCCACCTTGAATGCTTCCTTGTGAAGGTGAAATCATCGTGATCTCTGGGAAGGAGGAGAAGCACATGAACTAAAATGTCATAAACATTACACATAAACCCAAATGCTTGCTTTTAAAAAATTCTCTAAGTTACCTGCAGCCATAGCACGTAGGATAGGGTAGGCTTTGCATTACCAAATAAGTGAATTGGGTGTTTCCTTACTGTGTCTCTGATGCAGCCCTGCAGAGGACAATAAATAATGGCCTTCATAGAGACCTGCATCTCTTGGGGATCAGACTTTCATGGAGACTGATGCTAAGGAGACACTGGTCCTGGGAGGATCCAGGAAGTAAGGAAAACCTGGGCTGAGCATGGATGTTTGATTCCAAAAGAAAACACAGGAAGACAGGAGAAGAGCCTCCTCTTCCTCCTGCTCTTGAAGAATGAATTTTATATATTTTTTCTTATGTAGTAATGCATTCACTATGATTGGAATTCTTGTGGTTTATATAGCAAAGTTTTAGCTATATTGGTCAAAGAGCCCAGTGCATGACTTATGGTAGATTCTTACTAACATGTATTTTTGCCCTGCAGATGTGTCTCGGTGGTTGAGTATCGACCTGTGAAAGAGGAGGTCATGGTTTGATTCCCACTCAGGGCACATGCCTAGGTGGGGGGCTCAATCGCCAGTAAAGGGGCTTGCAGGATGCAGCCCATCAATGTTTCTCTCTCATCATTGATGTTTCTATCTCTTTCCCCCTCTTCCTTCCTCTCTGAAATCAATATAATAAAAAGTATTTTAAAAAATGTATTCTTACTAGTTCTATCAAAGTTCTATGTATCCCTCTCCATTCACCACTGACTCCTTTCTCGGATTCAGACCGCCTGCACCCAGCTGCCTTGAATAAATATCATTTTGATTACAATGAGCCTTGCGTCAGTTCTGTGACTCCTGCCCAACCCCAAACCTTTCAGACTCACATACGAACTCCACATTAACTAATTTCCATAAAAATATAAAGTATATCATACTTGATTGACTCCAAGACACATTTCTTTCACATTGAACATCTATGAAACCCGAATAGGCCAGTTCCCTCACTCCTTAGCTGGGAGTAAAGTAAATTATTTCAAGAGGACTTGTGTTTGCTTCTGACACTCTCCTGGGAGTACTACCAACCTGAGACCTGTGTAGATTAAACTAAGTTGTAGTAGGATTGAGGATTCTTTTAGACACACTGAGAGCATATATGGCTTGTGATTTAAACTGTCAGCAGAATTTTTTTTTCTTCCTTCAACCAGCAGCTAAAGTTGGGACATGCGTTTCCCTCCTGTCTCTTTTAGTGCAATGGGTTTATTTCCCAGTCCACCTTACACTAGGAAGGTAGTCTTCAGGGCCCTGGTTTAATGCCAGGGCTTCCTATTAGACTCGGCTCCCTGTGTCAGGCGGTTTTACTTAATAGAAGCGCATGAAGTAAAATAGCACACCTCAAGCCAGTATTGCCTTTAATTTAATGAAATAATACACACACACACACACACACACACACACACACACACTGTGTGGCTGGATTATTATGATCTCTGAAAATATATATATATATATATATATATATATATATATATATATATATATATATATAAATAATATTATATATATACACACACACACACACACATTAGAGGCCCAATGGATGAATTTTTGCATGGGTGGGGTCAGACCAGCCTGGCCAGGGGGAGGGGACATGGGTGATTGGCCAGCCTGCCTGCTTGTCGAACTCCTGGTCGAGGGGACAATTTTCATATTAGCCTTCTATTATATAGGATATACACTGAGTGGCCAGATTATTATGTATTCAGAGATCATAAAAATCTGGCTACTCAATGTATATATATATATATTTTTCTCTCTCTCTACACACACACACACACACACACACACACACACACGTACACATGCACACTGAAAGATCACATACCTGCATATGTTTGAAACATTGAAATTTTATTCAGAGAGGAAACAAAATACGCCATTTTTTCTGGGAAACTCCTGTTTAAAAAAAAGTTCAAAAACTCTTATTTTAAATGCAAACTTTATTTTAGGAAAATATTATCAGTAATTAATGAGTAACATAAATTGTGTTATAATTTGAAAATGAGCCGGATAGAAATCGTGGGGAAGGTTAGGTTCTGTATCTTGATTTCGTTTTTGGTTACACAACCATAGAAGTATATGAATGTGGCAGAAATATCCTTTTGTCAGGGCTTACTGAACTGCATCCCTAAAAGAGGTGCATTTTATTACATGCAAATTATAACCCAACAAAGTAAACATTTATATCACTATAAAAAACTGGAGGATTGCCTTTTATAAAGGCTGGCCTCTTCTGCTGGCCCCCACTCTCTCTTTCTCTTATAGCCAGCCCACTTAGGGTCACAATAACGAACATTATTAAACACTTATCTGGCATCAAGCTAAGAGATTTAAGGAGTTAATGATTTTTTAAAAATATTTTGATTTATTGAGCCATTACATCAACCCCACAAGGTAGGCAACACTCAGAAAATTCACTTATCTTACATTAGCTCACAAAGACAACAAGTGGCAGGCAGAGAATTTGAACTCTGGTGGTTTGAGCCCAGAACCCTGGCTCCAGACCTACTCATTTGCATAAGAGTACAAATGACTGAGAGCAAGTTAGCAACAGTCCACCAAAGTAAGCATGAAGGTGTGGGAAGGAAAAGAATCTGATCCTAGAAATTCAGTGCGGCCCCCTAACTACCTCAATTACATTCATAATTAGAAAAGTTACAAAATTCAAATGTTAAGACTCACACCCATGCATCATAATTAACCAGGATACAATGAGTGAAAACCTAATAGGATAACACAAATCTTGTGGTTGGAACCCATAGTGAATTTGAACTCCCTTTAAATCTAACCCAGGTATTACAATGTGCATTTGAAAACTAAGAGACCCTGGAAGTATTTTATGCTGGTTGTTTAAGAAATGCATACTGGTTTTTACATTTTTATGTTATAAACCTTTCGGTTGATTTCCTAAATATTTGAAATGATGCTAGTAGTTCCAACAATATTGCTTGCAGGCAGATCCCCCATCAGGAAAATTAACTCTGCTTAAGTTGGTGGGGAAATTGCCTCCTGATATAAAATTGAAATGTAATTTATTTGGTATGACACTGAGGTGATTTTCCGTAATTTGCTGATAATGACGAGGCATTTCTCAATTAAGGAAGCCTCATCTGAACCTTATCAGTTTGGAACAGCTGTTGTTTGAACTTGAGAAACAGAGGAAAGAAGGTTGGCTATTAAAAGAAATACAGAATGGGGGCCACAGTGGTCTTTAATTAGATCACCTGGTATTCAGAAATGCCCCTGAAAATTTGTAAAACATGTATTTTATGATTTGTAAAATAGTTAAACATTTTTTTTAAATGCCATATAACCTTAAGATTAGGTTTTCATGTTGTAAATGTATTTTTAAGTTATCTTAAGTTCCTAAGATTATTTTACAAAAATAATTATAAACACAATTTCATCAATTTTGAGAAAATATAAAAAGACATCAATTTACTTTTAAAAATTATGTCAAGATCACAGAATCAACCATTTTACGCTGTATTTCCCTATATTATGTGAAATGCTGTGTTTGTTTTTTTTTAATTGAAATTTGGGGGGCATGTTAATGCAGCATATTGATTTATGTATACTTATCAATCACATTCAATCTTCATCACTCAAACCTTCTATTTTTGGCTAATTATTTCTCTGAGAGACATATGATGGATTTGGCAATTAATACCTTTCATAAAGTCTCAGAAATAAGAATTCACTTTTCTCATGGGAAAAAGATGACATTGAGAGCTTAAAAGAACCATATATAGTTCAAAAAATCACTTAAAACTCAATAATTATTGCTCCTAACAAGGCTTTCTCACATTTTTAATAAAATCCCATTATCCTGTTTTATGAAGTTTATGTAAATGTGTCATTTCCTTGAAAAAAATGACAATTAACTCATTGGACACTAAGTTATTTACTCCCTGTAAATCACAAAGGTAAATCTTAGTACCACTTATATATCACCCACTCTGGTTTGTCCTTGAATTACAACATTCTTCGTGGTTTTGGTCCAATCTATATTGGCCTATAATACAGTGTCCAGCCCAGGCTCATTGTGTTATGTACCTATTACCTCATGATGTCTAGAATTAGATGACCTCAAAATACTATGATAATAGATCTGGTATCACCAACTTCACTGCAATTCCAGACATGAGGGAACAAATATCCTTCTCTTGCAGTCTGAGCATATGCCAGGTATAATATCTACTTTGCTTGTAATATTGCCATCTTTCAAACTTCTATCATCAAGTCTCTCATCAGAGACAACAGTGAAATCAACAGACCTATCTTGACATTGATCTAATACATCTGCATTAGTAGCTGATGGGTAAATAATGTGATTTATATGGATATCTGCCAACTGGCTCATTCTCTCAATGGAAGATGCTATGACATTTGGGGCAGAACGATTCATTTAGGTTTGACACATCCTGGTCCTGCCTACAAAAGGCCATTAGCATGGCCCAGTTTCTATGTCAGTCAGTAAATATCTCCACACATCTGTAATTGCACCCAGGAATAGGGTGATCCTGCCATTATAGAGAACTTTGAGTGAAAGGGAGTTACAGACCCTTAAAATGATAATTTCTGGGAAGAAAATGATTAATTTTTTAATCTCTGGATCTATAGCACAAAGTAAATATACTCTTTTATTTACCCAGTTTAATCAATTATGAATATTATTACTTACAAAATGACCTACCTTCCATAATCACTATCCAAGATGAAACTGACATTGTGATGACCTGGAATTAATTACAATACACAATCCATTAAACTCCCAATCATAGGAGAACAATAACTATATATTATAAAGCTGATTTAAAAGCAGAGAGATTTAAAATTAAAACTGCAATTATTCAACCATCTATTAATCCTCAAAGACAAGACAACAGAACTACCTTAAAGAAGCACCTACTATTTTAATATATACATAATATACAATATATGTAACCATATCGACCCTGAATTTCTTATATCCATTCAACAGCTATTTAATTGGGTCGGACATTCTGCCAGGGGTTGAGAGATGGAGGGTGAGCACACAGATTGCTTTCTCCTAAAGGCATCTTAGCTAGTGAAAGATACAAAGATACAGCTGATGGAGGGCAATGACACAATCAAACTATAAATTGTGAAAAAGCTATTAGGAAAAAGGAGTGTGAACTCCGAGACTGTAAGGCAGGGGATCAGAGAAGGCTTTTTTTTTTTTTTTAAGACAAGACATTTTATCTGAAACTAGAAGCCCAGTGCATGAATTCATGCACAGGTGGGGTCCCTCAGCCTGGCTGGTGATCAAGGCCTATCAGGGGGCCCTTGTGGGACCCCAGGAGTTTGGCTGGCCTGGGGGGAGAGGCCATAGGAGGTTGGCTGGCCAGGCAGAGGGACCACGGTTGGCTGTCGTAGAACACTGACCACCAGGGAGCAGCTCCTGCACTGAACATCTGCCCCCTGATGGTTAGTGTGCATTATCGCAACTGGTCGATTGGTCATTCCAGTCGTTGGTTGTAATGGTCACTTAAGCTTTTATATATATATATTCTCAGGATGAGAAGCTTACAAAGGCCTTGAGACAGAAGGAACTGAAGCTCATTCAAAGACTGAGAGGTATATATGTATAAGGAGCACATAGAGCATGGGGTAAAAACAGAGTGAAATGGCTAAATTTGCCAAGGAATCTTCTGGATGACAGAAGAAGAAAAAAGGAAATTTGAAGAACTTTAAATGTAAACCTTAGGAAAAAGGTAATTTACTTCAGACATGCTTATATGAAACTGAAAAGAAGCCAAGGAAAAGAGGAAATTCTAGCATTTCATAAAGGATTGATGTTAGGAGAATATAAAACAAGGAAACAGGCATTTCTGAAACGTGAAGAATGATGATCAGCATTTACCAATGTAAGTTCCAGTCGTCTTACAAATCATAGAACCCATGTCTCCACTTGGATGATCTAGTTTTAAACCATACCTAATAAAATATATATGTTAATTTCAAAGCTTACATTTGACACTAAAATTTTAAAATACTATGTCTCCCCTAAAAACATCTTATGAATTTCATAATAAGTATATGGATAGAAACTATTGCTACAAAAATAATTTCTGTGAAATTAAAATATTGCCCATCTTTGGTTGAAGATATTTGAATGACACTTCATTGAACAGTGAAATTTGTGTAATTAATTTGACTATCCCTATGACATTTCTCTTAATTTTTAAAATATTACCAAGTGAAACAATTATTTTATAAAATATATTTCTCAGAACATCTTTCTCACAATAATCTAAATAAAAGTCAATATCATACTATACTGGGGATAATGGGAGATATCAGTAAATATCTAAGTTTATAAATTCTTGCTAATTTACTATAAAATTATGTTATACTGTTATATATAATAGTCAGCTATGTTATATTGCTCTTTAAACTTACTATGCTTAAATCTACTATTTTTTTTCTAAAGAAAATTATTTGGATTACTTACAAATCATCAGACTGTGGTATAAGAAGCTCACAGGGCATTCCTCCAATATACACTCTGTATAAATATTTTATTAGAAAAGAACAAGTTATGTTTAATAAATTTGTTTCAAAATGCTCTCCTCCTACCAACTCAATGCCACCTTATATTTTTTCTCTCTAACATTCATTATCCATCAGTTAGTCATTCAACAAACATCCATTGAACACCTCTTATGTTATAGTCTTTGCTAGGTACTGGATCAAGTCAGTGAAAAACACACACAAAGATCCCTGCCCTTTTGGGACTGACATTCTAACTGGGAAGACTGAGCATACAGATGACAATCAGAACATATTTGGTGTGTTAGTAAGTGATAAGCACCACGGGAATACATAACATAGAAACAGATAATGGGGACTCTTCCAGCTGAGGTTCAATCAGTACAAAACATAATTTTGCAGTAATTTTCATACGATAGCCATTAAAGAAGGTCCATATCAGAGGCCTCCCAGGATAATCAGGATGAAAAGAATATCTAATAGTATCTGTGAGGTTGGAATGATTATAAGAAACTGAGAAGGGGCAGGGTAAGGCTGGAGAGAGAAAACAACTGTCTTTGCATTTCTGCAGCTGATTAAGCCAACTGATTGCTTGAACCTGATTGCTATTGCAGGCCTGTCTGTTACTGACTACTATTGTGTTTTTGGCATCATCATAATAAACCACCCAGTCTCAAAATAAGGCCAGACATAATCCAGAACTTAAAATATAAGAACTTCTGTTTGTAGAGAACTTTTGAACATTTCAAAAAATGTATCTTTATTGTTAAAAGTATTACAGGTGGCTGAAACCGGTTTGGCTCAGTGGATAGAGCATCAGCCTGCGGACTGAAAGGTCCCAGTTCAATTCTGGTCAAGGGCATGTACCTTGGTTGCGGGCACATCTCCAGTAGGGGGTGTACAAGAGGCAGCTGATTGATGATTCTCTCTCATCAATGTTTCTAACTCTATCCCTCTCTCTTCCTCTCTGTAAAAAAATCAATAAAAATATTTTTTAAAAAGTATTACATGTGTCCCCTTTTTGAACTTTTTAATGTACTTTTACCTATAAATCCTTTCATTTGGTGAGTACATTAGGTTTATAAAGAAAGTAACCTGAATTATTGTACCCATTATAGATTTATAGATTTATATCCTCTCTCTAATCTCCTGTCTCAATGCACCTAAATAATAATTTGGCAAACACTTCTAGGTACTTATCATATATAATCCTTACAACCTTTTGTAAACTGGTAACTATTATCCTGTCATGATATAGATGAAGAGAGTGAGGCAGGAGGGTTAAGTAGCTTGCCTAAGCCCATGACCAGTAAGGGTAGAGCAAAAATCTAAACCCAGTCAGGTCAGCTCCCTGGTTGCTCTTAACCACATCCAGGAATTCCCACACTGGTCTGGGTTTGCCTGTCTATGGCAATACTCATCTGATTTTTTAGAACCAAATCTCTTTGGTAGTCACTAGATCATTGTTGTTGTTTGCATGCCCTCTATAATTTGCACCTGGTCTGGATTTGGAGATTTATCCAAATTGACAAGACTTGTGAGCAGCAGAAGCAGCTTGAGCACTGGGCTATCCTGCCTTCCTGCCCAGTACGTGGTCCACTGCTCTGTGCTAATGGAATTCAGGCACAGTAAAATGCCTCAGAACCCTACTGTCACAACTAATATGGTGGAAATGAGATAAATGCAGGTCTAAGGTCTCATCTCCTCCTATTAATAGGGGTGTGAAATTCTTTCTATGTTTATACCTGGTATTTCAGGGTTATCCAGAGTGTGAGGGCTGGGTAACCTGACCTCTGAGGTCCCCCCTGACTGTAATTCTGTGATTTTATGACCTAATTTCCATCCATTCCTTTGTATTAGACAGAAGTAACTTCAATTATAGTCAGGGGGAAAAAGGAATCTCTTTTATAAAGTTGAACTTCCTATTTCTTGCCAGTATTATGGAAAAGGATATTTTAGAAAATCCCATCTAAGAATTGGAAATCATTCATAACACTGTTACACAGTAGCAAACAAAATCTGTATTTATGCTAAGCTGTCTATATAAAATGTTAAATATTTATTTCCCATAGTTATTTTCTTTATATAAGGATCAATATGAACATGTCCAGGTTATAGATTCATGCAAATGTTATTTGAGAGTTATGCCTCATAAAATGCCAGATAAATCAATTTTATTTCATTTAGAAAATAAAGTCTTTTGAATTGCATGTTTTACAAAATTACATGTGCAAATGTACATGTCTGTGTGCTGTCTAAACTGTTTAATTTATCCATTTATCCACCTTGTATATGTATTCAAGAAGCAGAAGCACTCGGTATTAATTCTGTACTAGCTTCAATAGGAAATGAACAGACTTGTAGTCTTGTAAGGCAGGACTGAGATAACACCACTGATGCTACAGGATGAGAACCCTAGTCAAAATGCTAGTTTCCAGTCCAAATTGTAGACAATATTGCCATCTGATCCACAGTTGGTAAGTGGAGGGACCAGGACTCAAATCCAAGCCTGTTAATAAGTTACTGATGGTTTCTAGCGTTAGCGCTCTCCTGTAGACCACGGCAAATTGCATATTAGCAGACTTGGGATCCTCTCCTGACCTTGACTAGGCTTTGGACCTTTAGGATTCAGAGGGGTTTTTTGTTTCTGTTTTTTATTTGTGCAAAAAGAGGCGGTTAAATTAAGTAACAAAATTCCCTAGTAATCAAGTTCTGCGACTTTAACTCAATTGCTCTGGCTCTTGCCTCCATGTGCCTTTTATTACTAAAATCCATCATAGAAAAAGAATGATGTTTCCATGTCAATGCATCATCCAACAGTCTATTTTTTCCCTATAATATGGCTGACAAAACACTGGTTAATCCCATGGAGTTGTTTTTAATGTAATTTGACCCATTATTTTTGGAATATCATATTGGGTCTATAACTTATAAAAATATGTTTCCACATCAATAATTTACCTCAAAATCCTAACATTTTTCCCATTTGAGCTTAGTGCAGTATTACTTCCATAGACATCAGTGAAGATTCTGCCTTGGATTGTTATTAGTGCACCTAAAAACAAACAAAAAATTCTGAGAAAATATTTACCCACAGGCCCACACACTCACTACCAAACATTAGAGGGTTTTCCAATAAAATGGGCATCCAAATACTTATAACTTAATGCTCACCAGTACAGCTAAGCATTGTTCTAAAAGTTCTGGCAAATACAGCCCTAACCAGTTTGGCTCAGTGGATAGAGCATCAGCCTGTGGACTGAAAGGTCCCAGGTTCGATTCTGGTCAAGGACATGTACCTTGGTTGCTGGTATATCCCCAATAAGGTGTGTGCAGGAGGCAACTGATTGATGTTTCTAACTCTCTACCTCTCTCCCTTCCTCTCTGTAAAAAATTAATAAAAAATATATATTTTTTAAAATTCTGGCAAATACAATAAAACATTAATGAATAGTATTAAGGAAGTATCTATAAATATTTATAGATTAAAGAGGTGCTTTCTGACAGAATGAATTATTCAATAAATATCACTGAGGTCATGGGTAACTTAATTGGAAAAAATAAACAAGTCCCAGCTGTATACTAAAAAAGTAATATCAACTCTTGGTAAAATAAAAATTAAATATAAAAAACAAAACCATAAAACTCTTGAAAAATAAGTGAAAATGTATGTAATATTTATATAATTGGGATTTGGGAATCTTCTATAGCATAAAAACTAGGAAGAAATAACAAAGGTTAAGAGTTACAGATTTGATAATAAAAATTAAAAGTGTCTGAATGACAGGAAAACTGCTAACTAATTTTAAAAGCAAATGATAAATTATTTATTCTCTACATATATGACAAATAAATTGTTAAAATCCTTAAAGTATAAAGAATTATCATAATCTAACCTAAAAAAGTTGACGAGACTTAATTTAAATTAAGGAGAAAAACAGGTAACTTATAAAAGAAAAAAAATGGTCAGTGAATATAAGTAAATTTAATTACATAAATTTAAAAATTGAAATTGTCCTTTAAAACTTATGTTTTTCATATAAATACTTGAAAATTTTTACATAGAATTGTCAAGGTTATAGAAAAGGGCATTCTCACTTATTCCTATTGGAGTTATAAACTGGCACAACTATAGTTATTATAATGAATACTGAAAGTAAGTTAAATGTCCAATGGGAGGAAAGTTAAATACATTATATAGATTCAGATGCAGACACTGAAAATCATTTTATAAAAAAACATTGGCATTTACTGCATAATCAGAAAAATGCCATTTATAATTTTTCAGATACAATAATTTTATATACTAAAAAGTAAATTAATGACCACAAACCAAAAAGATATTTCAGCTGCCATATAACAGACCTGGTGTCCCAGATAAAGGTGTGATGCTCCTTATTGTTGGAGTTCTGAAACTTTTTGCCTGTAAAATAATACTATCGTTAAGCAGTCTTATCTCTCATTTGTTCCTAGTTTTATGGAATATCTCTGCTTCTTACATTATTTCTTTTTAAACAGTAACCATAAGATCACTACCAAAATATTCCTCATTGCATCTAAGAAATAAAGTTTAGAATATTATTCTGATTACTCAGGATCTTTTCCTTATCCCTTAAAAATCCCGTCTCATTTCAAAATATCTCCAGCTTGCAATTTTATCAGTGTAAAGTCAAACCACAGTGATAAGGCTCTCTGATAAAGACTTTAGGATGTCAGTAGAATAACATTAAAGAAAGTCTACTTTGGATTAAGCCCAAAAAGAAAAACAACAATGTATATTTCAAAAACTTGAAGCAGAACTTGGGAAAAGTCCATCAAAGTGAGCATAAGATACTTTTTTTTTTTTTTTGAGCAGTGCAGGCATAAATCTTAAGAACTGTGATAGCAAATGGGAACTGGGAGACAGCATAAGTCCAGGAGGCCACCAGTGGGATGGAAACTAGTACTTTGTGAGGGACAGTATAATGCCCCTGAAGATGTCCATGCCTCTAATCTATGGAACCTGTAAATAGGTGAGGTTACATGGCAGGTAGAACCGATGGAATTGAGGTTGCTAATGTGTTGGTTTTAGAAGAGGGAGCTGTTTTGGGATTATCTGTCTGGCTCAATATAATCACAAGGGTCCTTATAAATGGAAGAGGATGAGAGAATAGCCAGAGTCAGAGAAGAAGATGTGACAATGGAAGCAACAAGGCCAGAGGGAGGTGGTGTGATAAGAATTCAACCACGACTGCTGGCTTTGAAAGCAGAGGAAGGGACCACAAGCCAAAGAATGCGGGCAACCTCAGTCTAGAAGAGTGCTGCAAGAATTTTAAAAACGTGCACTGCCTGACTACTTAGTCAAGGGCACTGACCTCTTTTCCCTTTGATTGTCAAATGAAAAAAAATGACAGCAGCCAACACAACAATAGCCATCCTGTGTGAATGAATCAAAATTATTCCTATTTTTTGGTCAGACCAGCAAAAAAAAGTATATTTTTTGGCCTCTGCAGAATTTCAGTAATTAGTTTATGGGTGCCATGAGGTGAAAAGGGTTGAACAGCATTTGTTCTAGAAAATGGAAAAAGCAAAGAAACAAATTCAGCCTTAGATCCTCCCAAAGAAATGCAGACAGATCTCCTGACATCTTGATTTTAGTCCACTGAGACCTACAGAATTCTAACCGACAAAGTGGAAAAGTAATAAAGCTGTGTTGTTGTAAGTCATTAAGTTTGGGTAAATTTTTACGGCAGCAAATAGCAACTACGTAATACACAACTGTTAGACATATTCAAGCACACGTATGATGCAGGAGGGAATGATGATAGAGAATCCAGTTTTGGAGTCCACCTGTCTAAATGGAAATCTGAGCTCCAACACCCCCACGCTGCATGACTTTAGGTAAGTAAGGTAATTTCTCAGTATTATTACCTATAAAATAGTGATAATAACGACAGTATGCAGTTATAGGGTTGTTGTGGGAGAAAAGAATGAATATTTATAGCATACTAGGTTTGCCCATGGTATAAGCCAATTACATATCAATTATTGGCAATTATTATCCAAGTAAAGTTATATCTACTTCTTTTCCAAAAGCAAAATGAGAATTAATTACTGCAAAAGGGAAATACACTACAATGTGAAAAATAAAATGAATAATACCCAATAGGCCCAGTTGGCGTGGCTCAGTGGTTAAGTATCAACCTATGAACAAGGAGGTCATGGCTGGTCAGGGCAGATGCCCGGATTGTGGGCTCGATCCTCAGTGGGTGTGTGCTAAAGGCAGTAACCAATGATTCTCTCTCATCTCCCTTCCTCTCTGAAATCAATAAAAAAAAAATATTTTTTTTTAAAAAGCCCAGATTTGTAATTACAATTAAAAGGTCAGATTTTTAGACTAACAACAAAAGAATTAGACTTTCAAATATGAGGTTAAGGATAACTTCAGACTTATTATTTCACACTTTCATGATAAGGAAGAGAATGGTATACTGGGGAAAGAAAAAATCGTTATGTTTCTATTCAAAATGAAGGTGACTAATGAAAATAGGAAACAGAAGAATCAAACTAAAAGCAGAAATAGAGAAAGAGTAAAACAAAACAACCCAACAGTGTAAACAAGAAAATAACTTGGATGTAGAAAAGTTGAACCCAGTAATAAAAGTAATTTTAAAAGGGGGAAACCTTTTAAGTAGATCAGAATTTAAAAAGAGAGAGAGAGAGATTCTATTACGATGGAAGATAATTACAACTGAGTGAAATCATCCTTAGCTACATGCCCACATGTTTATAAATGTGGACATAGATAACAATCGGTAAAATTAAAAATTAAAAGAGAAAAGCCCAGTTCCGCACGAAGGGAAGTGTAAGATCGATTATCCGAAAGTTAAAGATGAGCTCCCACATACGTAGAAGCTGCACGCTCGGCTGTGGATGAGGCCTCTGCAGGTGTTATTCTCTGTAACGGGAACCCCGTCCACACTGACTTGAACAGTGTAGGAATCTTCTGGCATTGCTCTGGAAGGCAAAGGAAGAGCAGGTAAGGGACGCAATGAACCCTGTATGGAATGTAGAGCACTAGTGAGAAGACTGCATGTCCTTTATGAGCGGTGTCTACAACTTTAACTGGCAGGCAGTTAATATTTCACATTTTGGAAAGATGATTCCATCCTGAATTCTACACTGCAAATTCTAAATTATGGACCTCGAGCAAATGCTTATTCTAAGTGCATTGATGCTTACTGAAAAGGAAAATAAATGCAATAACAACCAATGTAATAATAATCATGAAAAATAGTCACGTATCACCTTGCTTTGTTTAAAAGGAAGTTTTAATCAAGTTTCTCCATAAGCGAGCTTTTGCTGCAAAAAAATAGCCAATGAGCAGAAAGTAGATTAATTCCTCTGTAATATATGCTACATATTACAATACTGAAAGTTACAGTTTAAAATGATTAATTTTTTTCACTAAATTGCTAATAACAAACATTAATTTGGGCCAATAGTAAAAAAAATACCTTGAAATGTCACTATACAAAATATTGTCTTTAATCTTAATGGCTATGTCAAGATATGGAACAAAATTAATCAAACCAGACAGGAAAGCATAATTTTAATATTTTGAGGAGCATCATTACAATTTAATAGTAGCCATTTATCTTCTAAAAGAGATCAATAATGATAGTAGCTCTAATAACCTGGACAAGAAAATAGAATATATTTTATCATGCCCATGTGAGAAAGAGCATTATAATTGATTTTAATATAGGTATAAAATCATCTAAAAAATCACAAAATCAAAAACAGCTGGTAATCAGAAAAATACTGTTTTAACACCAGAGTGATAAAACTATTAAGAAACTAATATGCCTAACTGTACTTCTGCTATGATAAAAATGACGTTAGTAAAGAGAGTTTAAAACATACCTAGTGTAGCATGTAATTTGAGTGGAATGACTGGCATCTTTTTCTACATCACAAGAAATGGATCGAAAAGAAGAAACTAATTGTACAGAGTTCCCCAACTCAGCATCGTCAACGCCATAGTTAAACTCGTGTGCTTGGGCAAAACCTGGGAAAGTAAAAACACCCAAGTATTATTAATGGATCCTGTTCTTAGAGAGATAGCCATTGTCATTAAGTATTGAATTATTCAATAAATAATAGAGAATAGTACTGAGTAAGCAGTTAGCTTATTTCATATTTATCCCTATGGTTGTAATCTTCTTTGGGAGCAGAAAAATGAGACTTTAATTAATTGAAACCATAAAAGTAATTCTTGAGAATTGATTATTTGTCAGGTGCTATTAAATGCAGTGGAATCAAACAGCTTATATTGCAGTAGCAGGAGAGGGAGGGGTGGAGCAAAGAAACATACATTTTTTTTAAAGAATAGTTTATTGATTTTAAGAGAGAAAGGAAGGGAGAAAAGTATTGATGTGAGAGCAAAATATCAATCGGCTACCTCCTCCATATCCCCGACGGAGATGGAGCATGCAACCTGGGCATGTGCCCCAACCAGAATCAAATCCTTTGGTGTCCAACCAACTGAGCCACACCAGCTTGGGCGACAAAAGTTTTATATAGAAATATATAAATATGTATAAATGTACATGTATACATTACCAGATGCTATATACTATATCCAGTACAGATATCTGCTATTTTTTAAAAAAAGCATGCTAAAAGATATAGAAAGATTGCATGAGGGTAACACCATACCACTATTTGACCAGGAGTTTCTATAAAGCAAATTCTGAGGTGAGGACTTGCAAGAAGTTTCTTTGGGGGGTGACTTCTTAGGAACAAGGAAGAGTAAAACCTGAATGAAGAAAAGTGGACACCAGTGAGGACAACTGAGACCCAATCTTACTGGTAACTTCTAAGAACACTAGAGACGGCCTTTCACAATGGAAGAATCTATAGCAAGAAGCACTTGTTCATCAAATCCTGCCCCCATTACCTGAGGGTTCCCACTGGGGGAAATAACTTCCTGCGCTTACAGGCAGCGTGTCTGCCACGTGAGCCGCATGTCCCAGATCCCCCTATTGGAGAAGTCCTGGGACAGTGGCCAAAGCCATGCTGGGGCAAGTGAAGGCAAGAATCTGAAAGTGCAGATTGAGTCAGGGGGAACTAATTGACACAGCTGTGTCTAGAGACTCACAGGTGAGGACAAGAGGACGTGAGGCTGAGCATAAAAGGCACCTGAGACAGTCCATACAGAAATGGCACCATCCAGAAATTCCTAATACGTCAAGTACATTCCATTATCAAGAGTCTAAGGCGGTGACTGTATGAGAGCCCTGCTATGGCTCTAATACAAGGGGGGTTAGCAGGATAAGCTACAGGCCACACCAATACAACTGGTCCTAAGGCTATAAGGAACGTTCACCTGGCCCCTCTCTATCACCTACTGTAGATTTCCCTTGTTGTTGGCCAGCACCTCAGCTAATGGAGCGACACTAACCTTCATCCTCAAGATCTGAGTCCTTAGCTGACTTTGTGGTTGCCATGATTGCCTATAATTCACACTTATCATTGGACTTGGAAGCCGAGAGTTTCCTTCATGAATATTGTGAATTCCAGCTATACTCCTCCTTATCTGTCCTAGGTAAAGCAGTCCTACTTCTTCATGACCATCAGAATTGATTATCTCTAGTTGTCTACTAATTATGTTTGATGGATTCAAATGATCAGGCAGTAGTGGTAGTTTTAGTTCAGTGGAACCCATATTGGGAGCCTTGGAAGAACCTAAAATTGCAAGGATAGAAAGCACAGATTCAATTTCTGGATCACTGGGAGCGATAATGATTGGGGGTGGGGTGGGGAGAGGGGAAAGCCCTCCATTTCCAGCTCCCTGTATTCTATCTATTGGAAAACAACAGCCATTGGCTCACTGCATGTGGCATATGATGAAGGACAGCATTCCATTCCACAGGATGTTGTTCCCAAGCTGGGATCTTATCCATCCCTTAAGGTTGTAGGACATGTCATCATTCTACTAAGCCCTATGTTTCAGGGTGACACAGGCTTCAGGGTCATGTACCTGTTATCATAACTCTTTCACAATAAATGCATTCCTTGTTCTGAGGCACTGTTTGTGGAATCTCTTGGCAGTAAATCAGGCTCCCTAGGCTCTCAGAAGACAGAGCTGGCAAAGGTGCTATGGAAAGAGAAGGAGTAGGTGCCAGTTCAGCAATTAAGAATCTCTGTTCTTTCCACAAGAGAAGGAGAGTGATGCAGACAACTTGTCACTAAGTGGGGAGATGAACTTTGTAAAGGATGGTCTTTCTTGAGAGCTCAGTGTTGGTTCAGCAACAGCAGTGGGTAGCTTAGCATCGGTGAAAGGGAGTCCATGGTGCTGGCTCATGCACAGCCATTACCCATGACTCCTCTATTCACAGGCCCATTTCACAAGCACTGAGGTGGCCAAGGAGAGAAGCTTTTGAGTGAGTCATCCCATCGACCTGGTTGCTCTGTTTCCCCTGTAGGAATGCTTTCTTGTGGGAATTAAGGCACAAGGATCTGCATGCTTCATGCTCACTACCATGAGTCCACTCGCATGCCTTTTTCCAAGACTATCTTGTTTGTGATCTTCCAATCCTGTTCCTGGGATACAAGAAACAAGTGACCTAGGTGGTCGAGGAAGCTATTCAGAAGGAGTTAGCCATGAGAATACCTATGGCAGGTGCATTTTAGACAGAGGAAACAAGATGTTCCAAGGCCCTGAAATGGGAGTGTGTTTGTGAATTGAAGAATTAGCAGGTAAGATTGGAGAAGCAGGAATGAGGACAAGGGTAGGAGAGGAGACCAGAAATGGGAGCATTTGGATTATGATTTAGGAGAGAACCACTGCAGGCTTTGAACCACTAGAGAGGCGTGATCTTACGCTTCCCACGGTCACCAGCTGCTGTTCTGAGATTACAGATGGGGGCAGGAGTGAGATAGAGTGAGGGCAGGAGTGAAGATGCTGTGTCAATGACTGATGGGTAGATGTCTCGCATGGGTTCAAGAGAAGATGGGGACAGTAGTTGAGGAGAAAAAATCCTGGTAGCCCTTGTGGGAGTTTTACTATAAAGGAGAGCAGAGAAATCAGGTAGTAGCTGGAGGGAAGTGTAGAGGAAGAAGAAGGTTGATGATTTTACTTCTGTTTTTTCCAGGTGGGAGAAATAGTATGTTTGCATGCTGATGTGCGACTCAATAGAAACAGAGAAATAGATGAGGTGAAGATAACACAGCAGGAAATTATTTTAATCTTACTGTAAAACATATGAAAATTCAAAACTAGGTTTGGAAATAAACATGGATTAAATAAATTTATGTCACATTAAAGTATTTTATATTGTTAAAACAATATTTAATTTTGAAATAAACCTAAGAAATGAAACCTAAGAAAAAATTAATTGGATGATGCTCTATAATGATATCTTATAATTAAGTATTTTCTTAATAAAAATGTTTAAAAGGTACTTAATAATATACAAGCATGCAGAGTGAATCTATAAAGTTGCCTAGGTAATAATATATTTCGAAATTAAGTTAAATTAATAAATAATTAGTTTTTGTCCAGAATACTTTGAAGTTCAAAATTCCTAAATTCTGAGTTTTAAAAAAATGTTTTTTAAATATTATTTTTCTCTGACTATCACAAATGCTTACCATTAAAACACCACTATAGCCAAATTGATGATTGATGATACTTTTGAAATTTCTTTTACACCAAAGATTTGCATCCATGTAATTAAGATATAAACCTACAAATTATTCAAATATCAGAACTTAATTACCTATAGATCATTTGGTTCTCCCAGGACAATAATAAACTTAAAATCAGTATAAAGCAAGAAGGTAACTCAGAGATATAGACTTACCTCTTTAAAATCCTATGTATTCATGTTACTAATGTTAGAGAAATTAAATGTTAAGTATTTACCCTAAATTGTCAGCAGTTTTCAAGTATGTTTCAACAAAACAATCATCACTATGATATGTGCTCATATTAAATAGTCTTACTAGTGGAGGTGGCTGACTTGGGGTGGCCAGATATCTGTGTTCTGACTGCTTTTTAAATAACTGACCATTTTCAAAGTTCTACAAAGGTCCGTTAGAAGACACCAATATTGCCTGGGTTAGGGTAGGAAGCAGGTCTTCACTGTGCCAGATGTTCACAAATGCCAAGTTCCTGAAATCCAGCTCTGATAAAGCTGCATGTCAGGGGACAGTGCTATTCAAGGGCAGCGCATTTGGACCCTGACATCTGGGTGGGAATGCCGGCTCCAGCATTTCCTTGTGGTATGACTTTGGGAATTCGAGCTTTATATATATATAGTGCCTGGCTCATATGTTTAGAGCTTAGTTGATATCTACTCTTATTCTTAGTTACGAAAATCCCGCGGTTTAGGTTCAGTATTAATATCTCTTTAAAAACTAATAAGTGGGGCCCAGGATTCAGATCCAGGCTGTAGATGCCAAGCAGGCGTATTTGTGATATTCAGAGAAAAATAATATCAAAGATGCACATTACAAAGCTATTACTTGTTACCCAATGTAACTTCCTCCAAGCCCTATGTCTCCTCTCCTATCCTTTATATGTAAAAAGAAAGTAAGCAGAAACTCAACAAAAGATAGGGATTTTAATAAACACCATTTTCTTCTTCTAAGCTTAAAAATTAACTGATGACTCATCCAACAGAGATAAGGTACAAATATAAGTATCAATTTAAAATCTGAAAAGATATTTGCATTGAATTCACAGTTTTGAATCTAGAAAGGAAGTTACTGCTAAAATGGAATTATGAGAAGACACATGAAAACACAGAAAAGCAAGCTACTCGTCAACCCGCATGTTCCTTGTGCCAACTTCTGCTTATCTTTGGAGCTCACATTGAGTTTGGAACACACAGAAGGGATGCTGGCAACTAACTAAAGAATGGAAAGTTTTCGTGTGATGTGGCTCAGGATGTGATGTATGTATTATTTTCCTATCAGGTACATGTCACATGAATGATATGGTAATGCAGATATGTTCTTCAGCTATTCTAAGACAAATACAAATGTAAAAAATAACACCAACAAAGATGATGTTTTTAGCTTAGGAGTTCTCTCTCTCTCTCTCTCTCTCTCTCTCTCTCTCTCTCTCTCTCTCTCTTTCTCTCTCTGTATATATATATATATATATATATATATATATATACACACACACACACACACACACACACACACACACACATATATATATATATTTCCCCTAGGAGTAAAATCTATGGGGGAAAAATGTGAACCAAATTGGCAAGATTTTTGTAAATATTTTCTTAAATTTTGCTAAAAAAAAAAGTATAGAAATATTTTTTCAGCTAATTCAAGAGTTAATATAAGGAGTCACCTTTTAAAAAACTTTTAACTTAAAATTATATTTTAAAAAAAACCTCAAAAGAATCGCCTTTAAAAATAATTTTAATTGAAATGTATAATTCTAAATAAGTAATTGGGCACAAAGAGATACCTCTGGAAGTACTCCAAAGGACAAAGATCACAGGAAGGGTTGGGTGTACCTTGGAAACAGAAAAGGTTGAGACTTCAAATGGAAATTCCTAACATGTTGATGTATTTTTTTTTCTTTTGCAGAAAAATTGGAGACAAGACTTGCCAGGCACGAAAACCTGGGCCTCCTGATAGCAGCCTTCATGGAACAGCCGTGTACAATTCTGGCTGTTACAGTTTCTCTACTTCAAAAAAGCAGGGTTGAGAGTGTATAAAGTTACTTAAAGTTGTCATATTGAGAATCATGGAGTGCGGGGGAGGGGGGGGAAGGTGCAGTGTAATGAAAGAAATTCCTAAAGAATGAAATTAAAACTATAACATAAATGCAAAAGAATAATCACAATAGTTAGCTCTAATTTATGGGGCATATATCATAAATGGGCACCTTAGATACATCATCCATTTCAATATTCACAGTAGCCACAACAGGTAGAAATTACTATCCCATTTTACTGATGAGGAAGCTGAGGCTTAGAGCAATAACTTGTCTACAGGTAGTGGGAAGTTGCAAAGATGGAACCAAAAGCCATAATGTTATAAAAATTAAGTAATTCGCTCTGACTGGTTTGGCTCAGTGGATAGAGCACGCATTGGCCTGTGAATTGAAGGGTGGGTCCAGGTTTTATTCCAGTCAAGGGCATGTACCTTGGTTGCGGGCACATCCCCAGTAGGAGGTGTGCAGGAGGCAGCTGATCAATGTTTCTAACTCTTTATCCCTTTCCCTTCCTCTCTGTAAAAAATCAATAAAATTTTTAAAAAATTGTAATTCAACACTTCATATTAACAAAAATATATATGCTGGACACTGTACCAGCAAAATATAGAAAAAAAGACCCAAAAGTTAACTGCTACTCCTATCTTGCTGATATTTTTAAATACAGGGAAACATGATAAATATCAGGGAAGACAATTAATAAATACAAGGTGTGAATATAATGTAATAAAACCATTGTTAGAAACACTCTTGAACTTAGCAAAATAATAACACAACCTCTCAAATCAGTTACTATCCATTTAAGATGTTAAAAGGACAGAGAAGTATTTCTACAATCATGCCACCGCACAAAACACTTTTATGTGGGCATTATGACTAAAATTATGAATCTTTGGTTCCTGAAGCACAGCCTTCAGGACAAAGTGATGCAATAGCAAATTTTGTCTGTAAAGGTCAATACTACGTGTGGAAATAGCCAAAGGCCACTTGAATACATCAAAATATTAAAGTACATGTTTCTAGAAAGTGAAATTTCACTTTCTAAGTAAAACATTTCTATGATAGTTTACTTTTTCATCCCTTTTACAAAAATAAAACACTTAAACAATCATATGGGATCAACATTTGAGTAATAATCTGGCATTTACAATTTCATTTGGAAAGTGTTCTTATGCGGTTAATAACTTAGGTCTAAGGGTCATTCAATACATGGAGCATTAGGTAGAGACAGCACTGATGGATCATGTATATATTCCTTCCAAATAAGCTTTGTTCAAGTACCATATTCATGTAGTCATTCATTACCATCGCTTTATACACATTCTGTATACATATCATGCCCCCCCCAACCTACATAAAACAATAATTAGACTCAGCCTCTGAAAAATACACATGCTAACACATTTTTAGTCACCAACAGTATGTCATTAAAGCAGAGAGACGGAGGACAAATCTGGGGGAAGGTGCTGGTATCTGCAATTCAAAAAATATTTAACCACTCTAGAATTCCCTGCCAAAAGCACCTATGAATTGATGCTGATGGGGAAAACTAAAAATTCACCATGACACTTTGTGCTTCATAGGATTATTACTCCTGAGCCTCAGAATGTACACAAGAGAGCAAAGGTGATAGCTAGATTAACAAGGGTATTCCTCCAAACTGCCTTAAGAAAAGAGTGCTGTGTGTGTGTGTGTGTGTGTGTGTTTTCTATTTCTAACTAAGAATTATCTGGATCTATGTACTTAAATTCAAGCTATGGTTCCTGGACCAGAAAAAGTTCAGGTCTCAAAATAAGAAAATAGTTGGGTAGTTTTATTGTTTTGTTTTAATCTGGGTATTTCTTGCATGCATGTAAATCCATGTCAAAAAACAAATTGCTTTTGTCCCTGGCTGGGTAGCTCAGATGGTTGGAGCATCGTCCTGATGAGCCAAGGCTGTGGATTCGATCCCTGATCAGTGTACTTACAGGAATCGACCAGTGAATGCATGAGTGGGTGGAACAGCAAATCGATGTTTCCCTCTCTCTCTTCCTTCCTCTCTCTCTCTCTCAAATCAATAAGTTAAAAAAATTTTTTAAACCCAATAACTTTCAAGCACACTATGTCAATAGTAATTTACAATATAAAGAAACTATAAAGACATTTTTAAATTAGTCCTTCTTTTTTAATTCTAAAAAAAAGAACACTTTAATTCAAAATATACGTTCACAACTTAAAGGCATAAACCATTTTAAGTATATCCTTGAAAGGTTGAATTCTGAAGAAATATCACTTAGAAGTATAGAAAGAAATAATAAAGTATATATATATATATATATATATATATATATATATCAGAATTACATATCTTGCTTTGTAAATTCTTTCATTCCAAAAACTTCTCATTTCTCTTATTGTTACAGACGAAGTAATCACTTTCGTTAATATTCTTTTAAAAATTTTCTTTCTCATCTTTCAAAAATATCTAAGCAACGAGTACCACAACCATTCATATTCCAAAGGCCTTGTGGTTAAAAGAATCACATATTTCTTTCTAATTGTAGTAATTGTATATATTACTGATTGCTTACTATATTTTCATCCCAAGACCAGGCAAGAAGAGAGTTCATTATGATGAAGCACATAATGAGGATTGGTGGCAGGAGAAGGGATCCAAAGCTCTCCTGTCAATTGCCTTTCTGCTTTCATTACCATTCCACTTCTCTATCATGCCCTCTTACTAGCATTATACCCCTAAACCCTCAACATGTATTATTTGATATAAAACTAATTAAATATTAGAGACCCATGAAGAGCAAAGCAAACATTTGCAGAGTTGAGCTGTAGATTAGTCATTAGAATCCAGATCTTAGAATTAATCAAGTAATTATAATACGAATTCAGATGATCTTGTTGATAGAAGACTCTCGGCAATTTCATTAACTGTTAAAGGGGATAGAGTTCTACTACGCTGGCCAAGTGGAGAAGTAACTCCAGTGGATTTTTTTTTAATCATAAGGCCTGAGTGTGAAAGAAGCAGTCTTTAAAGTACCTCAACCTTGGCAAAAAAAAAAAAAAAAAAAAAAAAAATGCCCAAAGGGCAACCATACCTTCTCCTTTGATAGTCAGTCTTGTTGCTCCATTTATGCTGCCATATTTAGGTATTATTTCTGTGACTTTAGGAATTATTGTAGAGCCATCTGAAAGATATTAAAATACAGTAGAGGGAAAATTATCAAGGACTTCATCTCAAGCATCAAATTTCATACCACGTATTACAACAATGGTTAGAAAAATATCATGAAGGCTATAGTCTGAAAGCACAAATATACCAATATCTTATTTATGGCTCCACTGCTAACCAATGACTTGAGAGGGAGTGAAGCATTAACTTAGTTCATACTCATTGATCATTTTCATCCTTCTTTTCTATCATATTATAAAACATTTATTAAACCCTTCAATTCAAGCACACAGGAAGTATGCAAAGCTAGTAGAATCAACGAATAATCCAGGTGCAAAGAGGAATGCTGTGCTTTAAGGAGACATTGTTTTCTTTGACAGAGTGAGACTTCAGCAAAGATAATTTCTGGGATCTTTCTAGCCTCCTGAAGCTCGAAAGTTCTTAATGCACACATTACTGATTCATTCAACAAACGGTGTTACTGTGCCTGAGGATTTAAAAATGTATAACATGCCTTAGCTGGTTTGGCTCAGTGGATAGAGCACTGACCTGTGGACTGAAGGGTCCCAGGTTTGATTCTGGCCAAGGGCACATTCCTGAGTTGCCTTGCTCCATCCCAGTGGGGGGCATGCAAGAGGCAGCCAATCAATGATTCTCTCTCATCATTGATGTTTCTATCTCTCTATCCCTCTCCCCTTCCTCTCTAAAATCAATAAAAATATTTAAAATAAAATAAAAAATTGCCTAACAATCCCAACTACCCAGAAGCTTAGCTTGCACAGAACAGAGTGATACCAGACAGCACCGGGGCCACACAGATGACTCAGGTGGGGCATTTTATCCATACGTCTCAGGTCACACCCGCTTATTGAGAGAAGAGGAGCCCTTGTGGCATTTGGGAGGGCAAATGTCACTTCGCTAGCCTGGACCGATGGTGGGGAAGACAGAGAGTTGTAGACAGGAGTGGGTGCGTGGCTTCCTTGGAGAACGCTAAGCAACGATTAAAACAACTCAGAGATACCCAGTGTGCAGTAGAGTTTATTTTTTTTTTCTTACACTGTACAGATCTGGATACTGTTCAATCCAATAACAAATTCTCAGAGTTGGTAGGAAAATTTAAGTGGGGGTAAGAAGGGGGGCGGGCACAACTAAAGAGGAAGGTGAAAAGAGTTATGATTGTACCGTTCGTTCTGGCCTGGGAAAAGTTTAGCAGGGACTTCACCTAGAAGGCCAACAGCTCTCCAACATAGAGAAGACTAGTCCTCCCCCCCCCTTTTTTTAAAATAATAAATCTTTATTGTTCAGATTATTACAGGTGTTCCTCTTGTTTCCCCCCCCATAGCTCCCCTCCACCTGATTTCCCACCCTATGCCCCCTACCACTGTCTTCATCCCAGATTTTTGTCCAATCTCTTCCCTCATCCCTCAGACTCCCTTCCCCCTGAGAATTGTCAGTCCTCTCCCTTTCTATGTTCCTGATTCTATTATTTTCTATGTCCCTGATCTATTATATTCATTAATAATAATAATAATAATAATAATAATAATAATAATAAGACTAGTCCCCTGACCCAAGGCCTCTGGGCTTTAGGCCTGTCTTTGCCAAGAGCCCCTGGGCCGTTCCCACTCCAGACACCTCCATAACTTCCAGCCGCCTGCAGCCGCCGGTAGGAAACTCCAGCAGGATCCTATCTCCCAGGCCACGCCGCTCCGCACCTATCTCAGGTTCATCCTCCCGTTATCTCGGCGGACAACTCCAATTTCTTATCTTATCAGTCCCTCCCCAGCCCTCTCCTGGGTATTCCTGTGAAGGCACAGGGCAGCTGGCCCTGGAAGTGACTGACACCCGCCACCGAGACCCACTTCTGCCCCGCTGGGGACTCCCCTTCAGAGGGCAGAGGACCCAAGAAGGGGGGGGGGGGAGGCTGGGGGGAGGAGGCTATCATTACTATTACCATTACTACTACTATTACCATTCCCATTACTATTACTATTATTACTATTACTATTACCATTACCATTACCACTACTGCTATTATTACCATTTCCATAATCATTACTATTACCATTACTACTACTATTCCCATTCCCATTACTATTGCTATTACTATTACTATTACCATTACCACTACTGCTATTATTACCATTTCCATAATCATTACTATTACCACTACTACTACTATTACCATTTCCATTACTATTACTACTGCTGTTGCTGCCTCTCTGGCCTGAACCCCATTCGCCACCCCTCCCCCCCTGCCCCCCATGCCCCCATGCCACATGTCCCTCCTTCTCATTTCAACAAGTCACTTGGGGGTTGGAGGTGAGACTCCAGCCACACGGATGAATGAGGAGCAATCTCTCCCTCTCCCTGGGTCCGCCTCTCTCAGGCCTGCCTTGCAGGTGCTTCGGTCCAGGCTGGCCAAGCGGCGCCCCCCCACCCCTTTGGCCCGGAGCTGGGGTCCCGCGCCCCCAGGAGCAGGGACAGCGCCCGCCTGCGCTTCTCCTGCGCTTCCCCGGCTCCCCAGTGGGTTACCTGCGCGGGGGTCCGCGGCGCACAGCAGCAGCCCCCAGAAGCCCCAGGCCCCCCAAAGCCACAGGCGTCCCATCGCGGCTCCAGCTCCGCTCCGGGATCGCCACTCACTGGCGCGCCCGACCTCCCAGCGCGCCGGCCGCGGCCCCGCCCCCGGCGATGGGGCGGCGCCCGGGATCGGCGCCCGGAGCCGCGCCCCCCGGGGAGCTGGGAGCCCGCGGGACCGCCCTGCGCTCCTCGGACCTCCCCGCGCAGGCCTGGCCATCACCCCAAGGCTGTGTGCACTGCTCTCCACCAGGGAGCTCCAAGGGCCGGGGCTCCGTGAGGCTCGCCCCTTCCCCCCTCTCCTTGCCTTCTCCTTCTTACTGATTTTTTAAAAATTCTCGGCCTGTACGCTTTCGTGGCCTGTCTGCTGTGGTTATTGATCGACCCCAGTTGGGCCTAAAAGTTCAACTGATACACGAACCTGACACATTTCCCCTTTTTATGTTCAAATAAGTCCCTGCTATTCCCTATTGATGGACAGTCACGCTAGTATTATTGATGTCCCAAACACCATGTCTAATGACTTCAACTCACAATAATCTGAAAAGGACTATTACCATTATTATTACCATTACCATTACTATAACCATTACCATTACCATTACCATTACCATTACTGCTATTATTACCATTACCATTATCATTACTATTACCATTACTACTAATATTACCATTTCCATTACCATTACTATTACTATTACTATTACCATTACCATTACTATTACTACTGCTGTTGCTATTATTATCCCCACTCAGGTACAGAAGGTTAAGTTGCCTAAGGCCATGCCCCTAAGTGGAGCCTGAGGACTCAAACAGTGACTCCAGATCCAGTGCTCTTGCCCTCTCCACTGCCCCCAATTCCGCAGAATTCTAGTGAGGTCTTGTGATGCTATATATTTTTTAAAAATATATATATTCACTGTTTATCTGAAATTCAAATTTGACTCAGCATTCCATATTTTTATGTATTAAATCTGCCAAGTCTAGGTAGGAGGGAAAACAGAAGAAATGAAAAGAGAACGTTAAAATAAGTAAATGAAATTGGGTCCTTACATTTTATGTTTTTAAAACATGTTTTTATTGATTTCTAGAGAGAGGAAGCGAGAGGGACAAAGGAGAGCTATAGAAACATCAATAAGAAACATCAATTGGTTGCCTGCTGCTGGGGGGTCTAGGCAGCTCCCCAGGTATGTGCCCTGACCAGGAATGGAACCTCACTGTGCATGGGTTAGCACTATAACCACTGAGCTACACTAGCCGGGCTTGGGTCCTTATATTTTAATAAATAATATTAGGGGTTTATATCTATCTCACTGAGGTTATGAAAATAATGTTGTTAGATCTGGCTAATTACACTCACCTAATAATTTTTTACAAACTGACTTCCAGCATCACCACTCGACTGAAAATAGTGTCTGCAAGGGTACCACAGACCTTCCTCCTCCGAGAACTCTGTAGCACATGACACTGGTAACATCTTCCCTGAAATTCCATTCCTCTGAATAGTGTTGGGTTTCTTCCTACCTCTCCAATCACTTCTAGCTCATACTGGGTGTTCCCCCCAAAATGTACACACACCCTGACTGCTGATAGCTCAATTTTGAAAATGAACTATATTTTAAATAGCACTGATTTTATAATTATTCACATTGTGCATGTGCATTTTTTTAGGACACCTGTATTTTTCTCTTCCATCTCTTCCTGGAAACTGACATTCCTGCAGGTTCTCTTCCCTCGTTCCCTCCTCTCTCTGAAAGCAGGTCAGTTAGCAGAAAATCAACTAGTTAAATGGCAATATGTCAATTAGTTATTTGCAAATTTGAAAAATTTAAAGATTGCAATGTTTTCCAACAGTACTTAGCAGCCTTACCAAGAATAATTTAGCAATATCAACAAAATAGCTATGAAATGTGTTAAGTGTATATCTCAATATCAATGTCTAAAATAAAATGTCATGTGGGAATTTTTACATATACCGGTAATTGCTTGGCTAATTTTCATTCCTTTCTGATTATAGTTAATTCCTTTCAAATTAAAGCTAAATTAAGTTAATATAAATTAAATTTTGGATGTTTTCACTAAAAAGTAATTTAAATGCAATTTAATTCAAAATTCTGATTTCCTCAGATTCTTTTTGAATTTGTAAATTAAAATGAAATATAATAGGCTAGATGATTCTAAAAAGGATATTAAAAATTATTTAGTATGAAAAAGTAGAAAATGCCATGCAAAAGTATTATGAAAGAAATCAGAAGTAGATGAAAAATCCTATTCTGGTAAAGCTTATAAATATTTGTTAAACTATAGTCATTTAATATGCAAATGGATTCTGTAAATTGATTTGATTAATTATCTTTAGGAAAGTTGATATTTCAGCAAATTAGCCTAAATTCTTTATAAAGCAAAGAACTATAATTTGCATATATAGATTTTCATTCAACTCTATGAATGAATGAGCATCTCTCTCTAAATAGTGCTTATTTATTCAATATATCAATTTCCCAAAAGAGATCACACAAGTGAGATTTGTAATCTTGAATTATTAATAGAAGTGTATGGTATAATGTGCAAATAAATAACTATAACTAGATGGACATTTATATAAACAAAAGGTCAACTTGGAATCAGAGAAAGTGGTTATGTAGTTTACATATGATTTAACTTGTTTTGACCTCATCCCTATGTACATAGCAGCACAATTTACAACAGCTAAGATCTGGAAACAGCCCAAGTGCCCATCAGTGGCTAAAAAATGCTGTAGTACACTTATACCATGGAATACTATGTAGCTGTAAAAAAGAAGGACCTCTTACCCTTTGAGACAGCATGCAGGGACTTGAAAATATTAAGGCGAGAGATAAGTAGGAGAAAGACAAGTATCACATGATCTCACTCATATGTAGACTCTATTGAGCAAACTAAACTGTTAAACAAAATAGATTCAGAAACATAGAAGCATGGGACAGATTGTTGAATATCAGAGGGAAGGAGAGGGTGGAAAGGTGCATGGGAAGAGGTCAACCAAAGAACTTGTATGCAAATATGCGTAACCCATGGAGACAGACAATAGGGTGGTGAAGGCCTGGGTGGAGACCAGGAGAGGGCTATAAGGAGTCAATGGGAGAAAAAAGAGGACATATGTAATACTTTCAACAATAAAGATTTATAAATAAGTAAGTAAATAGTACTGATGTTCAGAATTTTAAAAACTAACATTTATCATGGAACATGGAAGTGGGGAAACATGAAGGGATAATCCTGGTCACTAAACCCCATGTTTCTTTTGTAAGGTAAAAAAAATCTAGCTCTAACAAAGCCTTGCCTGTAGGGCTACTAACTTCGCGGACATGTGACCTGTGTAGTCTCCTAGGACCCTATGCTTGTTTCAATGCTCGGCTGTCACCATCTTGAAATTCTTTTTTTTTTTTTTTTTTTTTTTAATATATTTTATTGATATTTTACAGAGAGGAAGAGAGAGGGATAGAGAGTTAGAAACATTGATTAGCTGCCTCTTGCACATCCCCCTACTGGGGATGTGCCCACAACCAAGGTACATGCCCTTAAGCAGAATCCAACCTGGGACTTTTCTTTTTTTTTTTTTTTTTTTTAATCTTATGATTTTTTATTTTCTCTGTAGTGCAAAGCAACACAAAGACTGATTTATGTAGAAATCTGTTATTTGCTTGACCAAACACAGCACCTGCCCTGGACATTAGGACAACAGCTCACTGATCCATGGGCCCTAGATGTTGCTGAGTTCATTAAAGCTAAAATGTCCTGTAACTTTAATTTTTATTTTATTTTATTTATTTATTTATTTATTTTTTAATGGTCTGATTTTATTTTATTCAACCTGGGACCTTTCAACCGGCAGGCCGACGCTCTATCCACTGAGCCAAACCGGTTTGGGCTTAAAATTCTTAATACTCTTTGAATGAGGGAAGGCCCATTCTCATTTTGCTGGGGATCTCACAATTAAGTAGCTGGTCCTGTCTGCCTTAATGCTGAAAAAAGAGACAGATTTTGAACACGTTGATCCCTCAATTTAAAAGCAATAAGAAAGTGATAGTTAGTAGGAACACCTGCAGAACTAGAAGGAATAAAGAATTCACTTAAGTTGGAAAATGAGCTATGTGCTGGAGCCCAACTTTGAATCTAGGCCTACTTGTGATAGAGATGTAAACAAAAATGAAGTGCCACAGATAATAGTTTGCCTTCAACAAATATTCAATATCCTAGGCATTAAGAATATGGCAACAATTTAAAAAAAATCCCTTTCCTTGTGGAACTTTTATTCTTAATAGAGACAGATAATAAACATGATAAATGAGCAAAATATATAGCATTTCAGAAAGTAAATAAATAAACATAAAGCAATATCATCCAAAGAGGGTGGCTGGCTTAAGACAAACACAGGACAATAAAATCAGACCTTGGATTAGAACCCTGGTCCCCAGACTCCTAGTCACACAATCCTTTCCTATGTCACTATTGAAGTAAGAAATGAATGGCCGTACACAATCACAGTATAATCATAGGCATATACAGCCCTTATAAGAATATGCCAAAGAAAGAAAGGAAGAAGGAAGGAAGGAAGGGAGGGAAAAAGGAAGGGAGGAAGGAAGGAAGGAAGGAAGGAAGGAAGGAAGGAAGGAAGGAAGGAAGGAAGGAAGGATAGAAAGGAAGAAAGAAAGAAAGAAAGACATGCTAGAAAGAAAAATTAATAAAGCAAGGAAGATTATAATATGTGTGTGTGTGTGTGTGTGTGTGTGTGTGTATGTGTGTGTGTGTGTGTTGAGTGTGATGAAGCTTTAGATAAGATGACCAGGAAGTAGTCATGAAGATGAATTATGAGTGAAGATCTGAAAGTCTGAAGTGAGTTTTCAGCCAGGTATACAGCCAGGTATAATGTAGAAGTATCAAAATATCTACCATTTTGAAACAAGCAATGGAGGGAATAGACAGCCTCACCATTTCCCATAGAGTATGTGAAAGAATTTCTATTTTTGAGTCTCTTTTTGAGACTACCAA